AAACTCGGATCCTATTCTCCTAGTGTAAAAATTATGTAGGAAACTATGTGCTTTGAAAACCTCTGTGAACTTATCGTGTTTTGAACAGTCTCGACTGACCCTTGGTGGTTTGGACAGAGTAAATCAGTGAGCATTCCTAACTTAAACTGAATGTCTTCTTGTGTACTTCTCTCTCCTATGAAATCCTGTTAAACATTTTATTATCAGGAAGGACTTTCTTGGTTTTAGTAACTGCTGACAAAGGGAGGAAAAATTTTCTGACCCAGTTGTATGGAATGATATTTTCATATTAGGTTTTTGTTTTGTGTAATTCTTTTGAATCTGAAAATTGTACCAAGTGTTTCATTATCTGATCAGTTTCCCACTGCAGCACATCCTATAACACTATACCATTTAACTTATAGGAATCATTTTAACTTTAAATGTTTTCACTTGAGTCAGTGTACCCTTATTATGAGATCAAGCTGGCTTTACTACCAAGTCATGACTTCACCTAAATGTCATATCTGAAAATTCTCTCGTTCAACAGGAATTAATTATGTGGGCAAAGTTGTCTCACGTTAAAAATCAAGCAGACAGAAAGCTGCTGTGTGCCCAGCCCACTATTTCCTTTGTCAACCTGTACAATAGGAGAAAGGTAGGAAATTTTTATGTGGGGCTTCTCCCTTATTGCAGCCTTATTCTTTTCCAAAATTCTCTTTGAAAGAAAGCAAAGGAGAATTAAGATTTGGATGATTATTTAGTTAGTTAGTCTTTGTCTTGGAGACTTTGCAGTTTATTCCCAAAGTATTTTTTTATTTATTGTTTTACATTTGAGCCTTCCCTGAACAAAACCACTTCCTCAAACACCTCGGTTTAACTCCGTGCCAGCAGCAACAGCCTCAAGCACGGAAGAACAGCTGCCATCAATCCCATCCCGCCACACCTCCCGTGGGCGGCATGACCAAAATATTGAGATGCTGCTGCTGACAGAACAGCGGTAATAGCCCTCAGCCGTTTATGAGGCCCATATTTAAGACAGAAATGAAGCCAGTTAAGCAGCCTCTGCCTGAGCCGTGAGGCAGAGGGCTGTCTGCGCGTACAGCCCCTGGTTGCTGCAGGAAGGCCCGGCACTGCCAGGCTCTGACAAACAGGAGCCCCTTGGACATGGCCGTGGGCATCAGAGGGGAGACGGCGCTCGGGAGCGGGGGGGGCGGAGAGCTTTGGGCAACCGGGTGGCGCGACCGGAAGGAGCAGGCCCCAGAGCAGGCCCCGTTGCCATGGCAACCGGCAACTCCTTCCGGGAGGCACGGCCACGAGACCGCCATGCGCGGGTGCATCCGGTCGTGCGCATGCGCACTCTGCGTGCGCAGCCGGGCGCTGCCAGCGATGGGCGGGGGGGGGGACGCGCATGCGCGGGGCCGTCCTCGGCCGCACGACAAAATGGCGGCGGCTGCTGGCGCGGGGCTGTTTGTGTGTTTATATATTTATATGTGCGTGTGCCCCGTTCGTCACGGGGCTGCGCTAAAGTGCTTTGTAGCTGCTTTTTTTTTTTTCTTTCTTCAAGTTTTTGTTATTCTCCCTTCTTCCGGGGCTCTTATGTATGTGTGTGCCTCACCTCAGGGTGCCCCAGTGTTGCGACCCCTTTATTGAACAAATAACGAACGGGATGTGCTGGGGCGGGTCAGGGAATAAGAGCATTCTGTTACACGCCCGCAGTCTTTTTGGGTGTGTTTCTTGTCTTTCATGCAGCCAAGTCTTTGAGCAGGAAATAGAGATCCAGTGCATTCTTTTTTTCTTTCTGTAAGTCATAATGATTGAGCTAAGGAGCTTCAGGTGGAAGAGTTGAAGGCAGGACACAGCAGATTTCCCCTCCTTTCACTCTGTTAGGAGCCTTGGTGGGGATTTCATCTGCAGAAAGTTACTCTACAGATCTCCTGTGTTTGCTTTTCTTTTTGTAGTTTACCTCTGATACCGGTAAACTCTGTGCTTTTTGTTTTGATAGCATCTGCTTTGCGCTCCAGCTGGTGTAAGTTACCTATAATTGGGCTTGGCCCAGTGCATTAGTACTTAAAGTGGTCGACTGTGCCAACCCTACGAGGAGTTGTGCCAGTGAGTGTGGCAGATGTATCTCATAGCAAAGAGATGGGTTTCCACTGTCATTTTCTTCAAAGGAAATAGGAATAGTAATAGCAGGGACAGGTTGTGGCCCCATACCCGCCATAAACCCTCTGCTATTTGTTCCTACAGTGGTATTTTCTATGTTACGTTGCCGCCTTCTGCATTCTTCGGGGGAGTTCCAGGGTTTTTGCAAACTATGTCAAATATTTTGATTAAATTCCTCTTAGGTATTTCTCAGAATGAATCAAAGGCAAAAGTTCTCATTAATATCCACCAGAGGAGAACACGTGGGAGTTTCCAGACTAGTTTTGGGGAAGAAAAAGCACTCCCCCTTGTCCCTTGTTTCTCTTAATCGCTGTATCCAGGCTGTGTGTGTCTGGTGGGGAATTAAATCTGCAGTCTCTCTGAATTTGTAATAAACTGGATTTATTTCTGTAATAATGGTGGGAAGAGAACTGAAAAGCCATGTTGTATATAACAGGCTATTTTAGAAAATATATTTTCTTCTGAAAAGTGAAATAGCCAGTTCTGAAACATGCAGTAACTACTGGCTAGAAGGAATTTGTGTGGTAACCAAGCAGTGAATATGTGGCATAAGCATCTCCTTTAAGAAGGCAGTTTCACCTTTACTACCTCCCAAGCTTTTCTCAATGAGTCATGTTGATATGACACGAGGACAATATGGAAAAAAGACCAAAGAAACAAATCTCTAAAACCTGGATGTTTTAGCCCTTTCTGCTAACGTGTAGTGAAAATGCATACCTTCCCTTTGTGGCACGTGCGTGATTCTCCTTTCTCTGTGATATGACTAAAGCTTTTCTCACAGAAGTGGGGTTTTATAGGGCTTTTGATGTGTTCCAGGAATCTGATCGTTCATGTGAGTCCTCTCTAAATGTCAAACGACATGGCAGAGGTTCTGGTCTGAGTGCATGTTCAGACTGTGAGTTATGGAAGAAGCACTAGGTAGTAAGAATTCCTAAAGGTAAGCTAAGGAGATGAAAGCATAGTGCTAGCACCACATCTCTGAATCTGGCTTTCTGCAAGGACAACCTGGGAGTCCACGTGAATTCTGTTCACTTTGAATATCATCTTGTACGTATGAAGCTCATCTAATTAGTGGATCCCAGCCAGGAACTTTGGAATAGCTGTGAGATGCTCCTTTCTCTGAAGTGGAAAGTCTGCTTGAAATGCCAGCTTAATTCCCCAAGTAGGTCAGGAATGCAGTCATTGAGTTACCAGTGTGTAGTGAGTGAGTCACGGTGTGGTCAGCTGCTGAGAATGCTGTGTACTGCTCACATTTGTTCACTGCCAAATTTCATCTGGAACAATAAACAAACAAAAGAGGAAGCTTCGCATAGCTTGTTTCATCTTCATTTGTCTCAAAGAAAGGGGCTAATTGATCTTGTTTTCTGTGAGAGGGTAGTGTCATACCTCCGCTGCTGGAATTGGCTATTTTCACGTGTTAAACCGAATTGTTAAGGTTTCCACTGTACAGACAGATGAAACAGCCGTTGTCCTGGGGAATCCTAACCAGCCTCGACACATCACCAAAATTGGGCTGAACGTAGCGGGGGAGCTGCGTGCCTTCTCCGTGTGGTCATACGTAGGCTCACTGCAGCACATCTGGCTGCAAAGCTGTTTCCAGTGGTAAAATCCAAGGGTGAGGTATGATGACCAATTACCTCTGCTGGGGTCATTTTTTCCACCCCTGCAGCAATTAAGAGATTAAATTCGTGGTGCAAGGAATGGTAGTGTTTGGAGGGCGATGGTGCTGCGGAATTGTCTGCTGACAGAGATGCCCGGCGGTGGAAAATTTAATTCTTTTGGGAGCTATTTTTTACCGCTCTCCTGAAATGTCTGACCTTTTCTTACCCAAGGCTAAAATAAGTGCAGCACTAGGACATTTAAAATTGGAATAAAGCTTATACGCTGCGTTTTCTGTAGATGGACGTGAGGGTGGGAGAGGAAAAGCAAGTGCTGCTTATCCGCTGGATGGTGCTGTTGTTTTATACAAACAGCAGAGAGGTCCCTGCACAGCTCCAACTGAGACCTCGAGTAGTTTTGCTTCAGCAAGAATTAGGAAGAAGGATGTGCACAATCTTCCTCCTTAGCAGGATTCATCAGAAAATTGCTATTTTGTGATCCGCCTGTTACTTAGCATTCCTGGGACTGGCTAAACTTAGCTAATTACTAAATATGGGAAAACTCATATTTTTGCTGGTTTCCACCCAGCCTGTTTCAAGTCTGAGTAATTCTTCCTAATCAGAACCAGATTTAAACTATATATATATTTAAAACTTTCCTCAGTTCTCCAGTCCCCAAAGATGAAGTTTTGTTTCATCTTCAGGATGAGTATTTGTTGGCTCGCTCAAGTGCAGTAGGTTAGCTAAGTCATCGGAGTAAAAATTTGTTGTCAGAGTTTGTGGTTTTACCTCGTAGTGTGGGAAGAGAAGATGCATTCCTCACATACAGCCCTTTCCCGAGGGCAAGACGTGTTTGAATTGTTTGCCTGCCATAGCGTCAGATAAGATCTGAAATAGGTATTTGCAATGTATATTACATTTTTGTAATATTCTTGACTTCTTCTTTTTTCTCTTTAACTCCCTTAAAGAAGTAACCGTCATCCTTACAAAGAAGACTTTGTGGATCATTCCTTCTCTGTAATTTGTCTGCCTTGTTGGCAGTTACAGCCCTTTATCAGAAAGGAAGCGAAGAACAGTAGCCCATGTAGTGAGAGATTATTGTGCAACCTCTATTGATGTGACTCAGTTGCTGGAATTCTGCTCCTGATAATTGATGGAAGCAGGAATTACTCAAAGTGCTGGTTTTAAGGAAATGGGAGGGTGGGAAAAGAAGTGATGCAAGTGCTTCATCTGTAGCAAGGGGGATGGCTGCTTCAGTTCAGTAAGTCTTCCTAAAAGCGATATTAATTAATCTTTAATGCCTTCCAGCATCATAGGACTGGCTTTCAGCTTTCTCCAGTTTCCAGATACTTAGGAAGCGTGGCAGCAAGAAGCCTGCTGGCAGTAGATGTTTCTGAAGACCATTAATAGTCTGTGGAGTACAGGTTGAAAACCAGTGTGTGATGACGCTGATGAGTACAGAGCATTGTGTTTGTGCCTGTTTGTGTGTGTACCTGTTAGCTCATGTCTGAGCTAACTGGGAGCTGATTTGGTGAGATGCACGCCCAGGTGTGACTAACCAGGGTCTAGAGAATAGCCCCTATAAATGAAAGAGGTCAGAAGAGATGGCATCTTATTCTGCTGTTACTGGGTCATATGTGAAGCAGGTCCTGACTTAAGATAAAAAACAACATCAGATTCATCCCTGCATTTCTCATCCTACTGTAAGCTGCTTGGACTTGGTATTAGTTCAACAGGGAGCATCTACCGAATCTTCTAATTCCTCCTGTCACCATGAATTCCCACAAGCTGCCATTCCGTTTGTGTCTGGTGCCCTTTCATGGCAGCAAGGACCATTTGAAAATCCAGCTTTTTCATATGGGAGGTGAAATGTTGCAGCCCAGCAGCTAATGGGCGCTGCTGTGACCTTTGGAAGGAAGAAAGCAGTCACTGAAAATGTGACCTGGACAGACAAAATAGGGCTGCCCAGGGATTTGCAGGGAGATGGAATGACTGACAGCCTTGGCTTGTCCCAGGATCTGACATTTGTCCTAAAAATCGGAGCTGTCTTTAACAAAATGGAGGAGTTACTGCCTCTGGATGCTTCTGAGATGTGGTTTACATGAGGACAGAGTGGCTGGAAGGGAGAATCAGACGAACCCGTTGGTCTCCGAACTTTGTTTTGGCTTTTTGTTAACTCGTCTCCTCAGCCTGGAAAACTGTTGTCTGTTCCTCTTTTATGATCTGTGTTCTGTTTCTTTTTCCACTGCGATAGGGACGAGTTGCTTGGGGTGTTACCCTGTGTATTAATAATAGAAAACCTGTGGAAGCTGGATGGAGAAAATAGAAAGCCCAGCTTTTCTCTGTAGATTATGCTGAAGTTTTCACACCCACGCACCGAAATCTACTTAAATAAACAGAGAAGTTTGACTTTTGGCATAAGCGAGATTTCTGTTTCAGGCAGCGCTGCGCGAAAATTGTAGGCTTGGTGCTGCCAATTCTTCCTCCTGTGTGGACTGGGTTTCTTTGTCTTGCAGTAATGGTTCCTGTCTCGTATCTGCTGTCCTTGTGGTGCCTCCTTTCTGGTGCCACTCGTTCTCTTTGCCAGCTCGCCCTTTAGCCCTTGGTGGCAAATGGTTTCTGAACAAAGGGTGAGCTGGCATCCTAGTTTGCTCATGGATAATCTGTACCCAGGGATGATGGGCACTGTGTGTGACAGTTGGATAATATTTATCCTGAGAAGACTACGGAGGTGGTGTTGATGTCTCTGTTCACCTTTCTGCAACAAGAGACGGGGCAGATCCCTGTTGTAATTTTATCACAAAATGGTGGGCTTCACCTTGCCCTTTGCAGCCTTATCCACCCCCTGAGCACCCTAACTGAGGACAATCGACCATCTCCATGTCTGTGAGGGAGTGGAGTTAGGATCTGGGAGCCTGAAACTGATCCATCATGTTGTCCTAAGGGGACAGAGCAAGTGTCAGGCTCTGTCCCCTCCACCTGGGGGGTCAGCATGTGGTGGGACAGCAGAGGTGTGATCCAAGACCAACTGGTCCAAACCTCCCTTCCCTCCCTAAACAATTCGAACAGATGGCAGGTTGCTCTGCATTTGTTGCCTCTCTGGTGTCCTTGAGTCTGTTTTGCACTTTGTAAGAATCAGAAAATTGCCATAAATGACCCTCCAGGCCTTTGGGTGGTTAATTTAGAGAAAGGTGTGGCTGGGAGACTGGCTGTATGCTCCTCAGGTCACTTAGCTGACACTATTGACAAGCCTGGCATGTAAAATCATGTTTCAATGCACTTAGGAAGGGATGGGGTAAGAAGGGCACGTTATTTGCCAGTTCTGCTCTCCGGGCATCAGTTCCACCTGCCAGATGGGGTGGTGAAACAGAACTTCATCATCTGGACTGACTCAAGCCAGCTTTATGCAGTTGGTGGCTGAGAGCTTGCAGGTATGAGTGTGACTCGGTTTGCCCTTCAGAAAAACCCCGGTGATGTTGGTGACTGCTGAGCCTGGCTTGGTTTTGGCATTCCAGGTGCAGTTTGCAAAGCAGGCAGGTGGAATGGGTGTCTGTGGCTGAGTGTACCTAACCCCGAGTCCCTGACGCAAGATCGGGCAGCCGTAAGATACCGTTTTTGTTGATTTTTGTATTCACTGAATAGTGTTTAACAGGGAAGAATAAACAACTGAAGGGGATGACCTTGTAGAAAAACTATTGCAATTAATAAGATCCCTAGGCAATAAATTGTTTTGAAGGATAACAAACCAAAGGCTAATCATATGACGTGACAGGAAGTATTTTTATTTCCTGAACAGATTAGATAGCAAACCATATGAAAAACCCACAAATAAAATGCTATTATCTTTTATATGACTATTTATCTTTAAACAGAAAGAGCAATTAAACCAAAAGACAATGTAGTGTACATTTTTCTGATTCTGAAATCAAATTGTATTTATCAAAGTTCCATCCAGGACACCGTGTAGTTATTCTAATGTATCTGTGGGGCACTCGTCATCATCCAAATGATTTTCGTAGGCAGACTTGCTGAACAACAAGTGAAATATTTTGGCAGTGGCAAAACAAAAAGCCCACTTTAGACTTGAGAGCTGCTGGAGCATTGTGGCTTCAGCCATCAGGGTTCTCAGCATGTTGTGGTGGAGCCACCAGTGTCTAAGATGAAGCTAAAACCAAAAAAAATCCTCATAGCTCTAGCGAAGGCAGGGCTGTTGGCATCATCCTGGTTAAATTCTCATGTGTTTAACTGCCTTTTACTGCTCCTTTACTGCTCCTTTACTGTCTCCTTTCTGCTTATTTCAGGGAACTTCTGTCTGAAAACATGTGGTGCTGGAGCACGGCTGGTCGTACCCCTGCAGTAAAGTCTGTGTTTCTGTACCAATGGGAGGAAACGCAGTGAGGTAATACCCAAATGCATCAGGACAAATGACATAAATGTTATAAACCCAACTCTTGTTATATGCTATTGGATTCTCAGGCTGCTTTACCATACTGCTCCACAGAACAGCACAAGTTGATAAACAACCAGAAGTTATATTCTAAAGTCCTTATTTTTATAGAATCATTTGAGTTGGAAAAGACATCTGAGATCAAGGACAGCCACTGGGACAAAGGATTCTCAGTGTCTGCTCTTGATTGTTTTGTGCATTGACTTATCAATATTAATTTATTTTAAGTAAATTTGGCTGCTGTTTACTTATGGTTATAAGATCAAAGCGTAAACATAAACTCTGACCTTGACCAAGCTGAAAGGTTCTGTGGAGCAAGATTGGTATCATAAAAAACTGGATAGAGATTTTTTTACAGTTTACACACTGGAGCGTGATGCAGTGTTATGGATTGCTTAGGGAGAGGGAGGGAAAACACTAGCACTGAACAATAAACAAACTGCAGCTCGTATCTCCTTGGACCCACGGGTGTGGTTCAGATATCAATGTGATGCCTAGGGACTGCATGAGGTGTCTCTTCCAGCCTTTGTGGCTGGGGTTGCGTGGTGTGAGTAACTTGCTCTACACAAATGGCATGCAGTGTCTGAGAGCAAAATGCATGCTGCAGGGAGGAGAGAGCTCTGAGTGCAGGCTAGTGGGGATTGGCACAAGGGCTAAAGGCCACCAGCGTTTGGCATCATCCTGTTAACAACACAGCTTAGACTGTTTCTGTTAGAGTCTCGATCATTCTCATTTGATAACTAAGAGCGGGGAAACAAGGTTCAAGGTGCAAGCCACAGAACTAGGGATAAACAGACCCAGTGTGTGTCCTGCTTGATTTCTCCGTGCCATGGTTTTTGCTGGGGGAGCACCTGTCTTCAGGAAGTGTAGTTTATGGGAAGAGATGTATAATAACACAGCATTCTTAGAAAGGACTGGATGATGCTCCTGGCCCAGGCTGAGACTCTGCAAACCTCCCTTAAGATCTAATGCCTGCGAGGCAAACCCCAGCTGAAGAGATCCTAAGTAACTTCCAGGGAACTGGGAGAGAACGGTGTGCCATTCCCGAGCACAAGGATCTCACATTTCCCCTAAAGCAGCAGCGTGCTGCTGTCCTGTCCAGCAACTTCTTTGCCTGTGATTTTCTCAGTGTATTTATAGCTGGTGTGCAGCTGGGTGGCGAAGAGTCACCTTCTCTCCCTGGCTGGTGAAAGCCTTTGCCAAGTTAATAGGAGTAACGTGGAGAAAAGTAGCACAGGACCTCTAGGTTTCTAAATAAAACAGGGGAAGAACTGTTGAATAGAAGACAATATACGGAAGAGAGAAGGGAAGAAAAGCATGAAACCCATCTAACTTTTCACGGGACCCCATGGCGTTGCTACTCCTGCAGCTAACAGCGTGAAGGCACTTTTGCATTTGTCAGGGACACAGAGGAAGGCACTGTGAGGCCACAAATTTCCAGCTATAAGGCAGGGACATGATGATTTCCACCACTCAGGAAGCAGGCTTACATGTTACATTCCTGTAGCACTTAGCATCCTTTGGAGTGAAAAGTTGTCCTGCCAGAGGTCAAGAGTGATGGTTTTTGATGTTGAGTCAGTGGGAAGAGTATGGGAAAAGCCTTCCCAAGAATTATTTCACTTCTGGTTTCAAAAGTAGTAGACCTGCACAGCTGTGATTCTGTAATCCAAAGGGACTTTGACAGGCTTGAGAGGTGGGCCCGTGCGAACTTCACGAGGTTCAAGAAGACCAAGTGGAAGGTCCTGCATCTGGGCTGGGGCAATCCCAAGCACAAACAGGGTGGGCAGAGAATGGATTGAGAGCAGCCCTGAGGAGAAGGACCCGGGGGTGCTGGTTGATGAGAAGCTCGACATGAGCTGGCAATGTGTGCCTGCAGCCCAGAAAGCCAACTGGGCTGCATCAAAAAGAGTGTGTTGGCAGGTCAAGGGAGGGAATTATCCCCCTCTGCTCTCATAGGACCCCACCTGGAGCCCTGCATTCAGCTCTGGGGCCCCCAGCACAAGAAGGACACAGAAGTATTAGAACGAGTCCAAGGGAGGGCCATGAAGGTGATGAAGGGGCTGGAGCACCTCTCCTGTGGAGACAGGGAGTTGGGGGTGTTCAGCCTGGAGAAGAGAAGGCTCCAGGGAGTCCTTAGAGCAGCCTGCCAGTACCTGAAGCGGGCTGCAGGAAAGCTGGGGAGGGACTTTTTGTCAGGGAGTGTGGTGATAGGACAAGTGGGAATGGCTTTAAACTAAAAGAGGATAGGTTTAGATTAGGTATAAGGAAGAAATTCTTTACTCAGAGGGTGGTGAGGCACGGGCACAGGCTGCCCAGAGGAGCTGTGGCTGCCCCATCCCTGGAGGTGTTTAAGACCAGGCTGGATGGGGCTTGGAGCAACCTGGGCTGGTGGGAGGGGTCCTGCCCATGGCAGGGGGTTGGAATTAGATGATCTTTAAGGTCCCATCCAACCCAACCCATTCTATGAATTCACAGCTGTGCAGATGCTGATTTGTGCAGCCAGGTGTGAAATGCTGCGAGGTGTGCCTGCGTGTCTTATCAGGGGTGTGGAGAGGGATGTAGGTTTTGTGGTCCTTCTGTTTCCCTCTCCAGAGCAACAGAGAATCCCGGAATGCTCCTGTTCCTGGCAGCTGTGAGAGGCAGGAATTAAAAAGGCTGTTTTTTCTGGTAAGGGGGCCAGCTAACCATAAGTTTAATAAATTAGCTGCTCACCTGTCTACAATACTGTCCTGCTGATATGGGAACAACTTTCTCAGAGATTCCCCAGAGGGAACAGAATATTTTTTATCTTTCCATCAAATAGGTTGTGAAGGAAAAACAAACAAAAGAAAAAAAAACAAACCCACAAATCAACTGTGACGTGGTATCAGTTGCGTCCCTGTCTGTCAGCTCTCCGTCATGCTAGGCTTCCTGTCGGGGTGGGACACACAAAAGGATGTTGACTTGGTGGAGGCGTTTGGATGGTGAGTGCACTGGGCAGAGGCAAGTCAACAAGATTTGGTACACAGCCCTCAAAAGCTTGCACTCAGATTGTTGGCGTAGCTCAGACTCTAGCTGGCAGCCACAACACACACAGCTTAAAATCTAACTGAGATAGTTTGTTTAAAAAACACAACAAAACGGGCAAATCTGCTTTTTATCTGTCCAGGGTGTAAGTAAGAATGTATTTAAGTGGATTTGGAATTAAATGGCGTGCTATAGATGGAAAAGCACTAAGAGAACCATCTTCGCTTGATGGTCCCAGATATTTTCCTAGAAAAAAAAGCCTTGTTTTCAGTGCTAAAGAGCAGAACTTCTGGTGTGGGCACCGGTGTTGGTAGCTGGACACCCTGGACATGGAGCAGTTGTGCCAGAGCTAGGAGTCTCAGCACTACAAGGGTAGCAGCATCTCTGGGGATTGCCAGCAGGGCTGCAGAGAAGCTCGTAACCTCTCCTTTGCCGAAGGAAGCTGGTATCTGGCCTGTGGCTCTTGAGATGTTGCCAGCTGCTGTGTCAGGTGCAGTCTTGTTAATTATCTCCCTGGATGTGGGGGTCAGAGAGCAGTTTTTAAGGGCTGTGAGCTGTTTCTCAGGAGTCACACTGCTTACAGAGAGCGAACGGAGCAGCTCTGCTCTTGGCCTCTGCTTTCGATACGGTCATCCCTAATCTCGGATGAGAGTTCGTGCACAGCCCCATCTACTAAGCTGACCTGGTGTTTGAGCTCGCCAGCCTGGCTGAGCTATGACGGGCTGACTCCAGTCGTGGGGGTGGAAAGATGGTGAAATAATGTTCCATGGAAGTCCGAGGCGGTAGTCTCTGAGGGCGTGTTTTTTCACAAGAAGGTGAGACGCTGTATGTTTGGCGTAGCAAGCCTGGGTTCGGCCACTCTGCCTGCCAGAGATTCGGATATTCCCCCAAGCACGATTTTTGTTGAACACAGAGTACTACAGACATGTTCGCCGATTGCCAGCGCAGTTCCTTAAAAGCAAAGGAAGCTGTCTTTTTTCTGGTTATAGGAATCTTGCTCTCCCTTGTGGCTCTTGGTTTCGCAGTGATGTTACATGGAAGGACTGGAAGGAAACATGTGGCTGCCTCCAGAATTTCCCTTTGGGATCCTGCTAACAATAAAAGCCTTATAGTCACACACAAGAACCTTCTTCCAAGCGGTATGCCTAGGGCTTGAAAAAAGAAGGCTAAAATGAAGCCACTGGTATACATGGTGCATATCAGTGCTTCAGGACTGCTGTCTGCCACTGGCAGGGATCTTCTGAGCACTGAGTCGCTGCTTGCCTGCTGCACACCCAGATCTGTAGCCCATCTCTCCAGAACTGCCTGGAGCTCCTGAGGGCTACCCAGGAGTAGGGCAATACCACGGCTGATTCCCTTCTCAATGCCTCTAATTATGCAGTGGATCTCCTTTGATCTTAGGATCACTGTGGGAAGGATGAAATGTTTCGCTGTAGATGGAAGCAGGGTTATAGCCTGGACTAACAACCTCCCCCATGTTTCTTCAGCACCTTTCTTGCTGTTTAACTTTTCTCTCCTAGGCCCTCTGATATCTGATGTTTTGCACTTTGCACCAGAGACATTAGTTTATCTGCAATTATGGGCAGTAGAGAAATGCAGCTGCTTCTGAGTCCTTGTACAGGGAATCCTTGCAGTTTTTTTTGCTGTGATGTGTGGATGGGTACAAGGTAGGTGTGAAATCTGATTGGCTTCCTTGTAACTTAAAGCTCTCTGTGTATTCAGGAACAGTGTGAATGTTAGCTTTAAAGAATTGTGATGTCAGCAAGAAAATCTCAGTCTGAGCTTAATTATTGATAAGAGCCATACAAACCAACTTCTGTAGTAAGAGGCCATATAACCTTTTTCATTTTAACTGTTAGGGTTAATTTTTAACTGCTTCCCATGGGTAAAAATATCCATTTGCTGTAGTATGTAAAACTACATCTCTGTTGTTCATCTGTGATCATCTTTCCCTCTGCTAGTGGGGAGATGTTTTTAGGACTGCTAGAAGTCAATCTCTAGGCAAACTGCTGATTTTCACGAAAAAGAGAGATTGAGACCTGAGGATTGTCAGGTGCTACATGTCAATGAGGAGCAACACATCCTAGATCTGAATGTCCCGACTGCCCTACTCCAAGTGGGGTGTGAACCCCAAGGTTGCAGCAGGGATTCATTACCCTTGGAGAGTTTCACATGCACGTGGCATCCGTGAAGCTTTGTTTGACCTGACAGGATGATGATCAAAGCCTGGTTGTAATGTTTAGTTCCCAAACGACCAGGGTCCTAGTAAGGACAGTAGCATAGAAGGCAGTTGTCTGTCCGTGATGACAATTCACACATGAGAAACATGAAATGTTTCATGGGATAAAAATTCAGATATATTGAATGCTTCCTTGAGACCAGCTGAATTTCAGGTAGCTGTGCTGTGGGGGTCACCAAGGTGATCCAATTCTGAATTCTCCAACTAGCCACAGACCCAAATTCATCTGTGTCCTGTTTCAGTGCTGTCATTTTCTGCCACTCAGTGACCACTGTGAAGTGATAGGTTGAGAGCTGAAAAGCCAAAAGTAAAAGCCCCGTCCTAGCCATGGTACTGGAGGAAAGTTGACTGAGAGCCCCAAAAGCAGAGCAGCTGGAGAGCACGCGGTGCTGCTACCTGTACAAGCAGCTCAGAGCTCAGGTGGCTTGTTCCTGAGCCAGCTGGGGAATCTGAGCTCCAGGCAAGGCCATACAACAAGTCTGTCAGCGGTAGCGGGGTTAGTTTGGGATGCAGTTGATTCTTTCCAAGGAAGTGAAATGCTGGATTGCAGTTTTTCCAGTTGCCTCAAAGGCAGGTCAGCCTTGTTAGAGAGGGAGGGGACTGTCTGGCTGCGCCCAGCCCTGCAATGCGCTAGCTGAGCACTAAGCTGCCTTAAACACAAATTCCTCCTCTGTAGTGGATTTGCCAGGAGTCCAACTCCGACTTGTAGCGAAGCAGTCACAAGGTAAAACGGATGTGTATGTAGCCATCAGCTTTCTGGGGCAGGGATTGGCTTTGGATCGGAGCTACGAGCAGTTACAGCAAGAAGAAAAGAGCAGAGATCTGTTTATGGCTACGCTGAAAAATCTTCCTGTGCCCATGGGCAGGTGGTAGTCTGAAAGTTAGTTTCTTGTCTGCAAAGTGTGGTGCTCTCCTAATTCACACTTTAATCCCCAGATTTGAAGGCGAAGGGTTTCCTTCTCACACCAGACTAACCTCACTGAGGAAAATAGAGGAAACCTCCATTGGCTGCAGGAAAAGGTGTTTTGTTCCCTGCTCCGTGTTGCAGGGAGCTTAGGGTGATAGTCGGGAGCAGTGCAAGGTGGCTGGCTGCTCTGAGGAGTTGGATCTGTGTGCAAAGTGTCCGGGAACGTCGGCAGGGAGGGTGTGCATGTTCTCATAGGGAAACCCAGAGAGAAGACCAGCCCACTCCTTCCACATACCTGTGGAAAGCACTGCCTAGCAAGCACCTCTGGGCAGCAGCAGCAGAGCCTCTCGCCTCTCCCAGGCATCTCACCATGCTTCTTTTCATCAGAAAGCTTTCGATAGCTCCCAGAGCCTTCGTTGGGCTTCTTGGCTTAATGCTACTTTTCCTCACCGTAACTAATTTTAGCTCCTTCTTTGGCTTGGAAAAAAGCGTTTTCAGGTAAGAGCCCAGCTTCCTTGCAATCCACGCTGCCTGGATATCCTCTCTTTCATTCCTCTCTCCTTTTACCCTGGAAGTTGCACTTCTGATCTGGGTTAGGTGCCCGCTTTGCTTTAGCACACCACGTTGCGTGCAGTCAGAGCACGCTGCTAGAAGCTCGCAGGCTGAAACTTTCTGCTGTTGGATCACCACCTTCTAGTGTTTCCTCGCATAGCTGTTCAAGAAAGCAGCTTTTGTTTTACTGACTCTGTTTTCATAGTTTGGCACTGCATCGTATTTGCTTTTACCTGGTGGCTCCCGTGAGGACCTCATTCAATACTAGTCCAGATTGCATTACTGGGATTGATTTTCTGGGTTACCTTTATGCTTAAAGTGAACTCTGCATTTATACAAATATGCAGTGTATTGGGACACTCGTGTCATACAGACATGATAAATACAAATAGTATTTTTTATATAAGTGATTAAGTAAATCCTACAAGAATGGGTGTGGAGGGAATTACAGTTCAGACCACGGTCGTGTCTCTGGTACTGTTGTCCAGAAGCTCGTTCTTGTGTTAAAATCAGCAGATAACTGAGCTTTTCCTACTACAAACACAGTTCTCACATTGGTGCCCTGTGCTGTGTAGGAAGCACTGCTCCCCAGCCTCCCCGCCCACCCCTGGGTGCTCCCAGCTCCCCAGTGAGCTCATCTTCGGGGGGGTTACTTTTTCTGGAAACATCCATATTTTTGAAATTTTAGATAAAACACAAGGCACGAGTGGTATGTGGCTATCTGTTCAATTTCTGTGCTTTTATATGCAACATAAAATACAGCTGAGCATCATTTTAATGGTTTACTTGTTCCTGGGCTCTGTAAATTGCAAAGGAAGATGACAGTAAATATCGTTGTGCTTCTACAGCTGTTTGCCAGCTGGATTCTAGAGCCTGAAATTTGGTGGGCTGGGTTGACCAGTTGTCTGGATTGGGAGAGCAAGGTCCTGTGTAGGCACAAGCCACGGGGGTCTGACTGCAGGAAGCAAGGTTTTGGATATGAAGGGCCTTCACTTTTGCATTTTGCTCTCTGTTTGGCTTAGTATTTGAATTTGAAGTGTAATAAAGCTAGAACAGAATCTCTTCCCTGTGAGATAACACGTGTGTGGGGTGAATGGTTTGTCACGCTGTCCCATTTCATTGTCCTCTGCCTTTTAATTTAAAAAAATTAAACATCTTAAAATTACAACAGAAAATCATCCAGGGATTTAAGAATTGCCAGTACTACCTTACTGAACTTCTCTTTACCTAGAGTATAATTAAAAACTTCCCTTTTATTAGGTAGCATACAGTAGCACATTTAAACATGAAGCACTGTGATAAAAAACAACTGCTGTGTACTGGGCTGAGACTGGCTAAAAGAGAGGAGATAGAGGAAGGGCTGATAAGCCATTTACCAGCATGTCTGTCCAATAGAAATGATGTTGGAAATGTCCAAATATCTGATAAAAACTGGTTTTTAAAAGTCTCCACAGGCTGATAATTTCCTGGCCACTTGAATGAATGGCGTACTGCTCTGAAGCTTCAGCAGCAAGCTGCTCTCTCCAGCCTGCTTTCTGTGGAGTTGTGTTTTTTTTTTTCCCCATTTATCACCCTGGAAGCAGCCCACAGCATCATGTAACAACTGCGTCATGCAAACAAGTGCGTCACGCAAAGGGCAAACGTAGTGTGAAATCAGCCCGCCGAAACTCCGCTGCTTTATCCCGAGCAGCTTTGCCGTACGTCCGAGCTCAACCGCGGCATTTTTTCAGCTTCCTTTTTCCTGTTCCACCCTTCAACCATGTGTAGATAAGAAGGAATGTTTGGGACAAAATCCCACTGCTTTTTCCCTGGGTGATTTTTCTGGGTTTCGGCTCAATCTTCTTGTTGTAGGTGGCTCTTCTGCTGTTGGCAGCCGTATCAATGGGGTTGCAGCAGGCTGGTGGGGTCCTCTCGGGCTCTGTTTTGGGTTTGGTGCTCTCCAATGTTCTTATAAATGATCTGGACGCAGGACTGGAATGCATACTAAGTTTGCAGGTGATACTAAATGAGGACCTGTTGACTCCCTCAAGGGTGGAGAGGCTTTGAAGAGAGAGCTTAACAAAATAAGAGGGCTGGGCAATCAGCAACTACAAGATTATAAAGAAAATGGTAACAACAGGACTATTTTATGGCCGTAATTTCCAATCTTGTAAGTGCAAGCTGTGTAAAAGAAGTGACATATGGTAAAGGAATAAATTTCACTTTTTATCAGCCTTCCCTTTCTGAGTCTCCTCAGATCTTCATACTCTGCTGCTGCAGCACCTGGCTCTGCTGGCAAAGAAGGCAGAGCACCAGGTGGCTGCCTCCACGATGCGTCCCATGTCCTGAGCTCAGCATCTGAGAAACACAATCCTACAGTGCCCTGTGGGCATTGCTGGGGTGTCCTGCCCACTGCTATTCTCTGCTGGTTTGCAGTTGCTGCCAATGTGGAGGATAATTCATGAGCAAAGTGCCAGAGAGGAGTATGTAGTCTCCCAGATGAACTTGCTTTGTGTGGAAATGAGCAGTGTTCAGGACAGAATGGGACGGGAATTTGAATAACGCTTTGGTGTGGCAAATATGTAAATGAAATTGAATTCAGGCAGCGTCCTGCAGAGAAGGATGTGTTGTGTTGCTTCCCTGCAGAAACTCGGTGGCAGATTTGCAAAAGAAATGTGCTGGAAGCTGCTACGTGTGTGTGATGTGTCTGCTTTTCCTTCATTCAGGCCGTTCAGTATTTTCCAACGCGTCCCAGATGTGCAACGAGTGGACACCCAGGAGCAACAAGGTTCAGACTATTCTGCTAATGGGAACGCAAGTGGAATTTCCGAGGTGGGTTTGGAGAGAAACACTACAAGGCTTGAACAAGGCACAGCTGAGAGGACACCAAGCTGGGAAGAAGAGGAGCAGAAGAACACAACGAGACCACTTCCCGGGGCGGAGGAAGCCAAGGAGAAGGTGACTGTGAAACAACCCCCTGAGGTGGAGGGGATCAGGAGCACTACAGTGGAAACAGCCACGAGGGTGGAGGGAAACAAGGAGAAAACAGCAGCGAGACTGGCTCCAGGGGCAGAGGAAGCCATGCAGAAGGTGACTCTTAAACAGCCCCCTGAAGTGGAGGAAATCAAGAGTACAACAGTGGAAATAGCCTCAAAGGTGGAGGGAAACAAGGAGAAAACAGCAGCGAGACTGGCTCCAGGGGCAGAGGAAGCCATGCAGAAGGTGACTCTGAAACAGCCCCCTGAGGTGGAGGGAATCAAAAATACAACGATGGAAACAGCCACGAGGGTGGAGGGAAACCAGGAGAAAACAGGGGTGAGACAAACCCCAGGGGGAAAGGAAGGGGTAAATGACAAGACAACGCCAAAATCACTTCCCAGGGGAGAGGGAGCCAAAGAGAAGACAACAGAGAAACCATCCTCTGGGGTGAAGGTAGCTCATGGAGACAACACAACCAAAGACAAAACAACACCAAAAGACCCTTCTCTGTCAGTGAAAACCGTGCGACCCGTGACTCAGACTGCTGCAGTGACAGCAAAGAAGAGACTGAGGGCTGCTGACTTCAAGTCTGAGCCACAGTGGGATTTCGAGGATGAGTACCTGCTGGACAGCTCGGCTCCACCAGCGGTAAGCGTGATGGCCGTGCGTGTTTGTCCCTGTTGACCCCCTTATCTGGGAAATATCTCTCCTCCTAGGTGTGCCACAAGGTGATCCTGCTCTTAGGTGCCTTGCTCTATTGCACAGGCACACAGTGCCTTCATCTCTGTTGTATGCAGCCCAGCTAAAAACCAAACAGACACACAAAAACAAAATGAAACAAAAAAAAACCACAAAAACCCCACAGGGTCATGGGGAGGAACACATCTGAGCATCTGCTTACCCAAAAACGTATTTATCAAAGCAAGTCAAAAAAGTTTTGGCAGCAGGGGGGAACCTGACGTGCTCGTGCTGTGCTGTAAAGGAGGAATGGTGAGGAGGGTCTCACAGGAATGGAGGCTTCCTTAGTTGCTTGTGCTGAAGTCAAAATAAGGTCAGAGCAAAAGCATTAGATGATGCGTGATAAGCAGTTGCGTGCCTGCTCTGGAGGCAGTAGGGTGGAGACCGTTTCCGTTTTTCATGTTTTTTATTTGTACTGGTGAAAATTAAACTACTGTGTGGGTGTGCCCCATTGGAGTACCGATGGTTAAAAAATAACTTTTTTTTTTTTATTGTTTATTTTATGGAAGATGGGAGTCTTTACCAGGTGCTGGGGATTCACCTTTTCCACCCTGTATGTAGAGCAGGCAGATTCTTCACCCATTTGGAGCTCCTCTGACTCAGATGGTGCCAGTTGCTGCTTAGGATTTCCTTGCTGTGCATGGCACCATCACCACAGCAGAACAAATCATAAGAGATCTGTCATTAAACATGTCTTGCTTTTTTTGTTTGTTTGTTTGTTAAATAAAATAGGAACAACTGTAGGGCTGGTCAGCACAAGAAAAGTATTTTGGTAGAGGTGAAGATGGGAATCGCAAGTGATAGAGTTGTACCTGTCAAAGCAGTAGTGCTTGCACAGCTGCAGCTTCGAAGTTTTCAGATAGATCTTGTGTGTTGGGAATCTTGTTCTGATGGTTAATTCTCGTGCCTACCTCTGATTGCCCGTGTAGGTCATGTTATAGATACCATCTTCGGAAATGGTAAGGCTAGTGCCAACCACCAGGCTGGCCCAAAAGCCATGGAATCTGAAAGCAAGTGCTTTGCTTTTCATTTCTACGCTGAACTCGTATTCTGACCGTATTTATGACCTTTCCTATAGCTCCTTCTTGAGCTCCTTTTTGAAGCTATAGGTGTAAGAAGATAATTTTAAATTAAATTTGAGCATCTCAAAATTCCTCGAATCTGGAATGAAGTCATGAACTGTAGCAAAGTCCTTGGCAAGCAGGCAGGAGCAGGTGGAGGTGCATATTTCTCTCTCTGTTCCTCATTTTATGCTGGTAACTCGGGATAAAACCTACTCAGCAGTTTTCCTTGGCACCCCTGCTGCTGGGCAGGCAGGCAGACATCTCCTGAGTGGGGCTGGTGTTTGTGCCTGGGTGGAAAAGGCCTTTTACTGCTTGTGTGCTCAGGGAGGAGGGAGGGTGTAGGCAGGTGAGCAGAACACGGGAACCCCTGTTCTGGCTCCGTGCTCTTAGATGAGCCATTTTGCCTTTTTGAGGTCGTAGTGCTCCAATCTTCTCCCATTGCCATACGCCATGGTGCTGGCATTAAGGGCGAATGCAGATGTTGCTTCAGGGGTCTGCCAGGGCTGCAGGCACCATGTTGTTCTGCTCACACCCCTCCCAGTGGAGCAGGGGCTGCTCCTGAAAAAGCTAATCCTGTTCCCCAACCTCAGGGTGCCCAGGATGCCCTGGGAGACGTACGGAGAGCAGAGGTAGCTGAGCTGGGCTGATAAAAGGTCCTGGGACAAGCATTACTGCTTTGGAGTTTGCTTTTCGAGCTCTCTCTCCCTTGTGGCATCTTTCTGTGGTGCCGTTTGCCCCTTTTGGCAGTGAGTGCCATTCTTTTGCTGACAGGGTGTGCATTGAACTGCTTGAGAGGAGAGGCTGGCCCTTCTGTTACCCAAAGATCTGTGATTCTTTTACCCAAAGATCTGTGATTCTGCTAACTGCGAGGCTTGGCTGTTAAACCCTTGAGCTCGCATTCTGGCCCAGCCTTGCTGAGACACAGCAGAAGGGCCTGGCAGACGATCAAGTCTGCCGAGCAGGATGTGCATCTTTGTTCCTGCTCTCTCCTGGGCTTGAGTCACCCAAAATACAAATGGGAGTGGGTGAAATAGGAGGCTGAGTGTGTACACACGAACAGGCAATCCCTGACCCCTCCTGCCCAGCGTTACTGCGCTGCATGCCTCGAGGTTAGGCCACCAGGATCCTGCTGCTGGCTCCCAGATGCTCCCGTCCTCCCCAGTGAGCCGCAGAGCACGTGCACCCATGGCAGAAGCTCGGAGCAGGAGCTGGCAGAGGAACGTGAGCCGACAGCTTACAGCGGGAAGCCGAGAGCGTGTTCTGCTGTCAGCGGGGCTGCGGGCCATCTGGGCATGCAGAACGGCTGGTGGAGTGTGAAAAATCCTTGCACGGTGGTGGAAAGAGGAGGAAATACACGCAGGAGGGTCTTTAGTGAGGGTTTGGATCTAGACAGCACGCACAGGGTCTTGTTCCCAAAGCTGATCTCGAATTGTGGGAGAGGGGGAGTGACTGGAAGCACTGCAACCTGCTTTGTGTCCCCTCTGCTGTTAGCTCCAGCCTAGCTGTGGAGGCACGAGGAGGAGCAGGCCTTGGGCAGTATCAAGTACAGCATGAGCCAGCAGGGAACATCCTCGTCTCTGGACATGAAACATGCTGCAAATGAAACGACGCCAACATCAAACCCTCCACGGTGTTCTTCTCATTGTGCTGCTGTGACAGGCACGATGTCACCGTCACCTGCAGCACAGAGCCCAGCTCAGCTGTGGAGCGCACCGCAGGGCTTTGGCCATGTCTGGGCATTGCTGGGGGTTTGGGGTGGACACACAGCTCCACTCCGGTCTTCTTTCATCTTTTGGTACTAAGTATTGGTGAAGGTGTCCATGAAAAAGCCCAAACTGACTCCGTGGAAAATCCACAGCAGTGGACTCGAGCTGCACACGCAGGCTAACACTTGCCAGCTGCACTGAGCCTGCTCTTGTTAAGAGAATAAACTGACTTGGATTCCCTTCTCGGCTACGTGCCACCCTGTGATTGCTTTATGACATTGAGCAAGTTGTTTGCATGCTTTTTCTTATCTGTCGAGGGAGTGATAATGGTGATCTGATCCCCCCGGTTTGTCAGTGAGTGGATTCGTGTGTTGCCCGGGGCAAGGGCCTTGTGAGGTGCCTTATCTGGTGGATTCAGGTGGGTTTTTGCCTCAGATAGAGGGGTCCAAAGCTGTTAAAAACATGTGAGCATTTTAGGCCTGTTGTTCTTATGGGGAAAGTCCCAGAGACCTGCAGTAATTCTGTCTTATCTGGCGGTGATTTTCCATCAGCTAATTGTTAATCTAATGCTGAAATTGTTCACGGTGTTCACAGTGATGGGGGCACTGGGAGGGATGGATTCTGAACCCCTGGAGCTTCTCTGCTTCTTTCCAGTACTCTCACACACAGAGACACGTGCACTGGCACTCAGGTTTATCAGCTCGCTGCTAATCAGCCCTTTTTATCTCTTCTTGTTTTTCAAGACCTGCTCCGAATCAGTGAAGGCCAAGGCTGCCAAGTCGGACTGGCTGCGAGACCTTTTCCTGCCTAACATCATGCTCTTTACCGATAAGAGGTACTTCAACGACAGGGAGTGGGACCGCCTGGAGCACTTTGCACCTCCCTACGGCTTCATGGAGCTCAATTACTCACGTGAGTCCCTCGGGGCACATCAGGATGGGATCCCCAAACCTCCCACAGGAACTGGATGCCAGATAGCTGCTGGCTGGCAGGATCTCCCTGTCAGAGGCATCAGGCTGGGCAGATCTTATGGGGGAAACTGTGGTGGTTTCCCTGGGTCCATCCCCGAGGCTCTTGATGCTAATTCTTCCCCATGTTTGCTTCACAGTGGTGAAAGAGGTCATGACATTGCTGCCCCCACAGCCCCACCAGCAGCTGCTCCTGGCCAACAGCAGCAGAAACGAGTCAACGTGCATTAGCTGTGCTGTTGTGGGGAACGGGGGAATACTGAATAACTCCGGGATGGGCCAGGAGATCGACTCCCATGACTACGTGTTCCGGTAAGGCAGTCTGATCGCTGCTCCCTTACAAGATCTTATGGGGGAAAGCTGTTCTGGCTAGCAGCTAATTGCGCTGACTCTGAAGCGCCAAAATGGTTGGTGGCAGGAATAGATGAAAAATCAAAAAGTTTTTTTCTCTTTTCCTGTTACAAACATGGTGCTAAGGTTTTGCAAGGTCACCTGCTAACTCTGCTCCTCTGTTTATTTCCTTGGCTAGGGTGAGTGGGGCTGTAATCAAAGGTTACGAAAAAGATGTGGGAACAAAAACCTCCTTTTACGGATTCACAGCCTACTCCCTCGTGTCCTCTCTCCAGATCTTGGGACACAAAGGGTTCAGCAAGATTCCACGGGGAAAAGTAAGTCCGGTCCATGCTGTTTGCTTGCACAGCTTTGACAGGATGCTGTTAGCGTTCAGTTCTGATCTTTCTATGCGTGATGAGCAAAGGGGCTGAGCTAATCCTTTAGCATTACCCTTGGCGAGGGAACCTGCATTGGCTTGAGAGTCAATCTTCACAGTGGCAAGTTGCTTTAGTCCTACCCCAGCCCTTTAGAACAGATGAGAATTGGTCACTTGGACCTACAAAGATCAAGTCCCACTGCCTGACCACTTCAGGGCTAACAAACGTTAATGTTATTAAGGGCATTGTCCAAATACTTACTAAACATTGACAGCCACCTCTCTAGGGAGCATGTTCCAAGGTTTGAACTCCCTCACGAACCTTTGGCATGTTGGAGTAGCATACATCAGATGTCCTCTCCGTTCTGCTTTGGTGGGATAATTAAAAGATCAGAGGTGTGTGCCTGAAAAACTCGGTGAACCTAGGTGCCCGCTTGCTTTTTGGTGCTACAGGGTGTCTGTCTCCTGTGCTGTTCATTAATGCTCACTTTTTGTCTTAGCATATCAGATACATTCACTTCCTGGAGGGAGCTAGAGACTACGAGTGGCTGAAGGCTCTTCTGCTGAACAAGGACATCAGGAAAGGATTCCTGAACCACTACGGGTAAATCAAACTGGCCCCACCTCTACACCCTTCAGCGTGGAGCTCTCTGCCCTACCATCTTCCTTTCCACGGTGCTCAGTCCTGCTGAGATGCAGGCCAGGGTCAAGCTGTGTTAAACCCTCCCTCCTCTTCCAGATTTATCTGGAGAAATGTATTATTTCCTCCCCAGCTATGAGCACTGCTGTAACCAATACATCTCCTTCTTAGAAATAGCTGGGTTTAGAGATGTGTGGCTTGAGCTCAGAGAAAGCTGTGGATGAATGCGTGCTGTTGCTTGCTTTGGTGTCTGTGCGTGGTCCTGCTCATAGATGGAGGCCTGATTTCACAATGTCTTGTCTATGAGCATGCATGTTTTAGACATTTATTTCCTGTTGTTGCTTCTCCTCCTGTGTCTCTTCCCCTGCAACACAGGCTGTGGAGGCTTTGCCACCTAAGAAATGTTGCAGAATAACTTAAGAGTGTTTATGATTCTCCTCTCATCACCAAGTGCATCAGGGCTGATGCTTTTCAGCCGTGATGAAATACAGAAGCTTGTCCTGAATCTCCATATTCCTGTCCGTAGGCAAAGGCCCCGGGATAGATTCGATGAGGATTTCACGTTGGACAAATACCTGGTAGTTCACCCAGACTTCCTCAGATACATGAAAAACAGGTGAGCTGGGGACCGTGTGCTTTGTGGCCAGCACCAGTGCTCTCTGGGTTCTCTCTTCCCAGCCTACTCTTGTAACTGCAGTTCAGCCACACCAGCAGACTTGGGGGGAGCTTCAGCAGTGTGCCAAGCGCTCGGAGGTATTGCAGGAGAAGGTGGTTGTGGGCAGAACCACAAACATCTCATCTGTGAGCTGGAGAAACAAGAGCTGTCAGACAGTTTGGCTGTCTGCATCCGAAAGAGGTCCCAGGCAGGTGTCAATGTTAGGTGTGGGCAGAGCATTGCTCAAGTGCCAGAGTAGTTGATGCAGTTCAGGACCAACCTTTCACGTTCCCCATTGCTCAGCACCCTGGAGGAAGGCTCTGTAACAGTCCTCCTCTCCTGAGATCCTGCCTTAACCCAAGGGGTTGGCTGTGCCCTCAGGCACAATAACGGGCTCTTCTTCAGTATCCCATTCACCTGGCCTGGCTGCGCTTCTTTGTGTCCCCAGTCCTTTCCACTGTCACTGTAAGATCTGCCAGCTGTGGGCCTCGTGGCCAGGAGGTGTAGGCAGACGAGTTCCCGTTGTGCCCTGCTTTGATTGTGTTTGCCCTTCGGTCTCCTTGAGCGCTGCGTTACGCCTCCTCGATAGATAGCACACGCAGTGCCAGATGGCTCGCACTCCCCTGCTTGTCCTGCTGTCTCCCCTCTGACTTGGGTCCTTTCCAAGGCTAAGAGGGCTCAAATGCTATTTTTTATTTTTTTTTCTGACTCCTACCTTCCTAACAACTGCTGGCACAAAACACGGCAGCTCGCAGTGGGTTTTGTGACCCTCCTTCTGCAGAGCAGGGCTCGGTGCAGGTTTACAGGTTTCGGTGGAGGGGATGGGAGCATTCTGGGCTGGCCTTGTGCTTTACAGCACTACCCACACGTGAGCACAGTCGTGGCTTATCTGAAATGCTCAGCATGGCCACAGGCTGCTGCAAGGAAGGAAAATGCCACATGAGCCAAGGAGGACAAGCCGTTCCCAGCTTGAGCCAGCACAACCAGCAGCTGCTCCACGCTTTCTTCTCTTCTGCTGCAGGTTTTTAAAATCTAAAAGTCTGCAAAAACATTACTGGCGGCTGTACAGACCCACAACGGGAGCGTTCCTGCTGCTGACTGCCCTCCACCTCTGTGACCAGGTAAGGGTATGGTGATCCTTGCACACAGCCCAGTCTGGAAGCAAGGACAGGATAACTGGGCAGAGCACGGCTGGCCCCAACCCTGACTGTCATGTGCCTGGAGGTTATATGGCTTCTGGTCAGCTGGGAGGGAACAGATTAGGGACAAGAGAAACAACCCTGGTATGGTTCACAGGGCCTGAGGGTTGTCATGCTTCCCAGGGAGGCATTTGAGAGGAGATCAGGCTCTCTGAAGCCTCTTTTTGCAATCTAGTCCATTTTGGATGCCCATGCAGGGCCACTGGGAGGCAGCCCTGACCTGCAGCCCTGTCCTGTGCTTCTACCTGTTTGGGAGCTGTGTAGGATTTCATTTCACTCCCTCTGCCTTCGGTATCTCTCCCCACTGAGCCCTCTGCCTTTCCCAGGTGAGTGCCTATGGCTACATCACGGAAGGTCACGAGAAGTACTCGGACCACTACTACGACAAGGAGTGGAAACGGCTGATCTTCTACATTAACCATGACTTCAACCTGGAGAAGCAGGTGTGGAAAAAGCTGCACGATGAGAATATCATTAGGCTCTACCAGAGATCCTGATTGCGTGGCAAGGGACATTGCCTGGGAAATCTCAACACCACCTCAAGAAGACCTCCAGATGAGTAAGAGGGCCACCGGGGCCAGGGTTAGCTCTGGACTTCCAGGCACAGTTTCATCTCCACAAAGATATTTCCCTCCTTCGGAACCTTTATTCTCTCGCAACGCTTCAAAAAATGTGCAAATTCTACAGACCAGGAGAACAGCAGCAAAAAAATGCCACCAAAAAAGGCCCAACTGACTGGGCTGCTACTGCTGTGGGTGGCTGCAGGTGCTCTGGTGTTGGGAGAGAGGAATTCAGGGTGAACCTAAGTAGCTTCCAGGCTTTCCCTCTGCAGGGAGGCGGTCCTCAGGCCGGGGCCAGTTTTTTTCTGGTTGGGTTCTCACTGCTGGTGGTGCCCCTCTTGGAGCTGGGTGCCTTGTCTAAGGAGGCTTCCCTGCAGTGGATGGAGGTGGACATACAGAGCTTGTCTCAGGAGGCTGACTTTTGTCCTGGAGGTGCTGCTGTCACTCCACTTGCTGTAGAGATGAAGGGTGGACTGGACACTTGGCTGCCAGATGGTTTATTCGAGAGAGGATGAGACTTCTGCCCCCGAGTGTGGCTTCGCTGTGACACCTCCAAAGGAGCACTGTGACATCTGGGGTCCAGTCGCTGCCCTGGGCCCCTCTCACAAGGGAAGGCAAACAATCCCCGGAGCGCAGCAGGCTGCCAGAAGTCGTGCCTCCTGCTGTGGGGCTCCCCTGGCTGCAGATCCTGTTTAACGGTCCCGGTGTGCCAAGCCGGTGCCTGGCTTTGGCACGCGTGGCTCCCAGCTCTGCCAGGAGCACCGTGCCTGCCTCCTGCCCGCGGAGGTAGGAGCTCTGCAGCTCCGGGGCTGGATGCTCTGCTGTTGCTGCTGGCTGCAGTGCCCGTATCGTGCTGGGAGAGGCATCGTGGCAGCCAGCAAGGCTTCCGAGCGCTGGCCTTCAGAACGTGGTTTTGTAAGCAAAATAAACGGCACCACTTTGGCCAACCCTGTGGTGTGTGATTATTTAGTGGGCATCCGAAGCAGCTGTTTAAAGGCTGAGATAGCGGGTAATGAAACCGGGAAAGGGAGGGAGAGGAAGAGGCAGGGCTGACTGTTAATTAAAACAACTTCGTCTGTGGGTGCTGTGCTACTTGTATGGACACAGCTGAGCATCTCTCCGGTTGCCCACCCCGCTGTTGCAGAAGGGGGGATGAGAGCTGGCCAAACGCCCCCCTGAGAACGTGGATAAGCACCCGGAGAGCTCGTCCTTGTCCCAGCAGCTGCTCTCTGGGTATATCAGATGCTGGAGATGAGAGCATGGGTGCTGGATGTTTCCCCTGTGACACCCCACAGGAAAAAAAACCACTTGCAGGGTGCAGACAGGCGCAGCACCCCTCCCTGCACCCACCAGGCTCTGTGCTGCGGCCGACCCTACATCCACTGCCTGGTCCCAGCCGACCCCCTCTGCCTGCGAGAGGTTTTCCTTTCGCCCAGCATTTCTCACGGGTGCTGCAGCATCTCCAGGGCTCCGAGGGAGGCATTTCAGCATGGATTGGCAGCAGGGTTTGTCCCAACTGATTTCCTTTGTCTCTTTATTGCTTGTGCTGTGGACGGATCAAGCGGTTTCTCATGGGTAAGCGGGTTTGCAAAGGCCAGCCCCCTACCCCCACCAATAACCTAAATAATAAATCCAGCTTCTCTGGGTGAGGGTGTAGCCCGTGGTGTCATGCAGTTACCCAAAATTCAGCATGCCTCTGTCGGGAATAACTTCCAGCCCTGTGTGAGCTCCAGACCCATGCGGAGCCATCATGGGATTTGGGGCAGACCCCAAATCCTTCCCGAGCAGCAGACGGCCTCCCCTAGAGGGACACCCCAATGGGGACTGGCCGCCTTCCAGGGCCAACCGAGGCAGCCTCCCGCTGCAGCCAGGAGCTCGGGGCTCAGCAGGACATCTCCGTCCCCTGCAGCCGGGCCACCCATGGCTCTGGGTGGGCAGCGAGGTGGCTTTGTTCCTTGCCCATGCACCGGGGCCCTGCCGAATTGCTGCGGGTTGCTTAGTGACCACCTCCGAGCGGCTATTCTTCCCGTCTGAATAGGGCTTTTCTCCTCCCAAGAAGTTGGAAGAAGTTTCTGTTAAACTCCTCCCTGCCCCCCTCTTCTTCTTTTGTTTCCCTCTCTTCTGGGAAACCGGACAGCAAGGGGACCGTGGTGGGCAAGGAGGGGACAGGCTGGCAGCCCCCAGCCCACGCTTTTTCCCCCCCGTGCCCAGCTCCTCCGTGGCTGAGATGTCCCAGAACCAAGGGAAGGAAATTTCCTGGCGTGTTTTTTCCCACCAGCAGATCCCATTCCCTCCAGGCTCTGCTCCTGGGATGGAGCCAGCTCCGCAGAGGGTTTGGAGCCCTGTGGTTTGGTGCATCCCCCAGGGGGAAAGCGGCGATGCCGAGCTGTGCCAGCGCATCCCCAGCCTCCCTGGCACAGCTGAACGGAGCCTGCAGGGATGCCCGAGGACAGTGCCGTGGTGCAGGGCCACCCAGCTGTCCCCACCGATGTCCCTGCGGCATTGTCCCAGTGCCACCAGGTGGCAGCTCCTGTTCAGGGACCTGCCAGCACCCTGCTGTGTCCGAGGTGTCCAGGTCTGGTGGCCAAGCACCCTGTGGCTGCCCACGCTGTGCCAGGCTGCCATCCCTGGGCATCCCAAGCTTTGTAACACCCGCCTGCCCCTGGGGTTATGGCCTGGGACCTCCTTCAGGTACTTGGGGACATGTGCAGAAGCGATTTGGTGGCTTCGAGTGCCACCCAGCTGCCAAGGATGTGCCAAGGTGCGGCCTCGGCTTGTGCAACGTGGCACGGTGCTGGAGGCAGCGCGAGCGGAGGGACTGGCAGCAGGATGAGGTCTGGTGTCCTCAGCACCCAGTGCTCCTCCTGGGGTACAAACACAGCACCCAGTGCTCCTCCTGGGGCACGGACACAGCACCCAGTGCCAGCTGGTGGCAGCACCCGCTCCCCTCTGCCAGCCAGGAGCTCCAGGGTCTGCAGGATTTAAAGCGGGATGTCGAGCCTCTGATCTGGGCAAGAAATACAGAGCTGGGCATCAGCACACCCAGAAGTTTCTGTCGCATTTGTCCTGCTTTTTCTGGAACTTACCACGAGGTGGAAGTACCGCCGTGCCCCGCTCCTGCCTGGGCTCCCCAGGAGTTAACACAGCCTCTGGATGCTCCCAGCGGGGCTGCGAGAGACAAATCCTCTCTCTCACAGTGCCACATTCCTGGCGGGGCCTCGAATCATTTGTTTGGTTTCCTCGCTGCCCTTTTCACGGCGTGACGCCTCACCTGTCCCCAGCAGAAGCAGGAGCCGTGGCTGACCACGTACTTGGGGGCACGTCGCTGCTGGGCTTTGGCCGGGCTGGAGGAGCCAGGTTGGAGTTCCTGGGCTGTGCTGACCACCCCACGTCCCTCTCCCCCAGCACTGCTGCGTGTGCCACGTGTGACATCCACATTGTCACTCCCATCCCTCTGTTCCCAGGCAAGAAACCCCGAGCAGCAAGGTGAGCTGGACACCACTGGACACCAGCACCCAGCTTCCCAGCATGGAGCGGGCGCTCCCGGGCAGCACAAAAACCCCTGTGCTGGTGACTCGCCACGTGGTTTTTGTATTTATTTGTGTTATCCAAGCAGAGAGAGGATTTGGGGGCAGGCCCTGCGTGCGCAGCGGCGAGGCCTGCACCCCGCTCACCCTGCGTTCCCTCCTGCCTCAGCGATGTGGCAGCAGGGAAATGCAGTCAGACGAGAAAAACTATTGATAACAGGGGAGGGTGACCAAGATAAAGGAGCAGCCCGTGGCTTTGTTCTGCACACAAGTACCAGATGACCTCCGGGCTGTTCCCTTGCAGCGAGCCCTGACCTCTGGGTGGGTGTTGGAGCAGGGCCCCGCGGGCAAACAGCTCCTGGGGACACAGCGGGCCCCGGTTCCAAGGGTTTCCTCTGCCAGGCACTGTGGGGTTTCCCCAGCCTGTTCGGGCCCTCAGGCAGCAAATCCCAGGTGCTGGGACCTGGGAAGACGCCAGGCTCCCTCCATGCCTCCTAAAGCTGTGTTTGCAGGCGGGGGCCATGCAGGCAGCCCTGGGGCCAGCAGCATCGCACACTCAGAGACCGCGTCCCCTGTCCCCAGCTGTGTCCTTGCAGGACAGAGCCTGGCCAGCCCCCTGGGCCATGTGGCAAACACAATCCCCTGTTTGAGCAACCCCTGGGGCCGTTTGGCCTGCAGAGAACCGGGCAGGATCACTCCAGGCCTGCCCTGCCCGGCCTGGAGCTGGCGAGAGAGCGGCTGGGGTTGTGCCACCCCAATTTCTCAGAGGTGTTTTCCAGCTCCGAGCCCCTCCAGGCCATAACCCAGAGCCTCAGCGGTTGCCTCATGCCCTACAGAGACCTTCGGACTGTGTGCTGGGCTTATCTCCGTCCCGCTCAATGGTCCGGGGCTGACCGGCAGCACCGCCATGCACAGGAGGCTCCGTGATAAGAGCGGGGCCGAGCCCGGCAGCTGCTGGCACAAGCCACCACGAGCCACGGGGCTGTCCAGCTTGCCACCCTCTCTGTGGCTCGTCCCCGTGATGTTCCTCCTTTTTTAGGGAGCAGGGGGGGACTGCAGGGTGTGTTTGCCCAGCGGGCTGGATCCTGCTGGTTTTGCTGCAAAGATGGGCCCCATCGGCTGGGTTTCCCCTTGAGCTGCGTCCCACTCTGTCCATGCTATCCATTTGGGGCTGTGCCCTGGGGAAGGATTCCCCCGTTCCTCGGGCAGCCTTTTGGGGTGAAAGGCAGAAAGGCAGAGCCCATCGCTCGGAGCTGCAGGCACCACGGGGTGGTGCTGAGCACGGCCCTGAGCATCCCCAGTCCTGTAGCTGCACCATGCTCCCTGTGCCCACGTACCCTCCGTGCAGCCACATCTCCCCAAAAACCCCCTGGGGACCAGCAGGGAGCACCCGGGGTGCCACAGAGGCACCGAATTTTGCCTGAGCCTGGCTCTGCAGGGACCTGGCATGAGGAGTTTTGGCCGAGCCATGCTCCCACCCCACTGGGAAGGGGCCGTGCACGGCCTCCCGAGACATCTGCTCATGGTTCGTGCTCATGCAACCACCTCGTCCCCGCGAGCAGCCATATGGCCCCGCGTTCCCTGGCAGGGCTGATGCTGCAACGCGTTTCTAAGGTCCATGCTTTGAATTTCAGGGAAATTTCCCATAAATTGATATGTTTTTGGCACTTTTTTAAACGTCCCTTCGACCTGTGCTGGACAAACTGGGAGGTGTGAATCCTCCGGGAGGTTTTTGGAGATCGTTTTCTCCCAGCTGGGCAGTTCATCATGGCAAAGACCCCAAGGCTTTCCTCCACCAACAGCCCGATGGTGCGGATTGTTCTCGTTTCCCTCCCGCTCTCTCTAGCGATGTGGATGGCTCGGGTTTTGTTTCCAAGGGTAATTACTGGGATAAAAAGCCCAGGCTAAAAATGATACATACTGGCTGTCATTGTAATTTCTTTTTGTGTTCTTTTTCTAATCTTTATTTGGCAACTATCACCCTAAAAGGTTTTCACACTTATTCAACTTCTAAATAGGCGCTGTTTAATTTTGGGGCAGGGGCCAAAACGTATTGTAGCATGAAACAAGCAGAGCAGATGAAGAACTGCATCTCATTTTCATCCCCTAATGAAAAAAAAAAAAAAAAAAGAAAAAACCAAAAAACAGTGAATGTGTCACCCCGCAAGCAGCTCCTCCACCCCACGGGGCAAAGGCACCAACGCTGCTGCTCACCGGGGTCTGCATTTTGGGGCCACAAACATCCCCGGGTGACAAATCCCAGACTTTCCCAGGCCACTCGTGGGGAAACTTTGCACCTCCAGGGCTGTGCTAGCTCCCCCATGGCTTACTGGAGCAGTTGGTAATAATTAGCCATGATTAACGAAGAGCCGAGAGCACATGAGCTGAAGCATGGGGTCACGAGGAGTGAATCCCCCTTGGTGCATGGAGGGGAATAGGGCCAGCGTGGTGCCCTCCTGTTTTGGGGGCTGGAATCCCCCTGGGGACCAGGGCTGGCAGCTGGGGGACCCAGGGAGCTGCGCCCCCCTGGCTGGGGTTTTGGGACAGCCGTGTGTTCCCTGCCAGCCTCCGCAGAGGGTCACCCCCCGGTGTGGTGCAGCTGAAGACCCCTTCCCTAAAGGGAACCCCCCCCTACCACTCTGTGCTTGCCCTATGCTGCGTCCCTCGGGGTCTCTGCAGCTCAGCCTTAGCCCTGAGACCACTCAGCAGCCTCTAATTCCTCTGATTTATTGGCCTGATACTAATTGTGGCCCTAAAGCTGACTTTTGGCTAGGAGAGGATTTGTAGGAAGAAAAAAAAATTAAAAGAAAGCCAAAAAGAGACTGAAACAAGGTAGTTTAAAGGGATTTTTGCATTTATCTTTCTCTGAACCAGCAGCATCGCTGGAAGCGTGGCGGTGTGGGTAGGAATGGAGGTAGGGGGGCCTGGATCTGGGGTGGGATGAGAAATGCTGGGACAAAATGCACCAGCGGGGGGCTGGGGAGGTGCCCGGGGGGACGCGGGGCTGGATGGAGCAGGGCTCACTGCTGCTGCTGCTCCCCTGGGGCTGGTGGCTTCCTAAAAATCCCCCTCCCTCCCCCCAGAATCCCCGCAGCTCACTTTAAATGCCTGTTTTCCCAGCTGAATCCCTTCCCCCAGTGTGAAAGCGTTTGGGTGTTTCCTTTAGTTTTCAGGTTTGTTTCCTTTCTTGCGCTGAATGTAGTTAAACTTTTCTCGAAATGCTCTTTCAAGAACGATCCAGAGGCGCTTTCCTTCCGAAAACACCAAAATGCTTCGTCCACGTTTCCTTCCTGCCCTCCCCTCCCCAGCCCAAACTCGAATTCAGCACAAATTTGTGAATTCGTGTTGGTTGCTGTGAAATTGGGGAATTCCACGGGGAATTATTTGTTCCCCTGCAAAAGCCTGCGGGTCCCGGGTAGCCCCACCAGCGCTCAGGCAGCTTTGCCTTTTTGCCCCTCGTTTCACCCCAAATTTGCTCCTGTGGCGGGGAGGCTTTTGTGGATCCCCTGTGTGTACATGCTGCAGAGCTGTATCGGGCACTGGGGGCTGGAGCTTGGGATTTTCTGATCTGCCACAATCACCCCAGCCCCGAGGGGTCCCCGGGTGTTAGCGTGGGCTGCGTGGGAGCGCAGGGCTGGAGGCCGAAGGAGAAAGAGGAGAAAGTTACAAAAAAAAAAAAAAAAACGGGGGGGGGGGATAAAAGGGGAAAAGCTCTGCTTTGTGAGCTGTAAGTGGGTGGCACGAAAGGGAGGCAAAAAAAAAAAAAAAAAAAAAAAAAAGCTCATTTCTCCGTTGGTCTGAGTAAATGTTTAATCCCCGGCTCGGAGCAAAAGCAACTCAAAAGTGCGTTTTTTCTCAGCAAGCCCCAACCAGTCAGCCCGGTGCCTCCTCCCTCCGCTCACGCTCTCCCTCCCACCGCTCCCCAGGGACATCCGAGGAGCTCTGCGAGGTGCAGTGGGGCCAGGAGGGAGCCAGCCTCAACCTCTACCCCAACGGGTGGGCAGCGGGGGCGGCCGGGGGCTCGGCTCCACGCGGGGCTCCGAACATCGCCTTCGCCACTCGAGCAGCGGGATGGGGTCCCCGCACTGGAAGCGTCTCTGCCTCTTGCTGCTGGCGGCTTTTTCATCCTCCCTCGTCCTCTACGGGCACTACTACGCCACAGTGGAGCTGCCCGCTGGTCAGAGAATCATAGCCAGGTAAGGGCGAGGTGCTGGGGAGGGGGATTTGGGGTGCTGGGGTGCTGGGGCAAGCCCCTTGGAGCAGGTCATCCCCACTGCGCCCCGGTTTCTTTGCTGGGTTGAGAAGAGATCGCAGCAGGCTCTGCCTCCCCGAGGTGCCCCCGGCCACCAGCAGCACCCAGGGGTGCCCAGGGAGGGACCCCAGGGTGAGGGGGGGCTGCAGGGGTCCCTGCGTGGGTTCAGCCCAGCGCGGTGCCAAGGAACCAAAGGTGCAGGGGCAGCTGAGGGTGCTCAGCACCCGGCAGGACTCAAACCACCTCCAGCAGCCGGGCAGACCGGGCTGCAGCCGGCTCCTTTCCCCGGGGGGGGTCTGGCCCCACGCTGCAGCACTGACCCTGGACGGGGCAGAGCTGCCCGCAGCCTGCTCAGCTCCCTCGGGGCTGCTGGCAAACTCCAGCAAGTCCCCAGCTCCAGCAGTGGGCATCTCCCCCTTCGTTTTTCCCTTCGGGCTTCCCCTGCAGCCTCTACCCTGCCTGAGGCTCAGCCGGAGTCCCCCTGGTGCTGGGGAGCCCTGGGGGTGCCAGCAGGAGCAGGCACCCTCCTCTGCCCCGAGCAGCGGGTACCACACCAGCAGAGTGCTACGGGTGCCCCTCGCCTCCGCGCTGGGTGCTCGTGGGTGCTCCCAGAGCTCAGGAGGGAGAGGAGGATGCTGCGGGGACCTGGTCCCGCTCATGACCTGCCTGGGTTGGACTGGGAGTTACTGGGGTGCAGCTGGGTGGGCTGCCCTGGGGTCCCCACGCTGCTTCTTCCCCCGCTGGGAGCGCGGAGCTGTGTCTGCGCCCTCCCGTCCTGCCTGGCGCGGGGCTCTGCTCCCTGCAGGAGCATCCCCGTGGCAGGAGCTGGCTCTGGGTGACCGGTGGTGGTGGTGACAACAGAGCCAACCCCTGCCACACGGTGCTGGAGTGCTCACGATTGTGGTGCTGAGCTGCTCCCTGCACAGCTGCGTCCTCAGCCCCTCCGGGAGCCCGCAGCAACGCGCCCGGGAGCACCAGAGGCTCCAAAATGCTTCCAGTTTTGTTTTTTTCTTTTTTCCCTTGGCTTCAAGCCAAACCCTAAAGCCACAGCTACAGCAGGGCAGGTCCTGTTCGCCTCAATTCCCTGTGTCTACACGCACCCCGACCCCGAATCTCTGCTCGTCCGTAAAAGTTGTGTTAAAGCCTCAGCCCGGAGCAACCAGCGCTGCCCGGCGGCTGATGCAGGGCTGGATCTGGAAGTGAAATCTGTGCGTGCTGTGCTCCTCGCTGCTAAAGCACAGCCGCGGTGCAGGATTTGTGCTTTTCCTCCCGTTGGGGCAGAAGGGAAGGGCCAGAAGTGCTCCTGCTTCGGTGCCACATTTTGGGGAGGTTTGCGGGCACGAAGCGGGTCGGGAGGCACCGCCTGGTGCTGGCTGCTGCAAGCACCAACCCACCCCACCAGGGGTACGTGTGGCACTGCCCTGACCCCCTCTGGTTCAGTGCAGGGCTGGTGGCAGCAGTGAGGACCCCGTGGAGATGGACAAAATCCTCCTGTCCCTGCTGTGAGTCAGCTGCACCGCGGGCTGCCAGCCTGTCCTGCTGCAGCCCCATCCCACGCCCTTCCTGGCCGTTTCTCCAAACCCCTCCAGATTTCTGCTGGGACTTCTCACGGCTTTAATTCCAGCAAATGGGCTGGGCACCATCCTGCCTTGGCTCTGCACCAGGGGATGATGCCCTGAGCCCGGCCCTTTGCAGCGGGACGCAGCCCACGGTCACGCTGCTGCTCCGGCTCCTTCAAACAGCCCCGCGGGGACCCAGGAGAGTTTGGTTAAGATAGCGCTGGAGTGTGTGTGCTCTGAAACACTTGTGCATATATTTATCTTCCGGAAAAGGAGGGTGGGCACGGGCCAGAAGCGTCACATTGGGCAGCTTTACAGCTTTACACACCCAGGCTTGGCTCGCTCCTCTGCCGTGGCCAGTGCGCCCGGGCGGCCGCGGGCCACTCCTTTCCCGGGAGCCCCATTGTGCATCCGTCGGTCCCTGGGGGGGAAGGGGGGTCATCTTCTGAGTCAACCAAGCATCGCAGGGCACGGAGCCACCGAGGCTTCGCCACATCCTGGCGACTGACGTCAAGGCGCCGGGCTCGGCCGGGTTTGGGCAGCGGCCACGGTGCCGCAGGGATGGCACCGGCGGGTGGGACGGGGGCGCCGCCTGGGTTGGCGTCATGGGTTCGGCACAGGGCCTGGGAGGGGATCTGCAAACACCCAGAGCTGTGTTTGGCCACCGAAGGGAAGTGGGAGCCATCGCCAGCCTGAGCTGGAGGGGGTTTTAGCAGCCCGTGCTGCCCCAGATGTTCCTGTAACAGCCCAAAGTAGCCGGCACCGAGAGCGTGGGGCTGTGCCGGGGTCTCTGCCCACCCCAAAGGCACCAGGATATCAAAGGGAGGGGATGGGAAGGAGCTGGGGAGGCAGCGAGGTGCAGCTGGGGCTCATGAGCCTGATGGGGAGGAGATGAGGAAGGACTGGGGCAGGGATGGGCTGTTTGGGTGCAGCTCCTGGGGAGGGATGGGAGCTGCTCCAGGGGCTCGCTGCGGGGCTGTGTGTCCGTGGTGGCAGAAAGGGGCAGGTGGCCGAGCTGGGGGCTTCGTGTGCTCTGCTTTGGGACCCAGAGCTCCGCAGGACTTGGTTCTGGATGGACTTCAGGTTTGGGTGGTGGCAACACCAAGGAGCTCTTTTGGGGAGGTTGGGGCTGGGGCTGGGCATCTCCTGCGGTGCAAGATGGAGGAGATGCCCAGGGTTGAGGCTCAGCTACCTGTGAGATGCCACCAGGGTTTGGCACCGCTGGGCTGACCCGGCAGGCAAAGAATTTCTTGTTTCTTGAGACTTTCAGCTCGCTGCAGGGCCGAGCTGTGCTCTGAGCAGTGCGTGCTGCCTGCGGCTGGGCCAGCCGAGCAGCGAGGTGCTCTGTGTGCGTGGGGCAGCCCCAGCACCGTGCCTGCTGCTTCAGGTTTGGGGTGGCCTCGAGGGGTGCATGGGGCTGGGGGCGGCACCTGTAGCCCACCCTGCCCCGGTGTGGCCATACCGGGGCTGCTGGTGCTCAGCCTGTGTGAAACGGGGACCCCTTCGCCCTTGGCATCGCCCATCCTGAGCCAGCCCCGTCCTAAACTGGTGGGATGGAGCCTGAGGAGCTGACAATCCCCCAGGGAACACTGTACCCAGCTCTGGGCAGCGTCCTGGTGGCAAACGGGTCCGGATCAGCTCTGGGACAGGGCTGGCACCGTGGGGAGGAGGCGTCCCCGTGGCAGGGGACAGGGGAGGTGGCTGGGAGGAAACCCAATGCTCGCCGCGCGGGGGGAGGCAGAGCTGCGCTCCCCACCTGCCTCTACCTGTCCCCGAGCACAGATCCCGTAACAAGGGGCCCTTGTCTGCTCCACAATACCCCGCTCTGCTGCCCCGGCTGGGGCTGGCTCCGGGGTGCTCTGAAGGGCCCTTCTGTGCGGGGATGAATGGGAGCCTGTTCCCCGCCGGTGGGTGCCCACCTCCTGCCGCCGGGCTGGGACCCTGCTGGGCCACAAAACCCCCCCGGGGGCACCCCTGGGGCTCTGGGCCCCCCGAGATGCTCGGGGTGGGGAGCTCCCTGCCGCCATCTCCCACCGGTTGGTGATGCACGGGAGCAGGGTTTTATTTCCCCTTTCCTTGCTGTGCTTGCTTGGAAAGCTGGAGGGGACCCCCGCTAGCGAGTACCCAGCTTCAAGAAAGAGAAGAAAAGCCAAGGAAATCTTTGCTGGTTTGCTTCCCTTTCCCCCCAGGGTTTTGCTGGGGACGTAGCCAGTTGGCAGCTTCTGGCCCTGCTTCCTTTGGGGCTCAGTATTTTGTGTCCCCTGAGGGTCCCCAACCAGCCCCATCTCTGATCAGGGGGGCATCAGGGCACGGCCCACCCAGCCCCACGCACCCCAGGGACCCTCCCCATCCCCGGTTCCCATCACTTTTCCAGCACAGCACCACGCTTTTCATGGAAAGGGGGTGTCGGGATGTGGGGTCAGTGCCACCTGTCCTCATCCCGGTGTCCTCTTGCAGCCTGCTGCAGCCAGAGCCGCTGCTCCTGGCTCCGTCGGGGACCTCGCACCCAGCCGGCAGCCACAGGGCCCTCCGAGACAGCTTGGAGAGGTAACGTGGGGGAAAAGGGGTGCGTGGGGAACCCAAAACAGGCTGGGAGAGCACTGCGGGGCTCCCCAGGCCCCCAGGGACAGGTTCTGACAGCTCCGTTCCCCTTTTTCTGGCAGGGAGTCCTTCAAACCTTCCTCGCAGCCAGAGGAGCGCAACCGGAGGCAGGTAATGCTTGGCAAAACGTGATGTGCTCCTGGTGCTTCCTCCTGCTGGGCTTTTTGTCCGGGTGGGGAAGCTGAGGGCCAGCTGGGCTGAAAGCAGCACGGTCTGGAAGGGATTTTTGTGTGGGGAGGAGCAGCCCACTCCGTGAGCCCAAATCCTCCCATGCCCTGGGGAGCCGGGGGCTGGGGGGACCCCAGGCACGAGGCTCCCATGCCGAGGTGACCCAGCAGAAATCATGATGGGCGAGGAGCCGTGCTGTCCCTGGGCTTGTCCCCAGCTGGGTGGAGATGCTGGGGGGAAATTGGCTCCAGCCTGGGGTCCGAACCGTGCTCCTCTCGCCCCCAGCCCAGCCCCTGCCCCCGCTCGGTGGTGGAGGCAGCCAGGGCGCACCCCGCCTTTGGGGAGCTCTTCCAGTTTGCCACCCCGGTGCTGATGTGGGACCAGCACTTCAACCCCGAGACCTGGAACAGGCTGAAGGAGCGACACGTCCCCTATGGCTGGCAAGGCTTGTCCCACGCAGGTATGGCACCGAGCGGGCTGGGGGTGGTGGCAGCCGGGGCATGGGGCGGCTCGAGGGGACTGGGGACAACTGGGGACCCCAGGGGAATGGGGACCGGGGACCGTGGTCCCTTCCCACTCCACCTCCCCGGGAGCAGGGTGGAGGGCACGGCTCTGCAAATGCCACTCGCAGCATCTTGTGACATTTTCCCCAGATAAAAGCTCCAGTGTGTGCATGATTATTAACTGGGGCCCGGAGGACCTCGGACAACCCGCTCCATTGTTGCCAGAGGAGATTGTTTCCCTTCCAACCCCAAACCTACTCCCTGCTCTCCCCGGCAGCCGCCAGCTTCAGGCCTTGGGCTGGGAAGTGCTGGGGAGGGCGAGGCGGGGGGGCAAAGCAGGGGCAGCTGCAAGGAGGCATTGTCAGGACGGGAAATGAGCGGGGCTGCCATCAGCACCCGCGGGACCGGGGCTGGAGACGTCCGGATGTGTCCCTGTGCCATGCACAGCACCTGGCAGCCGCTGCTTGGAGCAGGATCAGTAATGCTGGGGGCTGTAACGTGGCTGGATTTGGCTTTCTGGGGGTACCGAGCACTTTGAGCTGGTGTTTGTCCACCCCCCCTGCAGACCCCTCCTATACACGAGGATGCCGTGAGCCTTTTTGGGGTGCCCGGCTGTCTGCGCGCTGCTTCCAGGGGCAGGTTTTGCTCTCTCGCAGCTGAGGTTTTGCTCTCTCTTTCCCTTTTCCCCTGTGTGCCCCCCACCCAGCCATCAGCAGCACCCTCCGACTCCTCAACGCCTCGGCCAACAGGCAGCTCTTCGACCGGCGCCGCTTCCCGGGGGGCTGCGTGCGCTGCGCCGTGGTGGGCAACGGCGGCATCCTCAACGGCTCGCGGCAGGGCGAGGCGATCGATGCGCACGACCTGGTGTTCAGGTGGGGCCGGGGAAGGATTGAGGGGGGGGCCCTGGGGGTGCTGGGGAGGTCCCAGCCCCGGACACGGCCCCGCGGTGCTCCCACAGGCTCAACGGTGCCGTGATCAGGGGCTTCGAGGAGGACGTCGGGACCAAGATCTCCTTCTACGGGTTCACGGTGAACACCATGAAGAACTCGCTCATTGCCTACGAGGAGTACGGCTTCACCCGGATACCCCAAGCCGAGGTGGGACCCCCACCATGGGGCACAGCGGGGGGGTGGGTGGCTGACCCCAAATTGTCCCCTGAGGCTGGGATACACCTTGCCCCAAACCTTCTCCAAGTCGCAGGAGCCTCAGCCCTCACCCCGCAGGAGGGCAGTGCCCCAAATTCCCCCCCCCCAGGCCCCGTGTCTGTGTCCCCCCTGCAGGACCTGAAGTACATCTTCATCCCCTCGGACGTGCGGGACTACATCATGCTGAGGTCGGCCATCCAGGGCAGCCCGGTCCCCGAGGGCTCGGACAAGGGTGACGAGTGAGTACCCATGGGTGAGGCACCCGAGGGAGCGCGAGCTGCCCCCGCCTTTGTCCCCGCTGGGCTAAATCCCAAGTGGCACCCATTCTCCTCTCCCTGCTGCAGTCCACGGAAATATTTTGGACCGGAGGTGTCCGCGGAGAAGTTCAAGCTGCTGCACCCGGATTTCCTACACTACCTCACAACCAGGTGAGGAGGAGCCCGATGCAAAGCCCGGGCTCAGCACCCAGAGGTGCGCAGCTCTGCCTGCCCGCCTCCCAGCCCCGCTTTCTGCAGCGTGGCCCCGCAGCTGCCCAGTGCCAAAACTGGGCTCCAGCCCTGGTTCCAGCTTGGTTCCAGCCCTGGTCCGTCCCCAGAACTGGAGCCACCTCTGTCCTGCTCTCTGCAGACAAGGCAGGGAGATCCCCCCCCTGCCATTCCCATTCCTCGTGGTGCCACACGGTTCCTCCTGGTGGGGAGTCTTGTACAGCCCGGCTGCGCTCACCTGGCCCTCCACTTCCCCAAACACGTTAGCCCATTTTGAACCATTCTAAAGAAGCAGAGAGAAGGTCCAAAGGGATTTTTTTTCCCCCTACATCTCACGCAAACCAGTGCCTGGCTTGGGACAACTTAAGATCCCGAGGCGGCGCGTGTTAGCAGCTTGCAGAGAAGGAGCTGAACCTTAGTAGCAGACACCCGAGAATCCACAGACGGTGAATTTGTGGGTTCTTGCCGCTCGGTGCCCCTGCCTTATCGGGGCCGGAGGTGCCGGGTGTGTGTCACGCGCTGGCGAGGCGCCGGGCGGTGCAGTTTGGCCGCGTGCCCCCCTCCAGCACCGTGTCTGCACCCGCAGGTTCCTGCGCTCGGAGCTGCTCAACATGCAGTACGGCCACCTCTACATGCCCAGCACCGGCGCCCTGATGCTCCTGACAGCCCTCCACACCTGTGACCAGGTAAGAAGCCACGGGGCCACCTTCCCCAAACACCTTGGGGGTCCCCTTTGGGCGTTGTTGGGCCCCCCGAGGCGCTCACCGCCCTCTGTCCGCCCGTCCCGTGGCAGGTCAGCGCCTACGGGTTCATCACGGGCAACTACGAGCAGTTCTCGGACCACTACTACGAGGTGGAGAAGAAACCCCTGGTGTTTTATGCCAACCACGACATGCTGCTGGAAGCGGAGCTGTGGAGGAGCTTGCACCAGGCGGGCATCATGGAGCTGTACCAGCGCTGAGGCCGGGCACCGGCCCGACGGGGTGACCCCGAGGCGTCCCCGCGCAGCGTGGAGGGGCTCTCCTCCTTCCCGAGGTCCCCGTCCGTCCCCGCAGGGCTCTCCCGACGCGGCGGGCCAGCCCGAGGAGCGGGCAAGCTGGCAGCAGAGCCGTGGGGATGGTGCTAACGGGAGAGCCCACGGTTCCTCAGGGATCTCCAGCAACTCCTTCATGGCGCCGTGAGACCGAGCGCGGGCTTCGGGGCACCGAAAAGCGCCGCTGAGCGTGGCTGGCACCTCCCCGTGCCACCAAGGTGTCCCTTGGGGTGGCAGCAGGCCCTGGGAAACACGGTGCTGGTCTGCAGCTGGGGCAAGGGGATGCTGGAAGAGGATGCTGATGAAGTGTACATCGACCACCTTTGTTCCTTTCAATTTTTTTGAGTTTTCTGGAGATTCAATGCCTTTTCTGCCTGCAGTTTCCAGCTGGAAAACCCCCTTCACTCCGCCAGCACGCCCCAGCCCAAACGCTCGGCACTGGGGCAGGACAAGTGGGAGGAATCCTTGGCCTGGGGACGAGATGGTCTGAATGAAAGAGTGGTGCTGTGCTCGGACACCTCCTCTCCCGGATTATTTAACGCCTCAACGTCGGGCAGCTCTGGGCTGACAGCCTTAGCTGCCCTCTCTTGTGACAAAACCTATAATGCATGGTGTCAGAAGCTTTTTTTTTTTTTTTCCAAGGCTAAGCTATTTAAAAAGGAGAAAAAATCCTACGAGTGAACTAAAAACCCTGGGTGACCCAATGGTGCCGTGGGAGATGTGTGCGGGCTCCTGAGGCTCGGGCTGGCTGGAGGGTTGGTGTTGCACAGCGGGGGGAGTGCTGTGCCCTGAAACTTTCCCTATTTTGTACAATTACAGGAACTTTTTGTAACTTTCCTCCGTGCTTGCTGTGGTGGGTCAGCTATGATGCACTCTTATCCTGTAGCAGAGGGGCTGGAGGCTGTGAAACAGCGCGGCTTCAACGTGGGGAGGGCTCGGAGGCTGAGCAGGGCCCTGACACAACCCCCCCAGCCGGGCGGTGGCTGCATGGGATCGGATCCCCGGGCACTCCTCCACGCAGCCCGTCCCCACCTCTGATGCTGTTTCTTTCCAGCAGCTGAAGGAGCAACTCCTTGCAGAGATGGCGAGAGATAGCCTGGCCCCTAGCCAGGGAACCCTGCACCCCCCCAGGCTCCATCTCCCTTTGTGAGAGCAAGCTGCACGCAGCTAGTTAGGAGCGAGCTGAGGAAGATTACATCTGAAACGGGCTGGCGGGCTGATCCCCAGTGTGGAGCCCGGCTTCGGAGTCTCAAATTAACCTTTGTGCACGTCAATCACCTCACAATGGTACCCAGGCAGCCTGTTAGGCCTGTTCCTGTAGGCAGAACCCCTTCCAGGACAAGAAGGACCCTGATTCCCGTGCTGCCTCAGTAATGTGCCACCAAAACCTCCTCAAACTAGCTCTGGCCAAGCATGAGCACGAGCCATGTGGCTGTAATCACAGCGATGGGTGGCACTGACGCACATGGCAAAAAGCAGTGTTGTTTTTTTTTTTAAAGATGAATGCTGTCATAGTCAAGCATCCTGCCAGGGCTCCCAGCCAGCTTCCATGGGTAGAGCTGTGTGCACAGGAGCTGCGGCACTCACACACCTTTCCTGTTCCAAAAAAGGAGGTTTTTCTATCCGCTGGTGCAGGCTAGCCCTGCAGTTAAACATCCCTCCCTCATTTTATGGCCTTATCAAGGAACCTGATTGTTGGACTGCTGCCTCTCGCTTCTCTTTGAGCTTCTAAGCAGACAAGAACTGTGTTTTTACCAGTTCTAGCTTTTCCATAAAGTTTTGTCACAGTTACCATGAATTTCTTCAGCATTTTCCTTTCAGCAGAAAAACTTTCAGCATTTTCCTGTAGAAGACACTCAAACCTGAAGACTTCATCAGGTACTGGGAAGAAGCAGGCAGTGCTGTGAAGGGCAAGCTCAGTTTCTGTGATATCAGAAAGCATTTCACCCTGAAATCCTTTCTATCTGCTCAAAATCCTTTGTTTGATTAGATACCCATTACAAAAAAAAAAAAAAAAAAAAACACAAAAAACTTTAACTCTCAAGCCAGTTTCAATACTTTTGTGTTTTATTCTGGAATAGAAGACTGCAGGGAACCACTCCTTCCTCCAGCCAGCTGCAGAGCAGGTCCTAGTAGAAAAGACAGCATCAGAGAAGCAACTGTCAGATGAAAAGTTTCCACTGATTTGCATTATTTAATCAAGAGTACGTATCTCAGAAGACTGGGAAGTGCTCTTATGAGCGACAGCTCAGCCTTTATTCTGCATCCAGCTGGCAGAAGCCTGCACGCTGAATATGTGATCCTGCTTTTCGTAACACAGCTAACTTCCCTGCAGCCAAGGCTTCAGGGTTCTAAAACGTGCTTCTCCCCCAAAGCCACCAGCACTAGCACCTGAATCCTCTCTGGTCCTACTGGGATCTTACCAGTGGTGCAGTTGTAACAGCCACTGAGCAGAGACAGAGCCCGCAGCATGCCCAGGTGCCCGTTTTACATCACTTCAAGTGAAGTGCTATCAGTTGTGAGACCCTCTGCAGAACAATCCTCCTGCTGGTGCTGGGAGACACCGCAAAATGATGCTGTCACTGCCCTAAGCATGCCTGCTTTAAGCTCCTGCCCTTCTCTGTTCTCCAAACACCAGACAGCTGTTACTTCTCCCACCACGCTGCCCCTTCACCTTTTTTCCCCTCGCTCTGTGGAAGCCCGAAGCCCCACGGAAGGTAACTGTATTTGCAAAGCAAGCACTCTGCCGGGCTGTAGTAACGTTCCCTCCCCCTTTGTATACTAACCTGTACTTAAGGACGGAGGCAGTCCACTGTCGTCAAGCCTGCCGGTTCAGCCCGTCACCGACCATTATTGATCTGCAAACAAATTCGGGTTCTGTTAAATAAAGCATGGAACTCCCAGCAGAACGCAGCTGTCAGCCGCCTGCAGATAAAGCACAGTTACAGTGTGTGTTCAGTGACTGTACATCGCGTCAGATAAAAACACGTTTCTTATCTGCCCTCTCAATGTGCCTTACCGTTTGCACAAGCGACTTAAAAGCCATTCGCAGATCTAGAACTAAACTGTGCTCTGACAAGAGCAGCCTGCGTTTATTATACTCCCTGCACGACCTTGCCACATCTGGGCTCCTGCGGGCCGGCTGCTGAAGGACAGACGGGCACATGGAGAAGTTTTTGTGCGTGCTCCTGCATCACAAGGGCAGGAGGAAAGCAGGCAGGCACCGATTTTGCCTTCCTGGGGTCATTTGTGTCACTTTAGCCCTTGCAAGATGCAGGAGGGCTGCTGAGGGGAAATACGTAAGCCTCAGTGGACAGTTTTTCCCTCACAGATGAGTTGTCAGACAGGGATAACAGCACATCACCGGCTCAGTTTCTCCCCCATCCTTGGCTACATGAAGTCAAGTTCTACAGAACTGAAGAGCGGAGACGCCCAGATGCGGGCACGTCTGGGAGTCTATGACCTGTGTTCTTCCTGGGAAGCATTCAAAAATTAGGTGTTCTGGTCAGCAGATGAGTCACGCTGCCCACAGACTTGGCGTGTGAGGTGTAAGCCGAGCAGCACGCAGTGCTCAAGGATTCTCTTACCAGTTCGACGCCCGACTTCAGAGCTGCCTGCTTGCCAAAGCTGTCCTTGGGGAAGACGCAACCCAGGATTCTACAGCATGTTTTCCTCCTAAATATAAGATGCAGTGAACATTTAGCAGCAATCCTTCAAGGGAAGTTTGTCCTCCCCTTATAAAACCAGCACCAAGCCACCCAGCAAGAATCGGAGGAAGGTTTCCTTTCTGAGAGCCAATTTTTGTATCAAACTCAGCACAGCAGAAACCCATCCCTCAGAGACAGGGAGCATATTTCACATTTTCGATCTGTTTCACTCGAGAGACAAGCTCTGGGAGATGGGTGCTATTTAAATCCTCGCTTAGACAAAAACACCAGCTTTGAGACTTCGGTGCTTTAGACCCTTTTAAGCTGTGTCAAGCAGCCAGTGCTACTTTTCCCCACCACACAGGAACATCTTACCACAACTCCCCTTGCAGAGAGGAATAAGGCACTCATTTGGGATGCAAATCACCCATGGACTTGAGAAATGCCCTGAAGCAGGTGTCCATCAGCCACATCCCTTCTAGGAAGGGTTCTTTAGTGTGTGCCCCTTTTGGGCTGACCTTTTGGTGTACGTGAGCTGCACCTCCCTACTCCCAGCCACCCAACGCAAGCACAAAACTACCCCAGTACACCTCCAGGTTAGCACAGAGACCAATTATCCTTTCACCAGGTCTACTCCTTTGACAAACACACTTCGGAGATGAGCTGTGTCAAGTGTCTCCCTAATGGGCTGCCATTCAATCCCTCTAATTTCTAATCCCTTCTACTCTTGCTCATCTTTGACAACGTTGACAACCAGGTGCTCCACAGGGCACCAACAACATTCAAATCCCCATTCATTGCGCGCTGCCTTTCAGTCTGAGCTCCATGGTAGCAAAGAGCTGCACACTCAGGTGGCAGCTGCAACAAAGCCACAGCCTTGATTGGCTTAATTACACTAATCAAGCCATTAGGCTTTTATACCTCCTCCCAGCAGCCTGAGAAGGCTATCATCTGACACAGCAGAACAAGCCTTACATCCACAGCCCAACAACAGGAGAAAACTCAAGCAGGATGAGCTAAATGCTGCCGTTTCTCACCCATGTGCTGATGGTGCAGGTCTGCTGCCAACGGAGTGGAAGAATCAGCTTCCCCGAAAGGTGAGTGCAAGGCGCATTTTTATGCTTGCTCGACAACGTGCTGCCACCTGGAAGAGTGGAGGGATACTGAGCGTTAATCCATGTAACGTGGATTATATACACGGAGCTTTTATCTTTTTGTCTTTAATGCTGAGCCTCAGAATCATGATTCCACAGGGGAAAATGTGATTTCAGCCAGGGATAACATAATCATCACTAGCTCAGCTGCAGCCCAGGCCTCCTGGAGCCTGCTCCCAGCTCCTTCCCCGGGTGCCAACGACACCTGGCGGGCACAGCACGCTCCGTTTTGCATTGCTGGGCGGCTCGGCGATGGGGAACGCTGCCTCAGGCCGCCGAGCCTCGCTGCATGAAGCCTGTACCGACAGCAGTGCTGAGCCGTGCCCGCTGCTGGATTAAATACCCACATTAAATCCCTAGGAAGCAGCCCGGGCTCGGGGAGGGCCGCAGGGCGGCCAGACACGGTTTAGCCCGGCACTTTGGGGCCGGCCCGGTTCCCGTGAGGGGAACAGGCCCGGACAGGGCCCGGCCTTGCCTCCCCTTCAGCCGGCCGCCATGACGCGCCGGGCCCACCATTGGGGTGGGGTGGGGGGGGGGGCCCGCGATCCGACGCCCCCCACAAGACGCGGAGGCCTCGCCGTACGGCCATGGGCAGCCGTGGCGGAGCGCAAACGCCTCCCGCTTTTGCCCGTGCTGTCCCCGAGCCCCTCGGAGCCGCCACACCCGCGGATGGGCGGCGATGGCGGCGGGCCCCACTTACCGAGCGCTGCGCGGCCGCCATGTCGGCGCGGGGAAAGGGAGAGCGGCCCGCGTGCGCCTGCAAAGTCTCGCGAGAGGAGGGGGGGACGAGGCGCGGGGGCTCCTGGGAAGTGTAGTCCCGGCCCCCCGGGGGGCGAGGCCGGGGCTGTGGTGGGCCCCAGGCCCCGCGGCGGGCCCTGTTCCACGTGAGGCGGTGTCAATAAGAGAAAAATAAAGAAATAAAGACATAAACGAGCATAAAGTAGCACTGGGGCGAGGCCTGGCTCCTCCAGAGGCCGCTTTTGCAGCCTCTCCTGGAGCAGAGTGGGGCAGCGGCTGGCTGAGGCGGCACTGCGGAAACACATGAAGCTGGGGATAGGAGGATGGGGGCTCGATTAATCGCATTAATGACTTCTAATTAAAAACAATCATTATTAAAGCCAGGGATGGAAGATTGGGGGCTTGCTTAATCGCATGAGAAATAGATGTTGCTGAGTGTCTTTGCTTACTGCTGTGCAAATTAACCGAAACAAGGAGTCCCACAGAGGATGTTTCCTGACAAAAATGTCCCAAAAACCAGCTGAGACCAACCCTGTGGCTGGGAGAAGAGCCAAGGAGCAGCTGAGGCTGTGCAAAGGCAGGGGGTCAGCTGGTGGTGATGAAGAAGAGTTATCAGCCTTCATCCCCACAGCCCCCAGGGACCACCACTAGGAGACACTGCAAGCACAGACAGGAGGAGTTCATAGAAATGACTTCTTGGAACTAATTTTAATATGAATTGGGGATAGGTTATGTGTATGTATAGGTGTATTGGGAAACTTCCTGCACATTTCACTCTTTACTGCATATAACCAAGGCAAGTTGCCGCGTTGGGGTGCATGTGCCTTTGGGAGCTATCCTGAAATCAGCGCCCGGCTCCAAAATAAGCCACATACCTACTTCATAACTCATTTGCTTCGAGTTGTAGAGTTCTGCCATGAATCGCTCAGAGCTGGGCCCCAGGCTCCTTGCATGGAGATTTTTGCATTTCCATGCTTCTCGCTGTTTGCTTTTCTTGGTTCTTGGTGTGTGTTGCTGCCCAGGGAGGCGCACGGGATTGTAGTTAGCGCGCTAAATGCTTCAAAAGGCTGAACAAGCATTAGCTCATGCAGGAAGGGGCACACTTCAAAAAGGCTAATTAGCTGGAGGTTGGGGATTAGTCAGAGATTAGTTGGTAAATGTATGTGCTGTGCTTTGAATACATGGTGCTTGCAGTGTGTACTATGATTAGTTTCTGCTGTTAAAAGCCGCCGCGAAATCTACAGGATCCTGTTTAGTCCATGAGGTAATGGAGTGTGAGCAGAACCGGGGAGGGGAGCTGCGGATCAGCAGTATCCACTTTCTTGCCCCAAAGCTTTATGCACCCTTGTGGAGAAAAGGTCCATTATTGGAAATGGAAATGAGACAAATCTGAGCCAGAAAGCAGAATAATGAGTATGGATGAAAGCCTGATGTACAACAGGTGTTGATCCTGAAGTGGGGGATCCAGTTTCTGGGGGTGTTTAGCTAAAGACGTGCTCTGTGAACACAAAGGTGCCTGGCTCCCTGCGCCACAGTAAGCTTCCTACGCTGGCATTACGCTGGGTGACTAACTGATCTGTCTGATCTGGCTGCTGAGTCTGTGAAGACAACACCCAGCCTTGTCCCGAGGAGCCGCATTGCCCAGGAGCTCAGCCTCTGCTCCTGGATCCCCTCCGACGGCCGGGGACGGCTGCGAGGCCCCTCTCCGGGCAAGGCGGTTGAGTTCCCAGGGAAAGGCAGCACTGCGTCGTGTTTATTTCTAGTGCCTGGATCTTCCTGGCCTTGTTCCTATTTTAGTACCTGATTTTTTTTTTTTCCAGAGCACAGATTTAACCTGACTGACAAGTTCTTTGCTTTTTCGAAACACGCCGCGTTGCTTCCTGAAAGTCTCTCTTACAAAGTCAATAGGCTGTGAGAAGCACTTCTGTACAGAGTGGCGAGAAGTTTGCAAAGAAACACCAGTGTATTGTTAGAAATGAACAGCTTCCAGTGTAGGTAGCTGGCTGCAAGGTCTTCCCCAGCCCTCTGTGCTCTCCGCTAGCTGTGAAAATCCTTGTGGGCTGCCCTGGTGGGGAGCACAGGGCCACGAAGGGAGCAGCTGACAGTAAGTCCCGTGCCCTGCCCTTGTGGGAGCTGGATTCCCGGCCCTTGTGTCCTGCAAGAGCCTGCTGCAGGGTGTTTGACCTGGTGGGAAGGGAGAGCAAGAGGGCAGGTGATGATAGGGAATGGATGTAAATAACACTGCCTGTGTTGCAATGGCCTTTGCCATCTATGAAGATGTGGCTGGCAACCTGCCTGCTTTTAGCCTTCCAGAGAAGCAGATACGTAAAACTCAAACTAGATTTAGCCTTTTAAATCCCCAAGGGACATCAAGGTTTAAAATAAAGCAGCTAAAATCCTGCCTCGTGCAGCGTTTGGATCCTGGAAGGACGGAACCGTCTTAATCCATCTGAATTTTGGGGTGGAAGCTGCTCACACCACAGAGTAACTGGCTGCTTATTCTCAGAAAGGTGCCGAGTAATGAACTGACTCAACTAAAAACTCAGGTGAATGGTGCTAGCTAAGCGTGCAGCAGCTTGGCTGGATTTATTCATGATTGCAGCGCATAAATCATCTTTCCAACCTGCTCTGGAAGCAGAACAAAGACCCCGCATGGGGAGAGGAGGTGGTCACTGCCTCCCCCGTGCCCTTTTCCTTAAATCTCTCCAATTTTGCCTGCGTGGCTCCATCAGGTTTTCTCAGCTCTTCCCTTTAGAGGGCGTTCCTGCTGCACACATCGTGGGGCGAGCTTCGCCCAGGAGCTGCATGCAGCAAGGCGAAGCCTCCCAAAGGTCAGCAGGAGCTGGGGGTGGCTCGGAGCCTGCCCAGGGATGCGAGCAGCCTGCTCGGGGTGCTTCTGGCTCAATGCGCTCTGCTTCCTCAGGCGGTTGCCAAGCTTCTCCCAAAGGCAATTTGGACATAATTTTGATGGATTTCCTGTGGCTGCTCTCCATTAGTTACGGTGTTTTCTTCCTCCAGCCTCTTTGAAAGGACTTCTATTTTTGTTGAGCAAGTAAAGAAAGTGATTAAAAGGGCACGGGGATCCGCTACGTGGGATCACTCGGGGGCTGCTCCCAGCTTCTTCCCACCAGGTCATCTGGAGTGGATTACTTCCTCCAGTAGGTCCTGCACTAGATTAAGACCTTACCCTTCTGTTCTCTGGAGGTTTTAGCATTCTCCAGTCTTGCAAAGCCACAGCATCACTCTGCAAAGAAGTCTGAGCGCTGCTGTAGAGTATTTGGTTATCCCCAGATCAGAGCACAGGAAAAGGGGCAGAATATGTGACCAAGAAGAGGAAGAAAGAAAACTAAACAGAAATCAATGACAGAACCCCTCCAACTTCAGCTGGGCTTTGATCCCACGCTTGAACTGAAGGATGAGGTCTCCTCCCTGTTTCCCACCCTTTTCCCCTCTTGGCTGCCTGTGTGTCTGCCTGGGGAGCAGCTCTCCAGGCTGAACTGATAACAGCTCGCTTCTCCCCGTCCCACCCTGCAGCCAGGGCTCCGCAACGCCTGGAGGAACAAAGCGTCAGCCTCAGAGCCACCCTGCTGGGGTTAGCATCTTCGACATATGGCCGGGGGAGGCTAGCGGGGTGTTTGAGTGCATTACGGAGCGAGTCCCCCACGGCTAACTGCAGCTGGCAGGCAGCAGCCCCCTGCGTGGCTGGAGCTGCGAAGCATGAGGAGAAGCTGAGGTGTGGGGGTAACGGAATCGGTGCTGGTCCCTGCTGTGTGCACAAAGAACAGTCCCCTGGGGACCGTTCAACGGCAACTGGGTTTTGGGCACGTTGCAGCAAACCTGGTCCCAAGGTGCTGTCTGCAACGGCGATGGGGAATGGAGCTTAAGATCGTACTGGGGGAAGGAGACAAGGCTGTTTAATTCCAGATCTGATGTCCCACACAGACAGTGGTCAAAGCTTACCCAGGCTGTGCTCACAGCTTTGTCCCTGGGCTCAGAACAGAGCAGGCAGCGCGTTGTTCTGAGCCCAGGGACAGTCCTGGGGCCAGGCGGATGTCTTGTTGAAACAGCAGCAGGAGGAACCCAGCTCCTTCATCAATGAATGCGTTTGTTTAAAGCATTTATCCTCAGAGCATACCCAGGTGGGTACGGCTACACAAAGGCACTCGAGGATGGTAGGAAAAACTTCAGCTCTGAAGCGAGTGAAAGCAGGAGCAAGGCTTCCACCGCTGGAGACCTTTAAGGCCAAGCCAGATAAGCAGCTGCCAGGAGCTGACCTTGCTTTGAGCAAAGAGCTGGATCCTCTCTATTTTCTGTGTCAGCCTGCAAGATTAGAGGCACAGGAGTGAACTGGTGTAAAAACATCTAGGCAATACTAACGAGGAAATTCTCAGGTCCTCTTCCATCACAAGCAGCGTTTCTGTTTGCCTGGATTGCTCAGCCGAGCAATGCAAAGTGCGCTGTCATATGAGCAATATTTCACCTATCGTGCTTAGATAGAGGAAATATGCCAGGCACGCACGGAGCGAGCAGGCAGATTCGTGCACGTGATTAGCACAAGCTGCCCCGAGGTCAAGCGGTGGTGTTGGAGGACACCACGAATCACCAACACGTCCTCCTTCTGGAGGCTGGAAAGGGAGAGCTGCGCAGGTTGTACCCCTGGCTCACCTCTTGCTTCCCGTTGTGCACGCTGGATGAAGGAGGTAATTGTTTAGGGGTACTTCTAGGAATAGCATCTCTGCTGGTTTCATTGCTTACTGGGGAAGGATGTGTTTAAATGAGGAAAGGTCACGTTGTTTTAGGTCCTTTGAGGTCATTTTTCTTGCCCTTTTGCGGGGGAAGCAGGCTGAGTGCCTAAAGCTGACCGTGTCCAAGGTGGCAAACTGAGGTCTCGCTGGATTGCAGAGGGCAGCTGGTCCCAGAGCTGAGCGATTCCTCCTGCTGTAAGAGCCTCTGGTGAGGACAGTGCCCAGGTCACATCTCCTGGAGTGAGCCCTGATCAGACCGGGGGCTGCCCAGCACCGTGTGCTCTTTCCAGGTATCGGTTTTGAGCATCCACCAGTGGATTTTCTCCTGAATGGAGATTTCAACCAACTCTTCATGAACACATCCAGTGCCCCTGTGGACCCGTAACGCCCCTTCCCTCCTGTGGGGGACCAGCCTCCTGTTTGTCCTCTACCTGGCTCTTGTTGCTTCTGTTTGAGCGGCCCCAGGTTCTTGTCTGGGAAGAGATCCTGAGCAGTCCCCCCCTTCCCACCCTGCCTGTGCCAGCAGAACCTACGGATCTACAAATCCTCTCCTCCTTTCAGGCCCCCGAGCCTGCTCTCTTCAGGACAGATCAAAGCAGGAGGCTAGCGTTGTTTCAAACCACGGCCTTCCTACAGAATGTGCTCTATCCACTTACAGATGGCTTTTATGGGCTCTGAAGCCTCCCGTGGATTAGCCCACGGTTGCCTGTGTAAACATTTTCTCTATCCCACATCCTGCTTCCCCAGCACGTCTCATGCTCACGGCTCCGTGCCTTTGCTCAGTCCAAACATCCTGCAGAAACCTCTAGCTCTTCTCAACAACCTTCCCCCCCAACCCCAGCTCCTGCCAGGTTGCGAGCAAAGCTCCACCAGCCCAACGCAGCCCCCAAATTCTTGGAGACCTGCCCAAAGAAGAGATTCACGCACCCTTCCCGCAGCGGCTACCACCACGTGCACAGTGGCTTTGCCTGGTGACCCCAGCGCTCTTGTCGTTGCGTAAAGGTCGGTGTGCCTTCAGCCATCTCCTCCTGCACGTCCCCAGCGCTCTCCTTTCTCCCTTTCTCCCCCCGGCTGTCATCTCCAGCAGCCTCGCTGCTGAAGGCGGTGGGCGGGCGAGTGCGCGCCGCGGGAGATGGCTGATCTTCCCCAGCTCCTGTGCTCGGGGATGGCAGAGCGCAGGCACTGTGAAATCCTCCTCCACCTTTTCCTTGTGTGTTAGGGGCAGGAAGCATCATTGTGCACACCCTGCGCCTTGGGGAGCGCTGCTTGGGGTTGTGTGTGTGTGCGGGGAGCTGGATGTGCACCGTTTTTTGCAGAAAATGGGGGCTGCGCTTGCTGGCACTCCAACACGGACACACAGAGCAGAGGCTGGGTGCTCTCAGGGTGTCCCCTTCCCCTGCTGGGACACGACCCAGGTTTGCAAGGGGGGAGACAAATGAGGCAGGGCTGGCTTCCCAAACTGCAGCACCTGATTTCGCAGAAGCTGTGCGTGCAGCACTGCTGACTTAGTGCAGCTGGCAAAAAAAGTGAACACAGCGCGCAGGAACACACACACATACCCCGCTCCCAAATCATTATTTAAACAGTATAAAGTTCTCTGTAAATGTTTAAAACAACACCAGGATTGGGAGGGGAAGGAGGAAAGACAAACAAGTTTGCTGTTTGAGCTTTGCAGAAACAACCCTTAATTTTTGGCAGGGCTTTCTTCACCCAGAGGATCCAGCTGCCAACACGCGTTGGGAGGCTCCAAATTCATTATTACTTCCCCAACCTCTTCCTCCAAGAGGCTGCAGTTTGGCACCGGTGCTGCTTTTGATGTCGGGGCTTGGCCAGCACCTCGTGCTGTAGGATCCCGGTTCACAGCCAGGGCATCTCCGCTCGGGGTCAGGGTCTGCATGCTCCCTGCGAGGTTTTTCCTTTCCCAGACCTAAAATTCATGGTGGTCAGACCTCAGCAGGAGCCGGGGCTGCAGCAGGAGCTGCATCCTGGCTTGACTCCAGGCTGGGGGGACTTGGGGATCCGAAACCCTGGGTATAAAGGGCTTGCCGGGGACCAGTGGGTGCCCTCCAGCCTCTGGGTGGATCTGATGCTCCAGATCCTGTGCCCCGCAGCATCTGTCCTGCTCTTTAGGGCATTGCCCCCAAGGGATCCCAGGGAAAGGGGCTTCTCAGCACGGGGGAGCTTTGGGGCTGGGAAAAGGCTGCGTGTGGGGACACAGGAGAACGAGCCCCGCTGGCGGGTCCTCCTGCCTCCCTGGAGCCTGCTCCCGGCACACCAGCTCTGTGCAGAACCTACACCGAGATAAAAGAGCCCGGCACAGCGTGAAGCCTTCCTCCCCGTCAGCAGATGGTGTTTGCGGACTTCTCGCGCGTCGCTGCGACAGAACGGCCCGGCCCAGCCAAGAGGCGGAAGGAGAAGCTGCAGCCTGCTCTGGGGAGCTCTGCGCACCCGACCTGAGATCCTGGATGGGTGACAAACGAGCCCTTGCTTTGTCAAGGATCGCATTTTTGTTTTATTTTGCCCGCGTTCGGCTTGCTGAAGAGCTGCCACCACCTGCCTGCAGCCCCAGCCGCTGCAGCGCTCGCGGCAGCCCCCTGGGAGCCTGGTGGCCGGGGCTGCGATGCGCAGTGAACTCCACGTTACCTTCACGGCACAACCTGAGCACATCCCAGCTGGAGTCAACATGCTGTCAGTGCCTCAGGCTTCCCAGCTCAGCGCTAGGGATGTCCTAGGAGTGAACCCTACGCGCTCCGTGCCTGAAAAGCCTTGCGGCAGGAGGAAAGGCGCGATGCCCCTGCTCGGGCGAAGCGCTGCGGTGGTGTGAGATTGGGGCTGGCAGCTCCCTGAGCAGGTCTGGTTTCACCACGGCGTGTTAAAATGATGCCTGGGGAAGGTGGAGCTGATCGTCCGTCAGCCCTGGTGCCATCAGATGGGGCTGAGACCGCTGGGTGCTGTCTGCAGTGGGTGGGCACACAATTCAGACCTCGGTCCCGAGCAGGGCGAACACGGAGCAGCTCCGTGCTGCCGGCAGGCTGCCTCCTGCAGCCTCGGCGGAGGAAGGGCTGCCTGCCCCCCTCCCTGGTCCCTGAAGCAGAGCCGGAGCTCTGCCTGCTGCATCAGCTCCCCGCGCTGCTCTGCTCCTTCCCCCGGCACTCGGAGGCTCCGTCTGCTCCAGCTTTTCCCCTCCCTGAGAGCCTCCGAGCCACAGCAATCCAGGAAGCGACCCCTGGGCATGACAGAGGCTGGTGCAGGCTTCATCCTCCATACCTGGGGGATATTAACCCCTTGGGGAAGGGGGTTATGTATATTTGTAAGCTCTGCTTTCCCCGGAACATGGCCAGCTCCACCCGCTCTGCCTGCGTAATTCCCTCCTCGCCAGACCCCAGCAGGACCAGTTTTCTCACAGCCCTCACCAAGCCCTGACAAACCCCAAAAGCCCTTTCACAACAAGCTGTGCAGTGTACTCGGCATGTCCCCTATTGCCACCACCTCCCCGCCTGCTGACAATAGGCACGGCAGGCCCGGGCAGGTAGCAGGGTGCTGGATGTGGATGCAGGACCCGAGGTGGGGGTCAGCCAAAGTGCGCTCTTCCCTGCGGCGCTGCCTTCAGCGAGGGAAGGGATCTTTCTTTAGCTCCTCTTTCACTCCAGGCTTTCGGAGCGGTGCCGTATGGCTGCTGTCAGGGAGTTCATTACTCTCTGTCTGCGCCCCCTCCCTGCAGGGGATGGCTTTCGCTGCAGCTGAGCCCTGGCGGTTTTTCTCCCCGGGGTTTCAAGAAGTTTCGTTCCACCCATGAGAAGTGCCAGGCGTCGGGGGAAGATTTGTTTCTTGGCAGCTGTTCCCGTTTTGCTCTCGAAAACAGATGCTGCGCTAGGAATGCACCGTGACTAAAATTCCTCGGGGCTGCTCAGGTCAAATAGCAGCAGCAGGGGAAGCAGGGGGGGCAGGAGAGCAGCGCGGCCGAGCCCTTGCCCTTCTCTCCGGCTTCCCCTGGCCAAAAAGCCAGGGATGAGCGGTCGGAGGGAGCCAGGAGTTAGAGCTGGCTCGTGTTTGGCTGTGCCTGTGCCTGCTGTGGGGAGCGAGGGAGCTGCAGAGCCCCGGCAGCGTTGTTTTTTTGTGCCTGTGATGGTGCCCGACCCCTGGGGGCGCAGAGCGTGCCCCCTCCGTCTGTTTTGCGGAGGGCTCGGGGAAGCTTTCCGGATGGGAGGCTGTGACAGGCGGTGACAGTCGGGGAAAAACACAGGCAGCCAAAGGTTTCGGGGCTGTCAGGGAGCGTGACAGGCAGGTTCACAGCCCCGGCAGGCCTTTGGCTGCTTGTTTGCTTCTGCCAGGGGAAGCGATCCTGCGCCCTGACAGCCGCGGGCTGCGCTCCTGCAGGGCAGGGCAGGGTGAGGGGCGTGAAGCTGGCAGCCTGGCCACGGGAGGAGGTGGCTGCAGGACCGCAGGATGCTGAGGATGCTCTCAGGACATCTCCTCCTGATGCCCAAGGGACCGGTGAGGCGTGCAGAGACCCTCGAGCCTTCATCCCTGCCGGGCTGAGGAGCACACCGTGCCCGGCCAGCCCCAGTGCGCTGCCCTGACAGCCCCTCGGTGCCACTGCAGAAGGGGTGACCCCACAGAAACAGGCCTCGCCTTGTTCCCAGGCTAAAAGAAGGGGCTGTGTGACTTAAAAACCTGCAGCTGCTCTCCCTCTCACCTCCCCCCGGCGCCTGCAGTAGCTGTCAGCACAGTGACTTCCTTGATGCCGGGCGATGTTTTTCCGCGCACGCACCCAGCTCCTCAATTAAGTTTCTCGGCCGCTTCCTCCAGCGATTCAGGCTCGGCCGGTGGAAGGGGATTTGTTATTCTGGGCACTGGCGGAGAGGCACCAACTGTGATAATACCAAATTGGTTGTGCTTTCCAAGCACCGACATTCCTCACTCCCTGCTCCTCCTCCTCGGCACGGCCCCGAGGGCTCGGCACCGTGGTGATGGGGTGGGTGCTGTGGGTGCAACCCCTCTGCCGTGGGGCAGGGTCTCCCTAGGGGTGTCAGGCTGGCTGTACGTGGGTTTAGCTGCGGGAGGAGCTTCTCCCTTCTTGTTTTCCTCCTCCTGGTCGCTCCATGCCCTGGTCCTCCACGTGCAGGAGGGGGATGCTGCGCGGTGCGCTCCCACCCGTCCCGGTGACCCTGGGGCTGTGCGGAGCTGAGAAAGGGAAGGGGAAGGATCCAGGATGGGTGGAGGGGCTGAGAAATACGGGGTACTCGGGGTGATCGTGGGAAGATTTATGGTGGATCAGGAGAACATCATCTCCCGCCAGCCCGGCTACGCCCTGGCTCTCTGCTGGTGGGAACGGGGATGTTTTGTGGGCGGTTTGCAGCGCGTGAAGCATGAGACTGCAGCACTGCCGGGGTCGGGAGGGCCGCAGGGGTTTGTCGGGAGCCCTGCCAGCGGGGTGAAGCTCCTAATTCCCCGCACTCACTCCTGCCTGCGTCCTCCCGGGCCAAGGAAAACTTGGCCAGGCAGAGCAGGGCTGCAGTCGTGCCTTTGGCAGCGTGGCGTGGTCGCGGCTTGAGTCCAGCCTGGGTGGAACGAGGTCCTTTGGGCTCGTGCTGCTGGGCAGCCTGCTGATGCCTGCTCGTGGGCTTCCCTCTGGGCTTCTGGCCCCGCAGCACCATCCTGCTTCGGGATCTCAGCACAGGCAACAAGGAGAACCCAGCGGGAGAGGACGACCTGTGCTTTTGGAGGGTTTCTGTAGGATTTGAGCCACCTCCAGGCCTGTTCTCTCTAGCACGATAACCTGGTGCCAAAGGCATTGCATCCCCGTGACAAATCCCATCGCTGCTCCGCTTGGGAAGAAATGGGTGAAGCAGGACGGAGAGCCCAGGTTGCTCGCCACCAGCTGTCTGTCCAAGCGGTTGCACAACACTGCTCCGGGGTTAGCGAGCGAGAAACATCTGGGAATAATCGAAGCTATTTAGGCTCTGGGAAAGCATGGCTGGAGAAAGTTTGGAGGAAGCAACTTGAAAGCTCAGCATTGTTAAAAACAGCCTGGAAGCCCTGGAAATTAAAACTAGGGTAGCGTCTATGAGGAGCGAGGAAGTATCGAGAGGAGGATCCGATGCCCTCCGAGGAGCACAGAGGAGCCAGAATGAATTGTAGCGCTCGAGCCTCTGCTGAGCCACAGGGCATTAAAAACGTCTTTGGAACAGGCAGCCTGCCTTTCCTGTGGTTTGCACTGGCAAAGGAGCAGAGAGAACGACCAGGGCTCTGTCTTAACAGCAGCCTGGGGAGTGGAAATAGGGTTTAATGACGGCTCAGAGCAAAGCCTCCGACAGCTCAGCGCTGCCCGCAGCGAGCGGTACCTGCCAGGCTGGCTCCGGGAGGACGCGGGGCGTGCGGGAGGCTTTGGGGCTAAACCACGGCCGTGGCAAGGAGCCCACGGGCAGAACAGGGAGGGGGCAGAGAGCTGCAAACCCCAGGCTTTGCTTTCCGGGAATCATCCTGTCCTCGTGCCGGAGGATGCCCCAGGGACGGCGGCCGGGAGCGGGGTCCGTGGGGGCATCCGTCCGGCACCGCTGACCCCAATCCCTCCCCGTGGGGACCTGGGGGCTGCTTCCCGGCAGAGGCTCGGGGACAAGCTCCTGGCACTGGAAATCCCCTCTTCCACCATCGCTGGGGAATCGAGGCTGTTGCAAGGAAATGCCATTTCTGCTGATTTATCGGAGCTTTCATCTGGGAGGGCCTGTCTCGGTGCCTGCCGCTCCCTCTTCCTCCCTACCCCAGCCCCCAGCATCTCCAAGAGACGGAGGACGGGACGAGCAGCCAGCCCAGGAGCCCTGGAAACGGTTAAAGATTTGGGGAGTCCAGATCTGCCGCATCTTCTGTGACAATCTGCCCTCCCCAGCATCCTCGTAAATGAGAAACCGCATAAGCCTCACACTCTATTATTGCTATGGAGCATTAGAGTCTCTCATTTAGGATAAACATTCTCATCTCCAGCAGAGCATGAATAACATTAAATGAGATAGTTAAAATGTTTCAGGCCAATTATAGCCCTGGTGTAACTTCGGCAGAGTTGCACCGGGGATTAATTTGATCCGGAGAGCTCTGCCTCCTGTTCCGAGCTGGGATTCCAGCGCGGGTAATTACATCCTGCCTCCCTGCACTTCCTCTGGAGTTTTAATTGGGTTGAATGGACCAAATCCGCAGCAAGTGTAAATCAATGTAATTGAGCTCTCTCTGGAGAGGAACCCTGCTGGTTTACACCCTCAAATCTGGGCCAGCCTTCTCCCTTTCCCCTTCCCCAGGCTCCAGCTGCCCGGGGCTGGCTGCTGCCCTGACCCAGCGCCAGCCTCCCGCCGAGGACTCCAATTTTGCTCTTTTCACCAAATCACCACTTTTCCACGCTGCCGCTGGCAGCCCGGAGAGCCCTGCCACCGCGTCAGAGCAGGTGAGGTCCGCGGGTTTCCACCCTCTGCTGGAAACCCAGCACAGCTCCTGGATCCCAGGCTGCTGCACGGAGCCAGGCAGCTGGACGGCGTCCCTCTGCCGTTCCCGGCCCTCTTAGCAAATCAGTGTTAATGAGGGACATTTGACCCTCTCTTTCCCTGAACAGCCCCAAGCAGCATTTTTGTTCCATGAGATAGTTAAGAAGCTTGAAGCAATTTCCTCCCCCCTGTTCCCCCTGTTTCTATTGTAGCTTTGCTTTTCTTTTTTTCCCTTTTATTATTATTTTTTTTAATTCCTCAAGAAAATGACAAGTTTTTGGATGCAGGAAACCTTCGGGACGCCTTGGGGCGGAGGACAGGGAGCAGCGTTTGACGTGCAGGGGATGGAGCAGGCGGACCTGGCGAGGTGGGGCCCCGGCTCCCTCGGTCCATCAGTTCGACCACGTGCGTGATTGAGGCAGGGAGGGTCGGAGCTGGGGGAAGTGCTTTCCTAATTTAAATTAGGAATTTAATTGCAAGGCGTTATCTCGCAGGGTTGGAGCCTATGCAGAGCCGTACGTCCCCCATAGCCAACCGCATACAGGGGTGACGGGAGAGGGAAGGGAGCTGGGAACGCTCTCCCTCGCAGATTTCCAGGCCTTTCTGCTGCTGTGTGGTCCCTTTCCCTTCTCACGGACCAACGATGGAAGCAGGCAGCCAGATAAGCCCCGGGGAGCCCAGCCCAGCACGGCCCCAAAGCTTCGCTCGCTGTGAGCCTGCGCGGGACCCACCGGTCCCCCCCCACCTCCAGCAGCCCCAGCTGTGCCCAGCCCGCTCGCGCTTTCATTTCCCATTCGGTTTTTCCCAAAGTGTATTTTCGGGAGGCGGAGATGTCACAACCCTTCCTTCCTCCCCTCCTCGGAGGGGCCACGGTGGCAGGACCGCGGCCCCAAAGCCTCCTGGCCCCGCGGAGAGCTGCCCGTGGCCCCAGCGAGGGCTGGCACTGCTGCTCCTTGGCACTGCTGCTCCTTGGCACTGCTGCTCCTGCCTCCGTCCTGAAGCTGCGGGGTGATGCAGAGGAGGAGGGTGAGCGAATTCCCACCCCCTGAGGACCTCCTGGGACCCTCCTGCCTCTCAGCACGGGCAGCGGACACCTCGCGGGCCAGCAGCCCCATTGGGCTCACCCCGCTTAGCTCAGCCGCTGGCTGCAGCTCCCTGAGCATAAATAAAGAGCATTTCTCACCAAATCCGCCCTCCCGGAGCTCCCCAGGCAGAGAGCTGGCCCTGCTGCAGGGCTCAGGAGCCCTTTATCCCCCAAATCTCCGACCTCCCCCCGTGTAGCCGACATTTGCTCGCCGGGTTGGCAGCGCAGTGACCCCGCTCCCCGCAGCACCGTGCCATTTTCAGGCTGCGTCCCTTCCATTTGGCCCCTTGCTGTCCTTTCTATTTTATTATTTTTTATTTTTTTTTCTCATTTTCTGTGTGCACGGCCAGATGGGAGGAAAGGTCGGAGTCGCTGATGGTAAAACCCAGGCTGAAATCTGGATTTTCCCCAAGTCTGGGATAACTGTGCCTGGCCTAACCCTGCAAACAGGCTCTGATTCAAGGTTTTGGGGCTGTCGTGTCCCCAGTGCACGTGCGTTTCTTTTGGGGTTTGTCCCCATCCTGCTCCTGACCTTGCCTGAACGCGGCTCCTGCTTGTTGCTCGCCGCCGGCCGCCCAGAGCTGAACAGGCTCAGCCCCGACGCCTCCTGCAGCTCAGCCCCTGACCTTTCTTTTCCCTTAAATCAATACAGAAAAGCCGTGCTGCAGCAATACCGGCACGTCAGGGGAGCCCAGGTGATTTATCTCAGCCGAGGAGCTGATGCTGCTTTTGAGGCTCCAGTGCAGCCAAGCTTTTGTTTCTCCAGCCCCCATCTCTCCTGCGCTGCCTTCGGTTCATGTGCCTTTTATTCATCATCCCCTGACCCCCCCTGCTCCTGGCATTACCGACTCTCCGTCTTGCTTTTAATCTGCTACAAATGAAGGCAGCTGCGGGTAAAACACCGCTTTTATTCTCCCTGCACATCATAATTCCTTTATGGAGAAAAAAAATAATAATGATAATTAAAAATGTTGGAAGTGAGTTGAGGTTTTTTAATTAAAAAGCTTCAGGGGAAAAAAAAATCTATTAGGAAACCTGTGGAGGCGTTTGTGAACTTGTCATTGCGGAGAACCAAGCCCCTGGGGGCTCTTGGAGGGCTGGCTTTGCCTCGGTGCCAGGGAGGGCACCCGGCGCTGGTTTCTCCCCACCACACATCAGGAGCTTCCCTCTCCCCCTCGCCGCATCCTGCCTGTGGCCACCAAGGTTTGGTCAGCTCTCCCGAACGGCCCGTTCTGGGTGGAAAAGCCGCGTGTTTGGCACCGAGCGTTGGCTCTGGCTGCGGTGAGGCCGGTGCAGCTGTGCCCGCGGCAGGGATTCTGCTGTGTAACCGCTTCGCCCGCCAAAAACGCAGGGCCCCGTCTCCTCCCGCCTCGTGCCCATCAGCAAAAGCTGTGGGAATTGCTTTTTCAGCGAGGTCGGAGCTGATGTTTGCAAGTCCCCCGGCCCCGAAGGCGGATCGATGCGCGCCGATAGGCTTTTCCCATCAGAGCATTTATTTTTCCAGCAGGACACCGAGTTCTCAAACGAACGGAGGCTCGCGCAGAGATCGCCTGCCTCGCTTTGGCAGCAAACGGGAATATTTCTCTTTATTCCGAAACCAAATTTTTGTGGCTAAATAGAGCCGAAAATATATCTTCCCCCCCACACCCCCTACCCCCCCACCATCTCTCTGAGACGCGAGACAGCTCTGACTGCCGAAAGCAACTCTTCCCTGCCGCAAATGGACCAAAGAAACCCAGCACGAGCCCGGTGCTTAGCAGAAGCAGATGCGCCTCTAATGCTGTCATCTACAGCAAGCTGCGCCTGCAAACTGATCTTTTATTAACGAATTTGTGGAGCTGGGAGAGCTGTGGGGGCCGCGCCAGCCCCGCCGCTGGGAGGGGGCCGTGCCAGCGCCCCGTGCCCGCGGGCTGCGGCGCGGCTCCTGGGGGGCATCGGCAGGGGGCTGCTGGCTGCCCCCCCATGTGCTCCCTGCAAAATTGGGGAATTTGTTTCTTCTGCCAGCATTTAGCCCCGGTTCCCCTTCAGCTGCAGGAGGGGAGCCGGGGCGATGGGATTTTGTCGGTGTTGTGGCTGCCGGTGCAGAGCGGAGAGGGGTTTGGTTTTTTTTTTTGGGGGGGTGTCAGCGTGTGCCAAGGTGGGAGGCTGCAGGAGGAGGAGGAGGAGGAAGGGTTGGTGGCTGGCTGGGAGCTGTTTGGGCAGGGTTATCAGGGGAACTGGTCCGAGGGAAGGCAGGGCAGGGCGATCCCACGAGCCGCCCGTGGGCGTTTGGCCAGTGCTTTGCAGGCTGGGGGGGTTAGGAAATATGTCCCTGCCCCAGCCCAGGCCAAGGAATCCTCAGCCTCAACACCAAAGGTGTCCTCGCAGGGCTGAGATCACTGGGACCTGCAGACGGAGAGCCTGGAGCTGTCCTTCACGCCCTGGGGTCGTGGTGCAGGACACGAGGCTGCAGCAGCCCCCACATGCCCTGTGCCCACCCCAGCTGGAGCCCCGCGGGCTCTGTCCCCAGGAGATGTCCCCACGTCGGGGCAGCAGGCAGGAGGCTGGGGAGGAGAGGCTGGATGTGGCCTCACCTGGGACCCGGGCTGCTAGTGGGAGTGCCAGAGAAATCGGCTTTTCCCTTCCGATCCGGCCAATTCGGGCTCCGAGCGCTTCTCTCCTTTCCTCCCCCCGGGACCAGCAGCTTTTCCGAGCCCTCAGAGCCTCACCAACAGGCAACGAGACCTAGAAATCCTGGGGGAAACACAGAGCAACCACCATTAAAACACAGGTAGAGCCCGTGAGCAACGGGCAGGGCAGAAAGGCAAAACCCATTTATTTATTTTTTTTCCCCGATTTCCCCAAAGCTGCTTGGCTCCCACCTACCAGCTACATCCCACCTGGTTTGACTCCGGAGCGCTGCTACGTGGTGCCAGGGTCGGAGCCAGCCTTCCTCCTGGGCTCTTCCTCTCCCTCGGGGTGCCTGGGGATGGAGGAGAAGGGGTGAGCTGGGGCTGGGGGGCCGCTGCAGCCCCCCTGTGCTCGTCTGCCTTTCTAAATGCTAACTGGCTGCAAGAAAGGGAGGCTTTGCACCCAAGGAGCTGAGCCCTCAGTAGCAGGAAAATCCCACATTTTCCCCATTTTTCCCCTGTCCCTGCAAAACAACGGGCAGAGGACAAGGGTGAGCATCCCTTGTAGGGTGGCCAAGCACCTCGACTAAAGTCCCACGAGGTATTGCTGCAAATATGATGAGTTTAACCAACAAATACTGTTATTATTATTATTATTCCAGGAAAATAAAGAAATCACACAAGCCCTCCATCACCCCCTCTTCCCAACCAGTGATCCCTTTACCGTGGCCCATCCCGAACCGGGTCAGTGCGTGAAGCCCAGCAGCGGTTCCATCCCGGTGCCATTCACAGGCAGCTGCCACGGCCCCGGGGTGCTTTTGGGTGGCAGGAATTTGAATTTCGGGTGCCCACGGCACCTGCCTGGATCTGGGAGGCCGGAGGAGCCAGCGGTGCCCAAGCACGTGGGGAGGGAGCAGGGGCTCTGCCAGCAGCACGTCCCCGTGCCGGTGCCAAGGCTCCGCACCTCGGCTGTGCCTTCAAACCTCCATCCCCTGCCCCACCGGGCTGAAATAAGGCAGTGGGGTCAGAAGCTGCCTGGGGAACAGCCACAGGTGTGTGCGTGGTGCTTGCTGCCCGTGGGAGCCCTAGGGGAGAGCGTTTTGATGCTGTGACTCTCGCCCTGCCCTGCTCCTGGTGCCCCCTTCCCTGCGCGAGCTGCACCCGAAGGCGATCGGTGTGATGGTTCAGCAGCTGGTGGCGGAGGGGAATTGGTGCGTGGCTGCTCGGGGGCCAGGTGTTGGCATCTCCTCTCAGTGAATGTGGCTGAGCCGTGCCCAGGAATCGCCTGGAGCCACCGGAGGGACCCTGCAGAGCCCGGAGCAGGGGCTGAAACCCGTCCCCGCCTGCGGGTACCCGGCACGTCGCTCTTTTCCAGCGCGAGAATCTGGGGTCACTTCCAACATCTCGCTCAAAAACCAGGCGAAAAAGCCTGAGACTCCCTCTGAGTCACTGGCATGTTGTTACCAAGGACACTAAGGTTCCTGATTTTGAAGAAGAGATTAATTACATTCTGCAAATAGACATTTTATCTGCATTGAAGAGCAGCGAGGGCTGGTTCTTGTAGAGTAGCTCATTATGTATCAGCAGGTAGTATTGTGACAGATGTAGGAATCCAGTCGCATTGTCACTTGGGCTTAATCATCAGAAAGCTGTCTTCCCCGGGTCAGCTTCTAGTGAGGATTTGTAATATTTACATAGCACTTGGGGCTGGCTTCTCTATTGCCGGAGTCTGTATTCGCTCGTCAGTCTCTCATTATGCATGTGCCAGTATTAATTGCATTTAGAAATGAGATTCTAAAGGAGAAGTGAGAGCTATTTAGACCTCCATTCAGCTTGAAAGACAGCAGCTTTCTGTGTGACAGCTCTCGAGATGTTCTTGTGCTCAGCTCTCTCTCCAGCTGAAAAGCAGGTGTTGGAGAGAGTTGGTGTCGGAGCCACTGTATCAGCACTGCCTTTTGTGCATGCCCAGACATTTATATAACAGGCGGTATAATGACTCCGCAGAAGTGGCACAGAATTGACCCTTGTGGTACTGGATTAAAGCGCAGCAAGGCAGCGAGCAGATCTGCTCTCCTGCTTTATAGATATTAGGGGGGAAGCTGGTGCTAAAGCCAGCTCCTGCCTTGCCTCCCGTGGAAGGAGGTGGGTTATTTCCCTGCTGGTGGGTTCGGGGGGTTATTTATCAGCCCGGCTGTGCCTGCAGCACTTCGGAGCTGTACTTGTGGCCTTGCTAATGTATTTAAAGTCGCACAGAAATTCAGCTGACACTTGTCTGTGCATGCCTGCTGCGCGCTGATTGCTCCAGCCCGGAGATGCGGAGCCGTGCGCCGCTGCTGCTGGCTGCCAGCCGTGCCTGGCGCTGGAAATGAGGAGGTCACGTCCTGCTTCCCAGAGGGGATGGAGCTGGGAGGTGGAATCCAGATGATGCCAAGCTACCGGCTCTGTTTTCTTCAGCCCAAGGTGCAGAGGGTCTGGTCTTGCCTTGGGGCGTGGGGCGCGATGAAGGTGTCCTCGTGGGGGGAGAGGTTGGTGCAGGCACCGAACTGCTCCCTGTCCCCGCACCCTCTCCCAGTAAAACAACCCTCCTGGGTCTGGGGGACTTGTTCCTGCCCTGCTGAGGGGGGCTGAGAAAGCAGCAGTGAGGGCAAAGCCACGTTTCCCTTCCCCAAAGCTGCTCCCTTCGCTGTGCCTTGGCCCAGCCCTGCACCACGGAGCCCCCATCCTGCTCCCTCCTCAAGATGCCGCCTGCAGGACGTGTCCCCTCGCACTCCTGCCTCTTCCCTGCAGGCTCCTTTGGGTGCTCCCCTGCTGCCTTGGGTGCTCAGCGCCCTGCGTGCCGTGAGCCAGCACCGAGACCAAGCTGTGGGCCAGCAGCACCTCCCGTCTCCCTAAACCCCACATCTCCAGGAGCTGCCCCTGCCCGGCGAACCCCAGCAGGGACCAGAGGGGAAGATCTTGGGGAAGGCAAGCAGAGCAGACATCCAGAACCAGCCCGGGATGTTCTCACTGAATATCCCATAAACCAGCGAGTAAATCACTGCTCCATGAGCAAACCCAAGGGCTGAAGCCCAAGGAGCCCCCCTGGACCTCCCCGCCCCTCTGTGTCCAGGTGAGCACATCGCTTCCAGCCATCGGGCTGCCAGGAGGAGACCCTTCAAACCTTTTTTTTCAAGACGGTGGGAGCCAAATCCAGGGACCAGCCTGAGCCCCCAGCCCCATGGCTGAGCACCCCAGCCCTGCCAGCACGGGCCAAGGACACCCCGCGCTGTCCCCTGGCAGCCCCAAGGCTTATAAATAGAAGACGGGACGTGAAGGAGGTCAATGAGCGGGGGATTTTACATAATCTCTTCTTGCCTGTGCTGTTCATTTGTGTCCTTTGCCCAGGACGCACGCCCTGCTTGGCGCACGGGGACGTCAGAGCCAGAGGGACGCTCCCGTGCCGCGGCAGCTTGATCCCACACAACGTGTGCTCTCCTGCCTTCTTCCTCGCTCCGCGCTGGTTTTCGGAGAGATCTTTAATCCAGGGGTCATCCCGAGCAAGGCACATCTGATGGAAATCCCAGCCTCCCTGCTGGATGGGGGCCCCGGTGGCTGCCTGGCCTGAGCCTGGTCCTTTCACCCCCCAGCACCCAGCTGAACTGGAGGCCACCGGAGGACACTGCCTGCCCTCCCCCGTGCCCGTCCGAAGCCTTGCTCCCTTCTGCCCGTAACATTTCTCCACAGTCCCTGATGGGCAGCGCTTCTTGCTCTTCCTCCTGTCACTTCTATTTTCCAGACGACGAGAGGCTGGAGATGAATTCTCTCCTGGCATAAACCTGTCAGCGGAGCTGCAGTGATTTATGCCAGCGCAGAGCGAGGTGGGTAGATGGATGACCAAAATAGAGCGAGCAGAAAACCTGTTACCTTCCCCTGCAGGAACAGGTTTGTTCTCTGCCACAGAGCCGCTGCGGGACTCGCTGGGATGTGACTGCTGCTCTTTTAAGTTTGGATCGCCGGTGGTCTCCAGCGATGAGAGCAATTAATCTCCAAAAGAAGTAACCCAGCAGCGCACGGCTTCTCACGCCTGTCTGAGAGCTGCAGTGGGGCTTGGAGGGAGCTTCTCCTGGCTGCCTACCTGCGGGTCCTTCCCGTGTGCTGCTCGGGGTCCTGTGCCGTGCCAGGGAGCCCTCACGCTGTGCCCAGCCTCAAGCTGCCAGCACCAGGCACGCAGCCCTGGGGCAAGGCTCAAACTGCAGCTGGAGGTGCCTCAAACACCCCCTGGTGCCCCCCTGACAGCCCCATGCCTGCAGTGAGAGCGTTTGCCCAGGCACCAAGAAGCCTTTAACTCAGCCGGGGGTGCAGGTAGCACAGGGAGGGCTGGCGGGCGCACAGGGCAGGAGATGCCTTCCCTGCCTCGAGTCCTGCTTCTCCTTGCCCCGACTTAATTGGCTCATTAAGTGCCAATTTGACCTCCCCACTTTCAGATGTCTCCAGTCTCCGCTGGTAAATAGATTTGCGCGTCTACAGCGGAAACCTCGAGCTGAGCCTGGCGGTGGAGAGGGCGGAGAGCCCTGGATGGGAGCAAAGCTCCCTGCCGAGAGCCGCGGGGAGCCGCAGGTAGCCACGGCCACCGGCACCGTGCCCGTGTCATGGTGGGGACACGCAGAGCCCACCCCATGGTCCCAGGTCCCTTCCCATCTGCTCCTGGCTGGCACCTCCACGCCACACATCTCCCAAACCTCCTCCGTACCGAGACCCTCAGCCAAACCTCCCGGCGCCCCAGGGATGGGGCAGGACCTTCCCGTGGCGAGAGTGCAGCAGGTGAAGGTTGGGGGCTCGGCGCTGCTGGGGTGTCCCTGGTCACGTCCCTGTGCCCGAGAGCACTGCGTGGTTTCCTCCCCAGACAAATTGCCCCACAAAGGGACAGGCCTGAGCCCACATTTCTTCCTTGCTGGAGGAGAAAACACATCCCACAACGCCCGGCACAGGGGCGCATTGCCTGGTGCCCCCCGAGCACAGAATCCAGAAGCAAACCAAACCCCTCCAAGGACGGGCTGGGCAAGCGGGACCCCCCCCACCCCACCCCTGGGGGCCACCCTCAGTTCTCCTGCCCCAAATTTTGTGGGGGTCCCCGAGGAGCCGGGGAAGGGGGAGGACGTACGGTTCCACTTTGTTGAAGAAGCGGCGGCGCAGCATCACGACCAGCGTGCCGATGAGCAGGGCAGTGGTGCACATGGCGCTGCCTCCATCACCGCGCAGCACCGACGCCCCTCGCCGCCCTCCCCGAGGGTCCCCGGGGGCTGGCGGCCCTGCCCGGCTCCCGCGTCCTCCCCGACTGGCCTGTCCCCAGCGGCCACCCCAAGGCTCTCCTTGGGGCTGGCTTTAGGAGGAATTAGAGCAGGATCAGGAGTAATTAACGGGCAGCAAATGAGGACGCTCGCCTCTGACCTTCGCACTTAATTGTTTGTGGCACGCCGTGCTCGCGCCCTGGCTGGGCACCCACCCCAGCCCTCGGCCAGGTGGGCTCTGGGGGGGCTCCTGGTGCTCCCAGCCTCTTTCCACCCCCTCCATCCCATTTCTCCCCTCTCCTCCTTGCCCCCACCAGCCCATCCCGGCACCCATCGTGGCCAGGGCTGGGGGCTCCCCTCTGCTCCCCCCTTTCCTGCCTGCCTCCCTCCCCTCCTTGCCCACTTTCTGCCCACTCCTCCCCTCTCCCTTTCCCTCTGGCTCCTGCCTCATCCCGCTCCCCCCTTCCCGGCTCGGGTAATCTGACAGGCTCAGACCTGCGTGTAATTCCCCATGGATACGTCTCAGCCAGCTGATCCTGAGACCTTGTCTGCATCCTCCCCTCGCCCCAGCTTTGCCTCCTCCTCCCCTGCTCTCGGCGGCACGCACACCTCTCCCCCGGCACGGAGCTGGCCCCACGCTACCTCCCCAGGTCCCTGTTCCCCTTTTCCAGCTGGAAAACCGATTCCCCACGCAAAAGGATTTTGAAATCGGGGTCAAACCCAAATAACCTCGCCTGGTCCTGGTTCATCAGCTGATGGGATCTGAAACAGAAAGCGATGGGGAGCTTTCTGGGAAGCCTGGCTCTGCTGGGGCCAGAGATGCTCTGCGAGCCCAGCCACCGCAGGAGCCTGGGACGGCGGTGATTAATCCCTGCTCGATGGCAACATCCTCTTGGATTGCTCCAAACCTCAAAAACAACAGCCATCAACAGCACTTGAAACAGCAGCAAAGCCAAATCCCTCCGAGCCTGTCCAGTAAACAGTTCCAGGACCTGAACGCGGGGGTCGGATGAGGGTGGAGAGGATGGAGCCGGCCTCCCTGCTGGCTCCGGAGGGATGGGAAGCCTTCAGGAGCCTGTGCCAGGAACACCCCGAGCATCCCCTCCAGCCAGACCGAAAGGAGAGGGAATAATTCCTCCCAGACGAAAGGGGCAGGCTGCAGGGGTGCAGGGCACTGGGAACCCCAGCCCGATGCCCTGGGCAGCCACGCTGGAGCACTCGGGGCTCCCAGGAGCACGTTGGGGTATGCTGCGAGCTCCTCGAAGCCAAATAAACAGCGAGTGCTGGCTGAGCCAGAGCCCAGGAGACTGGAAGGACCTTCCCTGCCCTGGCAAGAGGCAGCGCAGCTTTCGTAATCCCCGGGAGGGCGTCGCTGCGTGAAAGCCCCTCGCCCCTGGCCGGGTGACACCGCGAGGTCCCCGCTCTCGTGCCCCAGACGCCATCGGAGGTCCTGAGAAAGCTCAGCCCATGGCAAGGCCCAGGCAAAGTCTCCTCTGGGGACCCGTTTCCACCCTTCCCACCTCCGCACCCAAGCCGGAGGGGGACACCACGGGCTGACCCGTGCCTGGCACCGGGCAGGGCGCGGGGACACGGGGTCGGGGCTGAGCCAGGGCCGTGCTGACCCCCAGCACCCCAAGGGGACAGGCGGAGGGGCTGGGGGGGAGCCCAGCGGGGTGGATTCGCCCACCCAGCACCCAGGTGCTGGCTCCTGGGTTTATTTGACATGCAGTGAACCCGCCGGCCGAGCCTGCCCTGCGCCGGAGCGTATCACTTCCAAACACACTTGATTGGCACGGCGAGATGCTCGGTTCAAAGGCAAAGTAATGTGAGCAGATTAGTTAATGCTTCTTGCCCTAGCCCTTGAGAGCAGGGCTGGAATGGCAAGGCAGACTTAATGGGTTTTGAAGGCTTTTCTTTTTAAGATATGAATCAATGAATCCGTACGGGGAGCATGGATAATGTGATCGGAATAAGAAACAGGGCTCGGCTTTGAACCTGAGCGAGGTCCCTGACAGTGTTTACTTCATGTCCTGGCACCAAATGCAAGATGACATGAATATATTAGCTTGCTGGCTTTCCTGAGCAACCCCTGCCACAGCCAGGCCGGCTTCAGGAAGGAAAAGAGCAGCAAAGAGAATCTGTTTGGAAGTGCCGACTTGTTTTCCAATAGCCCTGTCAGCCTCGCTTACTGCCGACGTGCCGGGCTGTCACAGGGCTGCTGGTGCTCGGGCACGGGGTGCCCAAATCCTGCCGGGAGCCCACGGAGAGCTCAATATCTGACCGCTGTGGGCTCCAAGCCCTTCGGCACCCGGGTGGCCAGGAGGAACCCTTGCCCCGCGGCGCGCCGTGGCGCACACTCACCGCTTCCTACCCGAGCGCCTCTTGCTTCATCCCCACAGCTTGCAGCACGGAGTTTCAGTTCCCGAAAAGCTCGGTGGGGAGGGTTGTGGGGGGGTTGCAGCAGCTCCTGGGATGGGATCAGGTTGGTCCCAGGGGGGGAAACGCTCACCAGGGGCTGCCTCAGCAGCTTCTGGCCCTGCTCGCCAGCCGAGCCCCGTGCCGAGCCCCGCTGACCTCCCCACTTCCCTTTTTTTCCCCCTTGGATTTCTCAATGTTTGTTTTTTCAGGTTGTGCGGCTTGGTAGGGATTTTTTTGGGGGGGTGAAGGAGGGGGTGACACAAGATGGGACATCCCCATCTCACCCACCTTCCTCCCCTGTTCCCGCAGCATGCTGCCAGGCCGTGTTTGTCCATCGTCATCCCGCGCTCCCTGCGCCGGAGCCTCAGCAGCATTTTCCACCCCAGCCACGTCCCTGCCCCTCCGGGACCCCCCCGGGGCAGACATCCCCATCCTGTGGTGCCGGGAGGGCTGGGATGGGGGTCAGGGAGCAGCCAGGGGCTGGGGTCCCCTCGGGGATCGCTTCAGCTCCAGGTCTCTGCGCGAGGCCGCAGCACTCGGACCTCAACCCAGTGGGGAAACCTAAGAACCTAAATCTGTTTTGGAAGGAGACCCCGCTCTGCCCCGCTCCGTACGCCTTCCCCACCAGCGCCGGCAGCATCGCGGGAGGTCTGGTTTCAATCAGGGGAGGAATGTCTGCCCCGGGCTTTGCGCCGCACAAACAGCTTGGGTTTCACTTCCCCAGGACTGGAGCTGGCGAGGGGTCGAGGGGGACACCAGGCAGGGGACACCAGGCAGGGGGACACCACCTCTCCAGGACGGCTGTGTGGGGACAGGGGGCTGGGGACGAGCCCCCGAGAGGGGTCTCACCGCACTTCTGGTGCTCAGGAGGGAATAGCACCATGGCACGGTGACGGAGGTGTGATTAAATCCGGGGGTCCCAGCCCCACGGGGGGTGGGTGCGGGCAGTGGGGCAGCCCCAGGTGGGTCGGGGGGGCCCTGTTGACCCTCTCCCCTTTCAGCTGGGGCTGTGCTCCCCACGCATCCCCCCCCGGCACAGCTGAAAGCCAGAGCTGGAGCTCCGGCTGTGTGCGGGTCTCCTGGGATCCGAGAAGCCAGGGGAAGGAAACCTGCAATAAGTGCAGAGCATTTGCACAGGCTTTAAGCTAAATCCTCCCCTCGCAGCGAGCCCGGCTGCAGCAGGCACTGCAAAGCCCTTTCCTAAAGTCTCCTTCTTCCTTTTTCAGGCCAGGACTTCACGGCTGGGTGAGGGCAGTGCCCTTCTGGCAACCGGGGCTTGGGGTCGGCGGTGCTGGGGGGGGGGCACGGCCAGAATTTGGGGGTGAGGGCGCAGCCCCCGGGGGGCAAGCAGGCTGCTGGGGAGGGTGGAGGAGCAGCACCCAGCCTTGCGTGTGTGCACAACCTCTCTGCCATGGGGGTGGGAGCAAAAATGAGACGAGCGCAGCAGCACCTTGTGCCCTCCGCCCCGTCCTGGGTACATGAAAAATTGCCAGGAACCAGGGCTCTGCTTCTAAATGCCTCGGGCTGTGCCACGGTGCTGCACTCAGCTGCATTTCTCTTCAAATCCCAGGGCTGCTCCTCTTCTGGCCAGGTCGGGGTCCTGGGGGTCTCCAGCAGTGGTCCTCAGCCGGGCAGCCCCAGCAGCTCCCTCCCCATGGGCTCCCCCGGGGAAATCCAAGCACGTGGCCCCAAAACTCTGCCCGTGGGAAGGTCCGAGGGGTCCGAGGGCACGGCGCTGCTCACGGGGACACCAGGAGCCCCCTGCTTCACTCCAGCAACCCAACGCCACGGCTGTCCCCACGCACGGGACGGTGGGATCAGCCCAGAGCGCTCAGAGGTGTCCAGGTGTGGCCGTGGGGCTCCCACCTCAGCCTCAGCAAGGAGTCAAGGGTGGAGAGCTGCCATCAGCCACCTCCCACGCGCCGTGGAGCTGAAGTCGCGTTTTTTGCCTTCACCTCCCACTCTAGGATCGGGAGCCAAGTACATTTCTCATTGCACCCAGCGCGCGGGGAGGAGGAGGAGGAGAGGCGATGTGGGAGGGCAGGGGAGCGGGAGAAGCCGGCGGCAGGCGGCCACGCACCACGCACGAGAAGGCGCACGGGGGGCAGGGGGCAGGGGGCTGGGAAATCCATCCCATCCCCATCCCATCCCATCCCCATCCCATCCCCATCCCCATCCCATCCCCATCCCCATCCCCATCCCATCCCCATCCCATCCCCATCCCCATCCCATCCCATCCCATCCCCATCCCATCCCATCCCCATCCCATCCCCATCCCTATCCCATCCCATCCCCATCCCATCCCCATCCCCATCCCATCCCCATCCCCATCCATTTTAGGGGTGAAAGCAGAGGATGGGGTCACCCAGGCTGATCCCATATCGGCCTTCTCCATGGGGACCAAGTCCCCTGTCCTTGTCCCCGAGCCCCAGGAGGTGGGGAGGGAGCACAGACACCCACTCAGTGCTAACCCCGAGCTCCCTGGGAGCAATATTTGGGGGAAAACATGGAAAGGGGATGCTGCCACGTGACAGCATGGGGCTGTGCTCATCCCTAATACTTCTCACCTGTGGTGAGAAGCAGAAGCTGAGGGTGATTGGGATCTGTTTGGGGTTTGTAGGCAGCCAGCTGGCGTGGAGCATCCCCGCTGCAGCACAGCCACCCTCTTGTGCCTGCAGGCACCTTCCTGCTTGGGAAGGAGCCGTGGGTGTGACGTCCCCAGAGAGGGGCAGAAACCCTCTTGGGGAGGGCCTGGGGACTCCTCACTCATTCCTAATACAGCTTTGGGCCTCTCAACCCAAAAGCTTTGACCCCTGGTGCCAGAAAGCAGGCAGAGCTCCGGCTGATGCCACTGGGTTGGTGGAAGCACCAGGTAGGAGAGCTCCGAGGAGCAGAGCCCTTGTTTTTTCACCCGTTCTCCACCTGGATGGTGGTTTGAGCTTTCATATTCGCCCCAATCCGAGCTGTTCCTGAGCACAGCAGCTTGGTGCTGGGGTGGAGCAGGACCTCGAGCTTCAACCCGGCGATTTTGGTGGTGTCGCTGGTGACACGGATCATCCTGGCCCCCTTGGTGAGGGCTGGCCATGAAGGCTGGGGGGCTCGGCTCTGTGCCAGGTGTCGGGGGGTCCTGGCCTCCTGGGGGGGACCTGCAGCGGGGTGGCCTGGCAGCAGCACCCCCTCCGCCTGCTCCCTTTCCATCTGCAGGAGATTTGCTGATGCTGACGGTCTCGCTGCTGGTGTCGGGGCGGTGGCCGAGGCTGGTTTGGAGGAGAAACGGAGCGAAAAGCCTCCGGGGGTCTGCAGGAACAGAGCCCCAGCCCCTCCAGAGCTGCTCCCTCTGCCTGTGTGTCTGTGTGTCTGTCTGTGTGTTTTTGTGTCTGTCTGTCTGACCACTGCTCCTCTGCCAGGGCGCACAGCGGGGTGCAGGAGCGCGGTGGAGGAGCCCCGGCTCCCTCGCAGGCTGTGTTCTCCTGTCTCCGATCTCCCTCTGGGGGACCAGTGGTTATTACAAGTCTCGGGAGTTTCCTTCTCCCTGCCCTGCAGGGTTGATGTGCTGGATTTGCAGGGTTGATGTGCCTGATTTACAGGGAGCTGCAAATGGCATTTGGGTAAAAACAACCCAAAGGCACACTCAGGGGCAGCGGGGAGCCTGGCGCGGAGGTGTCCCCGTGCTCCCCATCCCTGCCAGCAGCACTAACCCCCCTCCTTTATTTCCTCACTGCCTTAACTCCGTCTCCCTTTGCCATTCAGCCCCTGGAAATCAAACCCTTCCCATCAGCAAGTCCCTCGGGACGGGCACAGGCTCCCTTGGGTGGCAGAGGAGCGCCGCGGGCGAGGCAGCTCGTGGCTCCGAGGATTTATCACCCAAAACACGAGCGCTTGCAAAATGAGGTAGCGCCGGGGCAAGAGGAGAAGAGGCAGAGCTCAGCTGAGCCAGCTGCTGGGATAAGTTTAACGGCGCGCTTCGGATCTGGAATTTCCTCTGCACTGTTTACAAGATAAAAAAAAAAAAAATCATAAAAAAACTTCCAGCCCCCCCCCCACCTCCCCAGCGCACCGTCCTGATGCTGCCCAGAGCCTCTTCCTCCTCTCTGCCTCTCACAAAAAAAAAAAAAGACAGAGAGAGCAGGAGGGAGGAGTGGGAGAGAGGAGGAGAGAGGGAGAAAGTGAGCTCACGTTCACACATTGGGGAAGAGGCTGGTCTTGCAATGCCTTTGAATATTTTACTTTCGGGCAGTTTCCCAGCAGTCAGCCGCACGCTCCCGGGCTGAGCGGAGGCTCGCCGCGGCCATGGGCAGCACGGGGAGCCCTGGGCTGTAACCGCAGGCTCCTGGCCACGGGGATCTGCTCTGAGCTCGCCCAGGCAGGCAGGCAGGCAGCGCTCACACCGCCGGCACAGCCGCCAAGCAGCCACAGCCACCGACACCTCTTCTCTTCTCGCAGGAGATCCCCGCGCACACTCACACGCATCTCTCCGAGCCTCCTCTCCTGGCTTCCCGGAGGATCGTGCCGGCGGCTCCCCATGGAGAAAGTCCAGGGAGAAATGGAGATCGAGAGGTGGGAAAGAAGTGAAGAGATCTCGGAGGCGGAGAAGAAGGTGATTCAGGAGACATGGAGCAGAGTGTACGCGAACTGCGAGGACGTCGGGGTCTCCGTGCTCATCAGGTATTTAAAAAAAAAATAAAAATAAATGAAAATAAGCAAGAAGCGGATCCGGGCGCATCCCTTTATAGCTAAGGAAGAGGCAGAACAATATATAGAAGCATGCGATGAATGACAGCGAGTGGGGAGCTCGCTCGGTGCAGCGCTTGGCTGGGCGCAGGGACGGTTTCACAGCACTCCTCTGATTTCAACACGTTCGAGCCGGGGGGCGGCGGCGGGGGGAGCGGGGGAGCCTCTCTGCGGGGACTTTGTGGGAAGCTGCTTCCCTCGGAAAGGTCACCTTAGCCTGCGCGCGGAGGTGGGGGAGCGCGGAGGAGGGAGAGCGGTGGCGGGCTCGGCTCACCGGGGCTGGGTTGGTTTTGTTGTGGGATTTTTGTGTTGTTTTTTTTTTTTTTTCTTCTCCCCCCCCCCCCACCAAATAGATCCGTGCGGATGGCTTTGGTACGTACCAGGCTGGCGGGTGAAATAATGCGAGTTGGGAGCCAAGACAAAACCCAAGCAGGTGTCTCCGAGGGCACCATCTGGCCCTCCGGCGGCAGCGTCGGCGGGAAGGAGAGCGCCGAAGTTGGCTGCGGGAGGGGGGTGCGGAGGGCACAGGCAGGGGGGGGACAGTGGCACTGGGGGTGGCAGGGACCGAGCAGGACCAGGAGCAGGGCACTGGGCATTGCCCAAGGCGTGGGGCATCGCCTGATGGCTCGGAGCATCCCCCAGCAGCGTGGGGCCGGGTGGCACAGAGATGGGCGAGCGGCGAGCCCCCGGGTTGTGCCGAAAGCAAAAAGGGAAAGAGGCTCCGTGGGGGGAAATAGGGGCAGGAGGGGGTTCTTATCCCTGGCTGGCTGTTGTTTGGGGTGGGAGCTGTGCCTGGGGAAGGCACCGAGGTGAGTCCCGTGGGGCTGCAGGGATGCTGAGTGCCCGCGGTGCCAAGCACCAAACCTTTATCTGGTTTCACAGGGGAGAGGAGGACGGGCAGAGGCGCAGGCAGCAGAGGGGCTCCCTGGAGCCACAAACCTCCAGCACCCACCGGGGAGCAGCAAAAGGGATCTCCCCGGGCAGGCTCCCACTGCCAGCACCCAGCCCCGTGCACCCCAAAGAGGGGCCGGGGCTGTCACCTCCCCCCGTGCCCCCACAGTGGGGTTCTGTGCATGGAGAGCCCCTCGCCTGCACGCACTTTTTATGAGCAGCCACCCAAAAGTTTTCCGTGGGCTGAGCGCTGGTGCCCCGAGCACAGGGGGGGTTTCCATCCTCCACTTTGTGGGTTCGGTGCCTAAATCTTACCCACAGCCTTCCCAACCAGCCTGGGGAACCAAACCCCCAGGGCCTGGCACGAAGCCTGCACGTGGAAAAGGTCTGGGGGATGCCAAATTCCCTTTTTCCATGCCCCTTTTCCCGTTCCTGTGAGCTTTGGCAGGGGCAGAGGAGGTGGAAGAGAGCGGAGGATGGGGTGTGGGGTCCCTGCTGCTGTCTCACCGATGGGCACAGCCCCGCGCAGCAGCCAGGATGGCAGTGCCAGTGCCAGAAAGAGCTGGGCAGGGTTTGGCCGGCAGCTGTGCGTGGCCAAATCCCTCATGGGGCTGTGCCCAGGGCAGCTCCTTGCTTTCGGTGTCCCCACGGCACAGGGACAGGCTCGGAGCAGGGCTGGGGACGAGGACGGCGAGGTGCAGCTTTGGGAACCACGTGGCCGAGCTCCGATCCTGACTGAAACTCTCCCAGCACAAGTTTCTGGTCCGGGAACCCACAGCAGGTCCCAGCACAGCTCCCTCCTCTCCATCCCCAGCGTTTCCACCCCTCTCCTCCCACCCTTCGCTTGGCAGCTGGGGAAACTGAGGCACGGAGTCATGCCCGGGGGGCTCCCAGCCCTGCTGGCTGCAGCGGACGGGTCCCTTCCAGCTGGCACAGCTGGGGTCCTGAGCCCGTGGGGCCGCCGGGGTGCAGCGGGACGTGAAGGGGAATAATGGGGATTTCTGGCTGAGCGGCCACCGGGCCATGGGAATGTGCGCCGTGCGGTCAGATCCCACTAATTGCCAATTCCCTCGGCGGGGGAGCCTCGCTCCGGAGGAAGCACAGGCTCATCCTCCTCCTCCTCCTCCTCCTCCTCCTCCTGGGGAGCTCGGGGCCCTCTGCGGGTAACGCTGCCGGGATCCATTTCGCAGCAGCTGCCTTAACCCTTGCTGGGGCTGGGGCTGGTTTTGGGGTCGGGGCTGGATGGGGCTCCAGACCCCAGTCCTGCACATTTGGGGTTTTATTTTGGCTGGGTCGCTCCGGCCAGCACAGCCAACAGGCCAGGGCTGATGCTCACCTGTGTCCTCCCCGTGCCCCCGGGCACGTCGCCGTGCCTCAGTTTCCCCGTCCGTGCTCGAGGATTTGGGTCTTTCTGGAAAACTCTCCCATTTGGAGACCTCGTGGCGGGGGAGCCTGGCACAGAGCTCTGGCATCTGCTCAGAGCCCCCCCGGTGCCCACCCAGAGCCGGGTGCCCGACACGAGAGGGGCTGAGCACCGCTGGGGCTGGGGGTCCCGGCTCTTTCGTAGCCCCCGACGAAGCCTGGGAAGCCATCAAAGCCCCCCCCAGTGCCCTGCCGGCCGCGCACGGCCGCTCCCACACCCACACACACGCTCTGCGGTCGCGGATGTGGGACCACAAAACTTTATGGATCCCCCCGGGCTCGTGGGGATGAAAGCCAGGGATGGTTCCCATTAGTCAAACCCACACCGAATGCGAGAGCTGTGCCATGTCCCGGGAGGGGGGGGGATTCTCCCTTCCCCCTGTCGCTGCCCCAGGCCCATTTTCGCCTTTCCACATTTCCAATTTTTTTGCCTTCTCCATCCCTCTGTCTCCGCTCCCCCTCTCGCGCACGAAGCAGAGGTGTAGGAGGGGCAGAGGAGGCAGATCCAGGCCCCCAGATTTTTTTTTTTTTCAGCAGCCGCTTGGCTGAGCTGACACACCTGGGCTCCGACCGCCTGCAAAGGGCTTGGAAATGGAAAAGCGCCTGGCGCCGTCCGAAGAATTGGGAGAAAATACCAAAGAGCTTGAGTAATCGGGCTGCAGGGTGGAAAAAACGGTCTGTCTTCTTTCAGCTGGCTGAGCTGATGAAAAGGGCTGAATCCCCCAAATTAAACGGGCTGAATCCCCCAAATTAAATGGGTTGAGGCCCCCAAATTAAATGTCTTGAAGCCCCAAATTAAATGGGTTGAAGCCCCAAATTAAGTGGGTTGAAGCCCCCAAATTAAACAGGTTGAATACCCCAAATTAAGAGGGTTGAGGTCCCCAAATTAAACAGGTTGAAGCCCCCAAATTACACATGTTGAAGCCCTCAAAATGGCATTTAAAGGGACGATCGTGCAGCTGCTGCCCGAGGCTGATTTGCGCTGTGCTCAGGCTGTGCCCAGGCGTGCCTCTCTGGCTGCCGGGTGGTAAATGTTCAGAGCAGCTCACCCCGAGATCCCTCCCCGAAATATTTTGTTGGGAAGGGGCCCAGAGCCAAGCCTGACCCCCCGGTGGGGATGTCCCCGTCCCACGGAGCATCACGCGCTCGTGAATCACCGCGGCCCGTCTGAATTGATGTTTTTCTGGAGGAAAGGCCAGAGACCAACGGGGCCGTGCCCTGGCACTGAGGGCAGGCGAGAGGAAGGGTTTTTTTATATGGCAGACCCCCAGGAGGTAGAAAAAGGGGAGGGTGCTCGGTGGTGCCTTGGTTCATGGTGCTGTGGGACCGCGGCACCCTTTGGGATGTGGCTGTGCAGGCATCCCCACAGCCCCAGGGCCAAGGGGATGTGAGAAAATGAAGGGCGGTGGGAAAACCGTGCTGGTTCTGGTAATTTGTACATCCAGTCCTCCCCTTAACCTCGGCCCCAGGTTTGCCAGGCAGTGTGGGGCTGCGAGCTGGGCACAGCAGGCAGGATGCGTGTCGGGGGTCGCTGCCTTCTCCCCAAACCTTCCTTGGGCTCCATCGGGGCATCCCGGCCCCTTCGCTCCCTCCCAGCCCCAAAACCAAGCTGACAGACTGCAGGTTGAGCATGAAACCACCACGAAAAGCCAACAAAAAGTCTCCGAGTGCTCCCTGCTTCTGCCTGAAGCCCCCCTGCAGTTTGGAGAGCTCGGTGCCAGATTTCGCCCCGCGGTTTGCCAGGTGAACGAAGCACCGAGGTGACGAAGCTCCTCGTGTCCTGCTTCCAGCTGGAGCTCAGAGCGCAGGGAAGGAAGGGAACAGCCGGGTTTGAAGATTTTCTCCCTGCTCCCTTTGCCCTGCAGGGATGGGCAGAGGGGGGAAGATGGGGAACAGGAGGCGAGGCAGCACCCGGCGCCTGAGCGCAAAGCAGGCTCACGGGGCCGGCGCGGTTTGCACCTTAATGATTTCCTTTGGCTCTGCCGCCGGGAAGGGCTGCGGCCTTAAAGTTGTTAGAAGGGCAGAGGAGGGAGGAAGGCAGCTCTGACATCCTGTCCGCCCCGTCCAGATGGAGCTCCCAGGGAGCAAATTAGCGGGCGCAGAGCGGGAGCGCTTAAAAAGAAATTTAATGAGATCGGGATTCGGGCGTCTGCTTTCCATCAATCATAATTTCGCGTGATATGCGATGGGAAATGTCATATTTTTAATGACTCCAGCGAAGAAAAAAGCCCCGAACACACACACACACACACACACACACACACACACACACCGAGCCAACAAAATTCCAGAGCCTGAGATGTTTGAACTCAAAAATGTTCTGTAGACAGGGAAAAAAAACACAACAAACACCTCTTCTAATTCGGAATTGTTTGAGATATTTTATTTCTTCCTTTTTTTTTTTTTTTCTTTTTTGTTCTCCTTCCCTCTGGTTATGTTTAACCTTTGTGTTAAATTAATCTTCTCTGTTTATTAAGCAAGAGAGGCTCGCTCCCTCTCTTGGCCTGGCCCCGCAGACGTTTCCTCGCAGGGTTTTGGGGTTGGCTCCGTCCCCGCTGCCAGCGGAGCCCACGGGGGAGGCAGGGAGGTGCCGGGGGCAAGGTCGGGGCCTCTGCTGGTGCTGCGGGAGGAAACAGCCCCTGGGGGCTCCTTTTGGCCCCTCTTTTTACCAGGGGATGCCGCAGCCCCTGTGGTCCCAGGGGTCCTGCTGGCACAGCACGATTCGTGCCAGAATTATTTCCAAGCCCGTTCCCCGGGTCCTCGCATCGTGCCTGTGAGCTGCAGCTAAATAGGGCTTTTGGGGGGATGTGGGTGGATGTCTGGGCAGCAGGAGGGGAAAATCCGTGAACAGGGACAGCCAAAACCCGAGCTCTGCCCTAGAAGGGCTGGGCAGCCTTGATCTCGGTGCTGGCTCGAGCGGAAAGCTGGGGGCTGCGGGGACAACAGGGCACGGCGGGGGGGAAGCTGCGTGATGCTGGGAGGGACAGAAAACCCTGGGAGCAGGGAGGAACAACCGTCCTTCCCACCTCGTCTCCCCCTTTCCACCTTCCTTCCTCCCCCAGCCTTTCCGCCGTGCACTCTTCACACCTCCGGAGCCTATTTTGGGGCCGCCTGATGAGTCCCAGGTGCCTCGGGGAAGCGGCGGCGAACCGAGGGAGCGGGGACGGGCAGGGAGCAGGGGAACCAAGCAGCAAATGAGCCTGGGCCCCAAATTCCCACTGCCTGTGGAGTGGCGAGGGGGGACGAGGATCCCAGCTGGTCCCGGGGGGAGGTAGGGATGGGGGGGAGAGGGGTGCCTGGTGCCCGGGGACAGCTGCCTGCTTCGTTTGTCCCAGCTGTGCTTCATTGGGGTTGATTGATCCCACTGAAAAGGGGGTCCCCAGGTGCTCAGGGGCCAGGCTGGGTGCTTGGGGGGTGTCCTTGTGGTGTGGGGGGGATGGCTCCTGGCAGGGACCCTGCTGGGGATCTCTGGTGAGATCTTTGGGGCTGGGGGCGTCCTGGGCAAGGGGGAGCAGAAAGGAACTGGGAGCAGTGGGATTGGGGCAGGGAGAGGCTGAAGGGGGGGTTTTGGACACTTGTGTCTCGCTTTCTGAGCCCCCGTTGTGCTCTGATGTCCGGGGGTGGATGCGGTGTCTGGCACAGCTGGGCTGGAGCCTCTGGGTGTGGGGATAAAGATCTTGGTCTGGGTATGGTGATAGAGGTGTGGATATGGTGATAACGAACTCAGCTGTGCCTCTGCTTTGTTGGTGAGCATCCAGCTGGGACGCCCTCAGAAAATAGGGGAGGTCTGGGAGCAGGGCGTTACCCTCCCAAATTCCCTGAGAGCTCCACGAGGAGCCTGCCCCAAACCCGGTGGGGTCGTTCCCAGCACCTCCACCTCTCCATTTTCTGCTTCATCTCCTCACTGCTCTTCGTGCCTGTCCTCTCTCCGAAGGTTTTTTGTCAACTTCCCCTCGGCCAAGCAGTACTTCAGCCAGTTCAAGCACATGGACGACACGCTGGAGATGGAGAGGAGCTTGCAGCTGCGCAAGCACGCCCAGCGGGTCATGGGGGCCATTAACACCGTGGTGGAGAACCTCAACGACCCCGAGAAGGTCTCCTCCGTCCTGGCCCTGGTGGGCAAGGCCCACGCCCTCAAGCACAAAGTGGAGCCCGTCTACTTTAAGGTAAAGGACGGGAGCGAAAATATCCTGGGGGATGTTTTTGGACCTGGGGAGAGGGAGCGGTGGCACGGAGGTGCTGCTTGCTCTTGATCTGAGGCTGGGTGTTTGTGGGGTGCTCCCCACGTGGCTGTGTTTCCCCCCCGAGATGCTGTCCCGTGCAGAGCACCATTCCCAAATGCAGCCGCTGCTGGAGCTTTGGGGTTTCAAGGACCTCTCCCCACCCACCGGTGTCCTGCAGCCCCTTCCAGCACGGTGGTGGCTGTAAGTCCATCCCCTTGTCGGATCTTCTAGAAATCAGTCATGGTGGAGGGCATTAAAGCATGAAAAATGCCGAAATTAGGGGGATGCCTGAGAGCACAAGCAGCACCCCTTGTCCCACACAGGCTGGGTTCCTGCCCCATCCCTTACCCCGGGGTGTTGTGAGCCCTGACATCCTGCACCCATCCCATATGGGTCTGGCGTTCCCAGAACTTACCCACAGCTCTGAATTTCCTTAGGGAGAAAAAAAAAAAAAGCTGATTTCACTATTTTGCGCTGCCTGTGGAGTTAATCAACCCCTTATCCCCCCCCAGAAACTCACTGGTGTCCTGCTGGAGGTCATCTCCGAGGCGTACGGCAACGACTTCACCCCGGAGGCGCACGGCGCCTGGACCAAGATGCGGACCCTCATCTACACCCACGTCACGGCGGCGTACAAGGAGGTGGGCTGGGCACCGTACCCCAACGCCACCCTGTGAGGGACAGCGGGCACGGGCGAGGGGCGGGGAGGGGGTCGCTCACTGCCAGGACCCCGCTCTGGTCTCTTCTCCAAGATCTTTCGCTCGGTCTGGGGAGCCCGGTGGGGCCGGCTCCGGGAGCTGCCAAGTCATAATTTGATCTCTATAGGGTTTAAAAAATAAGAATAAATCACAACGACAAGCCAAAAAGAACCACGAAGGGTGTGGGAGGGGAGGGGGGGGTCGGGTGAAGCAGGGGTGCGTTGGTTGTGGGCTCCATCCTCCCATCCCAGCCTGTCCATCACCAAATCCCGCGCTCACCACCGCGTCCCTCGGGCGAGCTGTGCCGAAAGGCAGCACCACGCAGCTCACCGGTGGGCGAAACCATCCTCAGCCACCCTCGCTTTCCATGCAAAGCCCCTCGGGGAAACCCAGCTCCTTGCTTTTATTTTTTTTTGGGGGGGGGACCACCGGCTGCCCTCCCGCCCACCGCGCTTTGCTTTGCCTGCACCGCTCCCCGCAGCCTCGAGGGGTTGCCCCGTACCCTCTGCGTCTCCTTGCCCTCCTCGCCCCCAGCTCCTGGCTGCCCGTTGCAGACCATCCTGGAGCTGCAGGGAGCAAGGGGACGGATGGATGTGCCGCTTGGCCCCGTTAGGAGAGAGAAAAGGGATGGATGGGGTGCCTCCGGGTGGGCGCGTGAGCCCGCTCGCCTCCCTGCGGGTCCTGTGGGGACGCTGCTGGTGGCAGGGATGTGCGTGAGGATGGGTTTGGGTGGCACGTGTTGTGCCTTGGCTGCTGCCCACAGCCCTGGTAGCTTGTGTGTGTACGTCTGTCTGTCCGGCAGGGACGTGGAGCCAGGGCGAGAAGGGAAATTTGGGAACTGAGGGAGGGGAAAGATGAAGTTGGCTGCGGCAGGAGGGGTTCCTGGGGGTGAAGGGAGGTCCCTGCCCTGATAAAATCAAAGCTTTTATGGAAAGAATATTCCTGCCCTCTTGGTGAGGCTGGGCTCCTCCAGATAAAGTGCCTGGTAGGAATCTGTCCGTGCAGGAGGACCTCGTGGGCCCAGCAGAGCTCCCACCCATCCCGGCAGAGGGCTCCCCATGGGGCGGCCCCGTTACCTCCTGCACACACGTGTTAGCTTTATAGGGTGCCTGGGGGCCAGCTGGGGGGGGTTCAGGGATGGAGCCTCGGATTTAGCTAGGAAGCTTTGGCATCCTTGCCACCTGGTACTTCCCAAATGCCCCTTACACCGTCACCTGTGTCCCCCATCTGAGCCTGTGTGGGTGAGCAGCCAGGAATTCCTGCTCTGCCCGCCCACAGCTGGCCCCTTTCTTCTTTTAAACACCCGCAGGGAATCCTTTTTGCTTGTGTTTTTTGGGGTGTTTTGCTGCCTGGACAGTGACGTGGCCTGGCCTTTCCCTTAAGAAGCTGGATGCGATCTGGAGAGGTCCCTGGGGCTCCTGTGCCTGCCCCTACAGATGTTTTAGGGTTTTTTCTTCTTCCCTTCTCTGGCTGTACCAGGGTTTTGCTTTGGGGAGGTGGGAGCCCACACAGAGGGGCAAACACCAGCCCTGGAGGCTTCCTCGCATCCTCTGGGCTCAGTTATGTGCAGCCTGGAGTTTGTCCCGTTGTCCCCTGGCTTTAGGCAAAGGGGGGGGGATTTGGGAAGGACCCGGAGCCCCTTGGTTGTGCTCCCGAACCTTCCTGGCACGCTGTCTGTCCTGGGCTGCGAGGGGAGCCAGCAGGAGAGCCTTCGGCCTCTTGGAGAGGCAGAGGGAGGGGGCAGAAAGCTGCCAGGAGGAGGAGGAAGAGGAGGAGGATTTCCAAGGTCTGCCTGAACCAGGGAGGGACACCCCAGCCTTAGGGAGGTGGGCACGGGGCGAGGAGGGGCACTGCCCCTGGAGCAGGGTCCCTGGTAATCAGCACCCCTAAATTTCAGCCCACCAACCTGCACCCCTCGAGGTGCCAGCTCCTTCTGGCTCAGCTCTGAGCATCCGAGCAGCTGCTTTAGAGGCACCTTCCAACCATCAGCTGCGCTCGCAGCTGGCCGCTGCCGGGATCAGACCCCTGCAGATGGGAAAAGACCTGGTGGGTCGTTGGCTTTGCTCCAGCACAAAGCAGAGAGCGATGGCTTGGATTGGGACTGCGAGTTTTCTTCTCTGCATCACCAGGCTCTCGCAAGTGCAGTTGCACCGACCTCTGCCAGATCCTCGGGGCCGGCCAGGCGTGTTTTCGCCGAGTTCAGTACTCGCCGTGCTCTGTGGCCAGCAGCCCGTGTGGGGATGTTTCATCCTTAGACAAAAGTTCACGTGTTAACCTTTTGGGGTTAATGTTCTCCAGGCAGAGATTTTATTTTTGGGTGGAAACCTTTCCCTCTGCTCGCTCTTCCCTCAACCAAAACTCAGCTCAGCCGTGGCCCTGCGGAAATCAGAGGAAATTGCTCCAGCTAGGAAGAAATGGGGGCGTCTGCTCCGTGGCTGGGCTTAGGGTTGGGGATGCTCTGCTGAGTGCCCAGGGCCCCTCTCCCTCGGCTCCAGCTGGATGTGGTTTGAGGGGAGGTGACCGTGGGGAGGCCACCAAGTCCCTGTGTTCACTTCTGACCCACCCGAGTGCCCAGACTTCAGGGTAGCAGCCAGCAGCAGTCAGGTCCCCCCACCTCAAGGCCATGGACCAGGTGCCTACAGGGACCCTCGTGTCCCTCCCCAGCTTCTGGTGAGACTTTGGGACCCCTGGGGTGGCTCAGGCTGGGGACAGCCCTGTCCCCAAGGGCTTGGACAACTGTCCTTTGGTGTGGCCAGCCCCGGTTAGGGATGAAGTTAGGTGGGCTTGGGGTCTGAGCCCCATCCCCACTGGTGCCCCCTGCTCTTCAGACACCACCCCCAGAGCTGCAGGACCTTGGGACATTGTTTGGTTTCTTATTTTTCCCCTCCTCTGTTTAGTTTATTCTTTTTTTTCCCCCTCCATGCCTAGAAAAACCGGCCCATGGCTGCATGTGTGCACGCATGTGTGTGTCGGGCTTGTTTATTTTCCAGACATACTTTTCTAAACCAAATCCAGATGCGTGCAGCTGCTGTCCCTCGAGGATCCACCCCATCAGCCAAATTGCGAGCCACTCAAATATATGCAAACAAAACATGTTTATTTTTACCAGCTCTGTAGGAAGTAAAAACGAAGTGGGGAAGGTGGCCAGGGCAGAGCTCGCTCGGGGAAGAGACAGAGATAAAGCGAACGCCCCCGCTCTGCCGCCCTCAGCAAAGCAGCCATGGCTTAAATCGGGAAAATTGTCATCTGGGGAGAGATGAAAATGAACAGAAAAAGGAAAAAATATCATTCCCGAGTGACAGAGGGATGAAAAATGCGGTGGGGAAGAGCGGAAAGGGGAGGGCAGGGCTTGGCTCTCCAGCGCGCACACGTGCGCACGCGTGCGCAGCTGCTCGGTGTCACAGCCAGCTGGCAGCTGGTGGCCGTCCTGCGCTCTGGGAAGCGTGGCACCTCGCCTCCCGGGTGCTCCCGTGCCCCCCGTGAGCCTGCCACGCTCAGAGCTGCCCCCCCTGGCACCAGGGCAGGATGTGGCCCCTCGCTCATACAGCGGCTCGGTGCCGCTGGCTTAGCCTCAGCGCTGGGCTTGGAGCCGTGAGCCAGTGGGAAAGGTTTGTGCCCCCGCCAGCGGGGGGAATGCTGAGCTGGAGGGGTGGGATTTGGCATCCCCAGGGTGGGATTTGGCATCCCCAGGGCAGGATCTGGCCCCAGGCATCTCCTCTTGGCTCCCTTTGGGGGCACCCAACTCCCCCCTAATTTGGCACCGCGTTTGGCGCTCCGTGCCCGAGGCCAGCGGGAGCGTTGGGTTGGGGGTGGGACACAGACCCCGTCCACCCCATCCCCTCACCACCACGGCTTGTGCACCCATCGCTGCGTCTCATTCACACCCACACCTAGAGAGAGAGACTCCGAATCCACCACCAGAGGCAAGGAGCCCCCGAGGACCTTGAGCCCCCTCCATCACCTCCCTGCCGGGCCGGGGAGCCCCATGGGGAGCCCGGCCGCGTCCCTACCCTCGTGCTTCGGGGGGGCTGGGACCCTTCGCTCCCCGGGGCACCTCCCCGGAGACTCCAGGGGGGACCAGAATTTGGCCACCAGAGCTCAGCCCTGGTGTGCTGGTGCCTGTGCAAGGACAGCTCAGGGCCACTTGCGGCGGCACCAGGAGGGCAGGCGAGGACGGGGACGCCGCCACCGCCCCGCGGGCCGGCTTCGGGAGGGATAAAGCTGCCCGCCTGGCTCTGAGCCCTTCAGCGGGCTGCGCCGCCAACTATTCTCCATAGCTGAAGTTGTCTCTAATGTTAGTTTGTCCGAAGCCGTCCCCCAGTGACCCACAGACGTGAGCCGGCGCGCTCTGATGTAGCTCTGTGTCTGTACCGTTACCGATGCTGCTGCGGATGCTCTTCATGTACGTGTTTCTCGGCGCTTCCGTGCTGGTTTTATACATGCCGTCTAGTGTATGATGGATGTAACTGTTTTTTTGTTGTTTTTTTTTTTTTTCCTTTTTTGTAGGTTTTTAGTATGTTTGTAACCAGACAGAATGGTGTTATTAAACTGAAACTTGTATCTTCAGTGGATAAATCGATCAAAAACCCTCTGGCTCGTCCTGGTTTCTTTCCTGCTGGGGGGCTGCCCCGTGGCTGCGTGCACGCTGGGGGACCAGCGGTGGAGCCTTGTGACCAGAAATAAGCAGCAGAGGGGTGAAATTTGTCCTTCACCCCACTTCTACCTAGGGCTGGTGGAGGTGCCCAGGAGACCCCCTTCCCATCCCTCTTGTGCTCCTCTCTGATAGTGCCCAAAAAAGTTCCTCGGCACCAGAGCGGGCTTCCAGGGGGGGAAAAGCTCATCCCGTGGGGGTGCCAGAGCCCCGGTGCCCAGCCACAAGCAGCTCCAAGGGGAGCGCTCCCAGTTTAGGGTCTGGGTCTGAGGGTCTTGGTGAGGTCCGAGATGGAAGAAGGAGGGGATCAGGGCGGCGTGGAAACCAGGAGCGAAAGGACCGGGCGGCTCCGGGGGGGATTTCGGTGGGGCCACGAGGCTCCAGGAGCTCCGCACACCACGCTGAGACCAGCCAGAGCTGGGGCTGACGGGAAACCACCAAAACGGGGCTGTTTTTTTCCAGTGCCTGGTTGAAAAGGAGCTGGGAGCTTCATCATTACCTTGCCGAGCGGAAATATTTACACAGCCCTTCACTTCGCACTAATATTTACCCCCGGGGCCCGTCACTGGGGGTGGCCGTGACGAGCGCGCCGTGACCCAAACCCAAACCCAAACCCAAGGGAGAGCAGAGGCACCGCGGGAGGCTGAGGCTGGGGGTGTGCTGGGGGCTGCCGTGGGCACCTGGGTGCTGGGGCTGCGCCCTCCTCCTGCTGCCCCATGCCTGGGAAATCCCAAAACCCAGTGTCACCGCCCTGGGATGATGTTTTCCAGGAGAAAACCCTTACCCCAGGGAGCAGGGGTTTTAGGAACCACCCTGGTGGCCCCGGTGGGGTTTTATGGGGTGGGGAACGGAGGGAGAGGGGAATTGGGTGGCTGAGCCGTGGCACAGGGTGTGCTCCCAGCCTGTCCCTGCTGGCTGTGGGGTCTGCAAAGACCAACCCCACGTGCCCAAAATCCCCCTTCTTATTCTCCAGTGCCTTCGGAGAATTAAAGCCTAGGAGCACCCCCGTCTCCAAACCTCCCCACGGCCACCCTCAGCCCCGGGGGGGGGTTCGGAGCCGCCCGGCTGGGGCCGCTGGGTGCCGGAGCGACGCCGCGGGGCCGGGGCGCAGCCGCCTTGGTGGGGCTGACACAAAGCAGGAGCTCGGCCCTTCCTTCCTCGCCCGGCTCCTGCTCTGATCTGGTTTATCTGAGCTGCGCCCAATGTAAACGCTGTCAGCAACGGGCCGAGATTAATTCCTGGGCCTTTGGCAGCCGAGGGAGGCAGGCACAGCGCCGGGGGGAGGAAAATCCCGCGGGGTAATTCACAGCCAGGTTGCTCTGCTCACAGGCACAGCAGAGCTGGGGGCTTGCAGGGGGCAGGCGGCTTCCTCCTCCTCCTCCTCCTCATCATCATCATCATCCTCATCCTCATCCTTCTTCTCCTCCTCCTCCTCCTCTTCCTCCTTCTCCTCTCCTCCTGGAGAGCCCCTTCCCATTCCCCCAAGGCCGGGGGGAGTGAGGACACACAGGGAAACCTCACGGCCCCACAAACAGGAGCTGGCCCCATGGTGGCCCCAAGCACCTGGAGCCTGGAGGGACCCGACCCGGACAGCTTCACCACCTGGTTTTTGGGGCCAAAGCAGACCAAGGCACCATCCCCGTTCATCCCAGAGGGTGCCCAAACCCCGCAGCCTGTTCGCAGTTGCAGGATTTCCATCCCCACGCGCCTGCAGCAGCCCCTCTCTCTTCATGCCCTACATCAATTAATTGCAATTAAGCTGTGATTTGTATCACTGGACCTCGGTCCCCCTGTTTTGGGGGTTTTCCCCTGCCCTGCCCCGAGGGGACAGCAGTGGGGTCAGGTCCCTCCACAGCAGCTCCGGGAGCTTTATCACACACCAGCCTCCAGGAACTATCGGTGTTTGTTATGAATCCTTTAAATAAAATAAAATAAAATAAAATAAAATAAAATAAAATAAAATAAAATAAAATAAAATAAAATAAAATAAAATAAAATAAAATAGACGAGTACATTTGCCTTAAGGGAACCCTTCAGACCATCCCAGGTGCTGTTTGTTCCATCAGTTTTGAGGCTGGTGGTCCGAAGAGACCCTGAAACCCCCTAACCCCAGGGCCCTGTCCCGTCAGAGCGCTTTTGGGTCTGAGCAGCACAGCCCAGGGACTGATTTCTTTTAGGGACGTTTTTCTAATCAATAGTGCAGATCATTTACTTTCTCTTTTTTTTTATTTTTTTTTTGACATTCCAATAAGTAACTACAAATATTTTCTCTCTTTTCATTGTTTTCTTGGTAAAGGGTATCAGGAGGCCAGACACAACGGTGCGTGGATGGGGTACATGGGTTTGCTTTAAATTTGGGAGGGGAACAGAATAAAGAGAATATTATTTTTTTTTGGGGGGGGGGAACAAATGGAGCAGGAGGGTGACGGAGCTGCTGTCACTGCCTGGGGCTGTGCCGGGAGCTGCAGTTACACCACGCTCTCCTGCTGTATTTTCTCTCCTCTGCGTGTCATCCCGCACACACGCCGAGGTCCCGGTGCCACCCAGCAGGTGCGTGGCCGTGTGTGACACCCAGCGGTGCCGCTGTCCCCCCGGGATGGTGACACTGCCTGCTGCTTCCCCATGTGGGCACCAGGTGACATCCGTGCTGGCTCTGCTGGTGATGAGCGGATGAAAAAAAAAAAAAAAAGCAGGAATCAGAGTCTGGGATCAACCGGGGCAGCTGCAGGAACCTGGTTTTAAAACGATGCCCGTGGTGATGGCTGGGGGGTGACAAGCCACTGGTGCCATAACACAGCGTGGGACCAGAGGTGGCAGAGGGGTGCCTGCGGGGTTGGGGTGTCCGCAGGGGCAGGGGTGCCTACGGGAATGAGAGATCCCATGGAGATGGGGTGCCCGGAGGCAGCGGGTGCGCACGGAGAGGCCGGGTGCCCGCAGAGACCGGGGTGCCGATGAGGATGCTCCGGGGAAGCGGCCGTCGTGGCACTCCAGCCTTGCTCTGTGCCATCTCCCCTGGGGGAAAATGGGACCCTGCATGGGGGGACGCTGAATCCTGCCCACTCCGAGCCCTTTCCGTGCCCTCGCCCCCACCAAAAGAGGTTGGGGAGGTTCCTGGGGGTGCAGAGGGGCTCGGCCGCCCTGGAAGCCCAGCGCAGAGGCGGGGGCTGCGGGCACCTGGATGCTCACGGGGGGCTCCGGGGAGCTGTGGAGCGGAGCTGCCAGCATGTACCCAGGCCGGGCTCAGCAGGAGGAGCTGCGGGGAAGGCTGGAGAAATAGCAGCAGGCGAGGAGGATTGCTTCACAAAGGTCACCTCCTCCTCCGCGCCACGCCGCTGCGCTTCGCCCGCTCCAATCCTGCCTCCTCCCCGCGCCGCCCCACACCGTGCGTGGGGCAGAGGTGGCATCTCCTGGCCCCCAGCCTCGCCACCAAGCCAGGACATCCCCAGCTTTGTCACCTGGCCAGGAATCCTTCACAGGGGGAGGAGAATCCCCAGGGCTGGGAGAGGCGGCGAGGGGAGCGGGCAGCCCCCAGCCCCTGCCCTGTCCTCATGGCTGCATCGCCCCAGAGCCCTGCCAGGGTTTTTTTTCCTTAGGAGAGCAATAAAAGAGGGGGGGGGAAATGCAGCAGGGGAACTCCGGGCAGCCCGTCTTTGATTGCCAACCCTTAATTTCGTTAGGGATTGTTTTATTTCTGAGTGCTTCCCCACCGCAGGCTGGCCGAGGAGCGAGGGAGGGAGGAAAGAGCGCAGGGAGGGGGCACCAGGAGGATTTCCCCAGGCCCATGGGCTGGGGGGGATGCGGCTGGGGCAGGACCCAGGGGGGTCCCAGCACCCATGGGTGCAGGAGCAGGGGGTCCCAAGCTGCCCAGGGCTGGAGGGGGCCAGGAGCATCCCTGAGGTCCCAAAGGGGGCAGAGCAGGAGCAGCCCCCGGGCACTGGGCAGGTGACGGTGCCCACCCATTGCGCAGGGGACAGCGGTGCCACCACGCCGGGCACCCAGGGGACACGGGTGGGGTGGACGTGGGTGCCACGAGGGTGCTGAGCAGTGGCAGAGGCCGAGCATCCCCTGCTGCAGCTCCTGCAGCGGCCGTGGCCTGGCCTCTGCTGTCCGTGCCGGGAACGGCAGCGCTGCAGGCAGCTCCCGGCCAGGGCCATGCTGGTGGCACTGGTGGCTGCTGCTGGTGGCACTGGGACAGGAGGGATCCAACACCGGGATGTGCCCGGGGGGGTCCCACGAGCAGCTGGGGGCAGGCGGGGGGCCAGCAGGGGGGATAAGTTTTGGGTTGAGGCGGTTTAGGAAGGGGTTGGTGCGTGGGGGAAATGAAAGCTTGGGGTGCAGGGCAGGAGCGTGGGGTTTGGGGCAGAAGCAGCAAGGTTGTGAAAATGGGGTATTTTGCCCATCTTTGTGGGTCTGAAAGGCCAGAGGAGCTGGTGCCAGACCTCGGAGCCCCTCCCCAGCTGGGAACCCCTCCCAGACACCATCCCCACTGTCCCCACCTGGCCTTGGCACACCCGGAGCGGGGTCAGCCAGCACGGGGAGCGCAGCGCCGCGGCCCCTTCCCAAAACCCGTTGGGGACAGGCCAGCCCCGGCACTTCCAGCCATGCACGCGGTGTCCCGGCACGCTGACTCAACGCCCTTGGGGTTTTTTCGGTCATTTGCTTCGCTTCCTTATTGCCCAACGCTCTGCTGGCTTGGCACGGGGACCCTGCGGGGTCTCCCCCTCCTGGGACCCCAGAGGCCAGCGCGGGGCTCCCCCGGGGCTCCCCCACTGACCCCCGGCTCCACGCCTGGCCCTTTCCATCCCGGGGTCCTGGCACAACGGGGGATTCTTCCTTCTCCACCTGTGTCCCAGCACAGCTCCAAAGGAGTGTCACGCATTTACGGGGACGTGCCCGGACCCGTGGTGCCACCCCGCTGTGCCCGCCGTGCCCCTGTGGGGTCCCCTCGGTGGGGATGGGGTTTGGTGGGATGGGATTCGGCACCCCCTGGGGGTCCCCTTTGCTGGCGTTACCCCAAACCCAGTCCTGCAGCACGTGGTCCCGGCGCGCCCTGCGGAGCCCCTCTGGAACCCCAAATCCGCCCTTGGTGCCGTCCCCCTGGGGGCTCAGCTGGTGGCTGGGGGGGGACAACAGCACCCAGAGGGGCTCTGGGAGTGGGTGGGGGGGTAGCGAGCACCCAGGGGTGATATTGGGGGGCACCCATGGGTGATATTGGGGGCACCCATGGGTGGCACTGCAAGCACCCAGGGGTGGCACTGGGGGCACCCAGGGGTGATATTGGGAGGCACCCAAGGGTGATATTGGGGGCACCCATGGGTGACATTTGGAGCACCTACAGGTGGAACCGGGGGTACCCAGGGGTGGTACTGTGGGCACCCACAGGTGGCATTGGGGGCACCCATGGGTGACACTGGGGGCACCCAGGGGTGATATTGGGGGCACCCACAGGTGACATTTTGGGCACCCACAGGTGACATTTGGGGGCACCCACGGGTGACACTGGGAGCACCCATGGGTGACATTGGGGGCACCCAGGGGTACCACCCTCAGCACCCATAGGTGCCACCGGGAGCACCCATGGGTGCCCCCAGCAGCGGGCGCTCTGCGGGGCGGTCCCCACCCGGGGGTGGCCCCGCCCCCTCATTAACCCCACCCCCTTAACCACGCCCCCTCATTAGCATAACCCCGCCCCCTTTTGGCCCCGCCCCTCCAGGTGGGGGCGGGGGGGGGCGGGGGCCGGGAGCGGCGGCGGCGGGCGCGGGGCGGCGGCGGCGCGGAGGTGAGCGGGGAGCGGGGGTGGGGGCGCACCGGGGAGGGGGGGGTCCCGGTGTCCCCGCGGTTTTTCCCTTCCCTTTCCCCTCCCTGACCCCCCCCCCGCTCGGTTCCCAACCGGCTTCCGCCTCCGCCCCGCTCCGGAGTGCGGGGGGGCACCGGGGGGGCACCGGGGGTGGGCACCGGGGGGGGCACCGAGGGGCTCGGGACCCCCCCTCCGGCTCCTTCCCGGCTGGGTCTCGGCCCCCCCGGTTGGGCTCTTGGGGTGGGGGTCACCCCACGGCCCCCCCCCCGCCCCCACTCGTGGGTGGCAGCCCCCGGTTGTGCCCCCCCCGGCCCCCTCTCCGCCCTAACGGGGCGCAGCGGCGGCTTTTGGGGTCGTTTCGGGGCTCGGAGCCGTGCCCGTAGGAGCACGGGGTGAAGGGGGGGCTGGAGAGGGCTGGCACCGGGCTGGGAGCAGTTTTGGGGCGATTTAAGGCTTTTTGGAGAGTGCTGGGAGCCTGTCCCGGCAGCAGTGCCGCCCGCTGGGGTGGGGGGCTCGGTTTTGGTGTTGGTTTTGGGTTTTTTTGTCCAAATGCTGTTGGGCTGCCGCGAGCCCTTTGCGAACAAACCGACCCCACGGGGGCTGTGTGGGGTCCCCGAGGGGCTGGGTGCGCGGACAGAGCCAGTTTTGGGGTGACTCCGTGCTGGTTTGGGGCAAAGCCTCGCACCCCATCCCCTTTCCCACCCCAAACACCCTCCAACCCCCCCCATCCCGGTCCCAGAGCCCAGCAGAGCCTGGTGCTGTGACCCCATAGGGGGGTCCCCCGGGGGTCTCCATGGGAAGGGGGAGCCGCAGCCCCCGGCCCCGCTGTGGCTCCTCTCCCCGGTCACTCCCGGGGATTTCCAGGCTGAGCTCACCGCGGTGGCACCGAGCCCAGCAGCGGGGCTGGGAGCAGCACCCGGCTTCATCCCCATCCTCCTCATCCTCACCCACCCAGCTCCCAGGGGCGCAGGTGGCGGGGATGCTGTGGGACCCCCCAGTTTGGGGAAGAGGTGAAAAGGGGCAGAAAAGCACCCTGGGGGTGGACGGGGGGTGGTGGCACCCCGGGTTTGGTGCCTGGCGTCGCTCTCGGGCGCACGTGGGAGCGCTGGGCACGTGCTGGAGGAACAATGGGGGCGGGCGGGTGCTGGGGGGGACCGCGTGGGGCTGAAATCCTACAGGGTCGTTGGGTTGGTGGGGGCTCACCGCGGGGCGAAGCCCCTCGGGGTGAGCAGGAGGGTCAGGGGAGCTGGGGATGGGGCCGGTTTTGGGGTTTGGAACAGGAGCGCGGGGCTGGCCTCGGGGTGGGGAAGAGGTTGTGTCCTTGGGGTTGCTCCTGTTTAATTTGGGGACCCCAAACGCGTCCTTCCTTTGGGGTGTCTCCAGCAGAAAGCAGCTGCTCTCCAGGCGGGCTCAGATCCGTGCTGACAGCCAACAATAAAAGGCGAGGAGCGGAGGGGGAGCGGGGGCCACCGGGGCCAAACCCTCCAAACCTTTTAAATTGGAGCAGAAGCGGGGTCTGGCCTCCACCTGCATCCCAAACCGCAGCTGGATGGACAGACAGACGGCCCCGGGGCCCGCTGCCACCCCACAGAGCTGCTGGTGGCTGATTTTGGGGAGCGGGAGCGGGAAGAGCGCGGGCTGTGCGCAAAGGGAGCGGGTTACCCCCGGCTGCAGCCTAATTACTTCTCCTCCATCTCTAGGAGCCCGTAAGTGATGGGCTCGGAAACTCTTTGGTTATGAAAAGCTTTTTATTTAATGACCTCCGGGCCGGGAGCAGGGAGCCAGGAGCCGGGCTCTTTTGGGAGCGCTCGGGGCTCGGGGTCACGGCCGCTTCCCCAGCTCCGAGCGAGTGCTGAAAGCTGCGCCTCTCCGTGCCAGGGGACATGCAAACCTTGGCGTCCTGGCCCTTTTTCTCACATAATCACTTTGAAAAAAAAAAAAAAATACAAACACAAACAAACCCAGGGCGGTTTATTGGCTGCTGCTCTCCTAACGAGGCTTCGGGGTGGGGAATTGGGGAGCGGGGCTGGCACCGACCCCTCCCTCTGCCTGCTCCTGCCCCAGCTTCATGCAGCGATGCTGGGGGCTTGGTGGTTTTTTTTTTGGAGGGGGACCCCAACACCCACCAGCTGAGAGGCCCCCCCGGACCCTTTTTGCACTCGCTTTGCTGTGGGTTTCGCCACGGGGGAGAGCAGGAGGCTGGTTTTCGCACGGTGCCTCGGTGTCCCCACTTGTGCGATGCCGCAAATGACTCAGAAAACCTCACGGTCTGCAAACCCCCCACTGCTGCTCGGCTCCTCGGGGTGAGTGTCTGCACCCCACGCTGGGCTGGCTGCTGTGCCCGGACCCTGAAATGCTCCTGCCTGGGTCTGGGCCCTGCACCCTGCAGCCGGGTGCTGCCGTGGGATCTGGGTGGCCCCAGCACCCACAGCGGCCACCCTGCGGCACCGGGGGCCAAGGGGAAGGGCTGGGAGCGACCGTCCCTCGGGTGGGAGCTGTGGAAGGTGGCTCGGGAAGGTCCCCGAGCCTCGGGGGTGCCTCCTGTGCACCCCTTGGGTGTGGGCACCCAGCAGGTGGGGAGCCGGGATGGGGGCACCCCCGGGGGCGAAGCATCCCTGGGCAGGGAGGGATGGTGGGGAGAGCGCTGGAGGAGGAGGAGGAGGAGGAGGAGGAGGAGGAAGGAGAGGAGGAGGAGGGAAGCAGAGCGGCTCTTGGCACCCAAGGGGCTGCAGAGTGTGCTCCTGGCACGCGGCCACGGCGATGGGGCAGGGGGATGCCGGCAAAGAGCACTCGGGGCTTGGTGCTGGGCCAGGGGAAGGGTTTGGCATCTTCCAGCCGTGCTCCCAGGACCGGGATCGATGCTGGGCTGGAGGCAGAGCATCAGGCGGGGAGCAGCGGTGTGCGTGCGAGCCCTGCGTGCCCTGCTCGTGCCGCCTTGGATGGGGGACGAGCACGGGGTGGGATGGATCGTTCCCCGCCGGGCTTTCCCGTGGGGAGCACGTGCCTCGCGCCAACCTTCCTGGGCGGGTTTTGGCCTCGTGGAGTTTGGGAGGGAAGGAAATGAGGCCGAGGAACCGGCTGACGTTCGTCTGCTGAGGCTCTGGGGAAAGGAGGAAGGGTGTGGGGGGCTGGTGGCACGCGGCGCGAGCCTTCGGTGGCTGCGCTGAGATAAGCAGCCTGCTCCAGGAGATAAGGAGCTGGTGGCCGAGGGGCTTTGCTCGGGCTCGTTTTGTCATGCTGGGGGCCCCACCGAGGGCCCGTGGCTCATCTTGTGCACAGGACGAGCCGAATTCCTGCACGTGGCTGAGCATCGCCTCCTGCTGCTGCCTCCCTGGGGTGCTCAGAGCTGGGGGGGGACCCTCAGCAAGCACAGGACCCCCCCCCCGTGGGGCATTTTGCCCAGCACGGTGCCGCTCTCGGGTGTCCGGCGCGCTCAGAGCCGTGGAGCAGAGGATTGAGGAAGTCTGTTGGTGCCGGCTGTGCCCTCCCTCGGCGAGCTGCTATCAAAGCCACGGCGTTTTGCAGAACCAGAGGAGGAAACGTCCGCCCCTTGCCCTCTCACACAAAGAATTTCGCCTCGAACAGGGAAGCGAGAGCGAGCCCAGGAACAACCCGCGGCCTCCCCAGCCCTGCGTGGGAGCCCCTGATTTCAGCCCAGCTACCCAGGAACCAAAGCTCCGGGTAACTGAGCAGCTCTCACATAAAAGGGAGCCGGGTTAATTAATCCCAGCAGCATGGGAAGTGTGGGCAGGGTCTGTAGAAGAGCCTTGTCCTCGCTTTTTGGGGAGCGCTGACGGGGTGCCCGCGCAGGGCGCACGCGAGGCTGCAGCAATCCTGTGCGAGGGCGCACAAAGATCGGTCCCCGGGAGCAGGGACAGGCGTGAGGGGGACGTGTGGCACCCAGGGGTGTCTGCGTGCCCCCACCTCATCGCTGCATGGGACGACCTGGGATTTTGGGGGCACGTTGCAGGAACTTTTGGGGAGCAGTCCCCACGATGCCGGGCTTGTGCCGCGTTGGCTTCCAGTGCTGCCTGCGGGAGACTTTTGCCCTTTGCTCTTTGGGAAGCCGTTGGCGGTGCCTCAAAGCCTCCACGTGCAAATCGGCCCCGGGCTGGAGCACGAGGAGGAGGAGGAGAGGAGTGGGGTGAGGGGGTCTGGGGGGTTCGGTGCCGCGTCCTGCAGCAGCGCCCACCCGCCTGCTTGCCCGGAGCATCTCCGGAGCTGGGCGGCTTCCAGGCAGCCCTCGGGGAAGCCCAGGGGGGTTTGTGCTGCACCTCCTGCTCCGGGTGGTTCTGCTGCGAGGCTGCGTGGATCTGCTGGAGGCCAGGAAGGAAGGGAAGGACGCTGAGAGGTCTGCGTCGGGCTGGGAAGAGCCCCGGCCGCTTATCGCGGGCGAGTCCTTCCCTTTCCGTGCAGATATCGGCTCCTTCCGAGAATGCTGCCGGGGAAACCCGGCTTTGGGAAGGGCTGGAGAGGGGAGAGGGCTGCTCCTGATGGTGGCACCATCCCCCTTTCGGGGCCGCACTGCAGGAAGGTGTCCCTAGCTGGATGCTGGGGTGGGCAGGACATGCGCACACACCATGGGGATGGGATCCCCACGTTTACTGGTGCCACGTGCCCCCAAAACCACAAATTCCCCCAAAACCACTCCTGCCCCCGAGGTGAGCCCCTCGTGATGGATACCCGGTGTGAGCAGCGGGGCTGCCCTCACTCCTGGAGCCCAGGGAGCTCCATGCCCATGGCAGGAGGAGAGGGAAGCCTGGCACAGCTTTATCGGCAGCGCGGCCCCGTGGGCTGGCACGCTCTATCTCGGCTGCGTGGTTTTGCTTCCTTCCAGGGCGTGCCGAGCACTTGAAACTCGCCCGGGATGAACAAACCACGCCGGGGTTGCCTCACGTCCTGCCCGGCTTAGGAGAAGGCAGAGGAAAATCGCCGAGGGTTTCCCAATCGCCGTGAGGTGTGCGCCCGGGGAACCTGTCGGGCTCCTGCCCCGCACGGCCGCTCTCGGGTGAGGAGGTTTTGGGTTCGTGCCCGTTGCTTGAGGAGCCCCAAAGGGTTCAGGGCTGGTCAAGGGAGGCTGGCTTGGCGTGCTGCCCCTCCCCGGGCAGAGGCAGCCGTGCTGAAGATGGGGATGAAAGCCCCTGGGAGGCAGCGCGCATGGCTGCGGCGCTCTGTGGGCACTCGTGCTGCACGCCTGGCTGCCCTGAGCAGCCCCAGCAGCTCCAAACGGCCCCGCAGGCGTCGCTGTCCCTGTGCCAGACCCGGAGCAAAACCCTTTTGGTGTCACATTTGGCACCGGCGAGTCACCAGCCCTCAGGGGGGCAGTGTCACGTCCTTCTGTCCTGGGTTTTGTCCCTCTTCCTCCGCCACCACGCGTCCCGTCTGCCAGCCCCGAGGCTTTCCGGCTCCGCTCTGGGGTTTTGCTCATTTGCCTGCGGTGGCGGCGGCGGGCGAGCTCGGATCCGTGCCGGGCATTAATGATTTACCCAGTGCCGGAGGCTGCAGCCAGCTGTGGGGTGGCCGTGGGGTGGCTGTGGGGCTGCGGCGCGATCCCGGTGCCTTCCCCGAGAAGCACCCGAGGTTCGAAGCCCCGTGGAAATTCCAGGCTGACGGCCATGAGCGAGCCCCTCGGCGTTGATGGGTGGCCCGAGAGTGCCCATCGATGATTCAGGGCCACGCCGCTCGCTAATGGGCATCCAGCCCCGGGCAGGGCTGCCCCGCAGGGGTGTCTCCGGTGCCTCGTAGCGGGGCTGTGCGCGTCGCTGCTGCCTCCGCTGCCCGCTTGGTTTCTGGCTCGGAGACGCCTGGCACGGCCCGTGCTGAGGCCGTGCATGAGCCGCGTCACTTTTTCCACCGCTGGGCGTTTCCTTGGGTCAGCATCTCTCGTGGCTCAGCCCAGGGCCGGGAGCCATCCCCGAGCCTCGCCTGGTTGAGGACTAAATCCTGCTCCCGGTCACCGCTCCGGGTAAATCCTCCACACCCCTCGCCTGCTCTCTGCGGCGTCCCCCGTGCGTTTTCCCCTCTCCCCGGAGATCCTTTGCACCCCGAGGTGCCCCCAGGGCCCGGCTCCCAGCTCGCAGCACAGCTCAGGCCGTGCTCACAGCTTCCATCCCCCTTGCGGGTCACCCCCCCGGCGGTGTCACCCCCCCTGTCCCCAGCACGCTGCTCACAGCTGTCCCCACGCCGGCTCAGCGTGTCACCTCTCACTTCCCTTTCCTGTCCCCACTGCTGGCTGCGGACAGACATGGGGGGGGCCACCCCTGTGTCTGGGCTCCCTGGGGACACTGTGATGATCCTGGGGTGAGCGGGACCGCGGCAGTGCCTAAATCCGTCCGTCCTGTGGGTTAAGAGGGTGAGGGGCTGAGCTGGGGGTGGCCGGAGCCCTGCTCCTCCTTGCCAGGTTTGCTCCGGGCACGGGTGCCGGATCGCCCGTTCTCACACCGAGCGCGCAGGGCAAGGGCTGTGCCAGCGCTGGGAAGGCTGCTGCGGGTGCCAAACACGTGGGGAACGGAAAAATGTGTTCCCAGCCCCTTCCCAGAGGCTTTGTGCTGGCCCTGGGTGAAGCTCCTGGCACCCCGGGTGCCGTGCTCACCCGTGGGTGCTGCCTGGCACCCTACCGGGGTGGCCGAGGGGACCTCAGCCATCACAGGCTGCTCCCCTCCTCCCACTGAGTGCTGAATTTTGGGTTAATTCGGCACCATTAAAAGTGCCCCAGGGACTGCAGGTGCCCAGAGGGCTACAGCTGCCCAGCCCTGGGTGCACACACGGCAGGAGGAGGACGAGGGGTGCTGGTGGCCACCGCGGTGCCCCGGGGCGCACCCAGCTCCCGCTGCCGGGTCCCCGTCCCTGTCCCTGGCACGTCCCCAGCCCCGGCTCCAGCTCCTCGGGCTCCCCGGAGCCAGCCCTGCCTGCAGCTGGCATCTCGAGCTCATTGCTGGCTGCCCCGGGAGGAAAACAAACAGAGCCTGCAGCTCACCAGAGGGACGGAAAGTTTTGCTTGCTGGGGCTGGACCCGTCTGGCTGGCGCCCTCCCAGCCCCGCAGTCATCAAACACCTCGGCGAGGCGCTTGCATTTCTTCCTTGCTTTTATTTATTTTTTTTTCCACGAGTATCTCGCTCGTTGAGAGCTTTGGCAGGCGGCGGCGGGTGAGAAATCCCCTCGTGCCCTGCCTGGTGGCGCAGTGACAAGCAGAGCGAGGTGCGTGGTGGCGGCGGGCGGCGTTTCCTCGCCCCGTGCCAGCGGCTGCAGCGGGTCCCCGATGTCCTGCGGCCACCCCAAACCCAGCCCAGGGGAGGTGTGGGTTTGTGGTTGTGTCCCACAGCGTCCTGCCCTGCTGTTCACACCCAGCAGATCCCCAGGGAACGTCCCCACGCTCCCGTTGGCCTCACCCCTGGCTGCTTTCCCAGCCCCATCCCCAAAAGCTGTGGCTCTTCGCCCTCCCGGCAAGGAGCAGCCAACCCCAGCCCTTCCCCTCCTGCTGCCGGCGGTTTCTGCGGCCCCAACCCTTTCTCACCTCTCTTTTTTCTTGCAGCATCTCCCCCGCCAGGCAGAGCAGGAGCCCGGCCGTGCCCTGGGGCTGCCTTGCATGAAGGACAGAGGGGGAGGAAGGAGGAGGCCACCGCCGGCGTCCGCCCTCGAGCCGCGCCGCGTGGGATCCCTGCCACTCTTATGAGGTCAGGACATCCCTGTGGGGCAGCTTTTTGGGTGGCATCCAGCACTCCCCCTGCCACGCACACCTCTCCGTGTCCTCGGCACCTCTCCCCATCCTCACCCTGCCCCAAAAACTCTGTGGGAGGCCAGCACCAATCTTAAGCCCTGCGCACCGGGCTGGCGCTGGCGGAGGCTGGTGGCTGCCCTCTAGTGCCAGCCTCCTCGGGTGTCCCCATGGAGCTGCTCCCGTGGGGACACCACGATCCCCTTGGGAGGGGATTGCTCCAAGGTTTAGCCACATTCTGGCCGCTAAGCCTCCCGCTCCCTGCGCGGGGCGGATTTCATCTGCTCTGCCTCGGCCCAGAGCCTGGCGTGCGCACGCAGGTGCCGGAGGGGAGCGCTGGGCACCCCCTGTCCCATGGGGTGCCCACGGGTTCCTCCATCTCTTTACAACACATGAAAAAGCAAGCGTGGGCTCCTGAAATATTGGGGAAGGGCATCCAGGTCTCCTGCCTGGAAAGGGAAGGGAACCAAGGGGCAAAATGCTGCTGATGGTGGTGCAAAGCCCTGGTCCCCCCCAAGATGAGAGGAGAGCAACGCGTGTCCTTCCCGGCAAGGAGGGGAAGCGCCTGCAGAGCCAGTAATGGGGTTGTGCCCACCCTTTGGGGGGCAAAACCCTATTACTGGTCAATGCTCTGCCCACATCTCCAGCACGCTGCGCTCACCCTGCGTGGTGGGGAGGAGGGGACGCGGCGCGTGGCCGCGGGTGCCTCCCCAAATCGCCAACTCCCCGCTCCCTCCCTCGCAGCCTGCCGCCCGCCGCCCGCCCGAGATGTCCTCCAGCGACAAGAACGGGGGCAGCCGCTCCGGCAGCAGCCGCCTGCAGAGCAAGAAGCCCCCCAACCTCTCCATCGTCATCCCCCCCAGGGAGGCAGAAGAGGACGGCGCCCGCAAGGAGGTGAGCAGCCGCGAGCTCCGGGGGCACCCATCCCGGGGGCACCCATCCCGGGGGCACCCATCCTCCGGGCACCCATCCTGGGGGCACCCGTCCCCCCCACCCCGTGCTCCGTTCCTGACGCTCTGCCCTGCCTCCCAGCCCACCAAGGCCCCCATCTACCGCAAGAGCAAGAGCCTGCAGGAGCCCCGCTCGAAGGCATGCGACGGCTCGGAGCGGCGGCCGGGCTTTCGCCGTCAGACCTCCCTGTCCCAGAGCATCCGCAAGTGAGGGTTTTGGGATTTTGGGGGGGGGGCTGGGGGCGGCCGGGTGCCAGGGAGGGGGATCCAGAGGGAAATCCTCAAGGGGTTTTGTGTGGCTCAGCCCTGGGAATCATCCCGTGGGGAAATTTGGGGTTGGGAAAACATCCTGGTGTGGTGTCCGCCACGGTGCCAAACGGAGCTCCCCTCCGGGGGCACCCCTGGCACCGGCAGCCCCCCCTGCAACAGCCCCCAGACCCACAGCCGGGTCTGTAGCGTGCCCTGCTCCGTGCCCAGCTGAGCCGCCCGACCCCAAATCCCCATATTGAGGGCAAGATGGGGGCCGTGGCACTTCGGGGGGGGTCCCTGTGGGTGTGACGGGCGCATCCCTCGCGCGGCCAGGGGCACGGCGGAGTGGTTCGGGGTCAGCAGCGACTGGGAGGGGAAGCGGCAGCACTGGCAGCGCAGGAGCCTGCAGCACTGCAGCATGAGGTACGGCAAGCTGAAGGCCGCCTATCGCGACATGGAGCTGCCCAGCCAGGAGGCGCCCTCCTTCCAAGGCACCGAGTCACCCAAACCGGCCAAAATGCCCAAGGTAGAGCTCAGGGAGGGGGCTCCGGGGGGGTGCGCGGGGACCCGCAGCCTCCCCGCGTGCCCACGCGTCCCTCCCCGCTGCAGATCGTGGACCCGCTGGCCAGGGGCCGTCCTTTTCGCCACCCCGACGAGACCGACCGGCCCCACACGCCCCACCACGTGCTGCCCCCCCTCACCCCCGGCGTCGCGTCCTTGGCCTCCTTCAACAGCGCCCGCTCCGGCTACGGCCGCCTGCCGAGGAGGAAGAGGGAGTCAGTGGCCCACATGAGCTTCAGGGCGGCCGCTGCGCTTCTCCGCGTGAGTTTTTGGGCATTGGGGGGGTCTTGGTTCATTTGTCAGCTCGTTCCCTCCCCTCTCATCTTCGTTTCTTGGCTTTTTGCTCTGCTGTTGCGCCCCGCTGCGGGTTTGAGTGGGAAGGGTGCTTTTTGGTTTCATTTTATTTATTTGTTTATTTTTTTATAACCTGAACTCTGCTTAAAAAGAGAAGTCTGGGTGAAAGCTATGCCACCGGGGTGGCACTGCCTTGCGTGGCACCCCTCAAAAAAAAAAACACAAAAACCACATCTCTCAAGTCTCACCGCAGACCTTTTCCTGCAGGGCACCCCAAAGGGGACCTGCGGGGCTTTGGGGTGGCCGTGACAAGCCCTGGGCGCTGCGGGAAGCAGGGGGGCTCCCTGTTTCTGACCCCCCTTTGCTCCCCCCTGCCCCTCCGCAGGGACGCTCGGCCCTGGAGCCGCTGGCTCAGAAGCAGAGGAGCAACAAGAGGAGCTTCGTGTACCCCAGCTTCATGGACGAGGACGTGGTGGATGCGGCCGATACCCTGGACTCCTCCTTCTTCAGTAAGGCAAGAGCAGTTCCACGCCAGCCCCCGGATTTTTTGGGGGGTCCCCATGCCCCTCGGGGGGGGCTGAACGCGGGGCAGGGTGCTGGTGGGGCTGGGGGCTCGCTGCCACCCACCTGGCTGCTGGGAGCGTGGCTGTCCCCTCCTATTATGGGGATTTGGGGTCAGCCTGTGACCCAAATGGGGTTCTGGGTGTATTTAGGGTATGGAGGGATCCCGGTGTGGGTGCTTAGCCCTGTCCTGGGAGCTTGGGGCACCGGTGGCTGCCGTGCTCAGCGCTGGGAGCCCTGGGCTTGGTGATGCTCCTCGGTGCAGGGAGGGCACGACGCCGTCATTGTGGGGCCATGCCAGCCCCATAAGGTGCAGCCAGGGGGATATCCACGGGGATCACCCTTTTTTCCGGGCTCCGCAGCCGAGTTGAGCCCGGCTGGGGGCTTTGCTCCACGCTGGAGGCCTCTCACCCACCACACGTGCCCCTTGCAGATGGACCTGCACGACGAGACCTACTCCATGCCCGACGACGTCTTCGAGTCGCCGCCTCTCTCCGCCACCTACCTGCGCATGCACTCGGTGGGCGAGGACGCCAGGGCGTCCCCCGAGGGCGAGCAGCCCCCTCTGTGAGTACCAGCCCCCCCGGCACGGTCACAGCGATGTCCCCCCTGTCCCTGCTGTGGGGACAAGGGATTCCCCGAACCTTTACCCTCCCGGCTCGGGGTGGGTTATCCGCGGGGTTTATCCCCTCCCCAGGCGCGAAGGTGCCCGGCTCGCCGCATCCTCCGCTGTCGCTGCTCCCCGGAGGGGCAGGCGCATCGCTTCCAAGGTGAAGCACTTCGCCTTCGACCGCAAGAAGCGCTACTACGGGCTGGGGGTGGTGGGCAAGTGGCTGAACAGGACGTACCGCCGCAGCCTCAGCAGCATCGTGCAGTCACAGCTGGAGAACACCGACAGCCACCGGTGAGGGGCCCGGCTCCTTGGGGCTCCCTCCCCAGGAGGCACTGGGTTAGCATCCCAGTGCCCAACCGTCCCGGTTTGGGGTCCGTGACCCCATCCCCGTTGCTCCTCAGGCCGTATTTCACCTACTGGATCACCTTTGTGCACATCCTCATCACCTTGCTGGTCATCGGCACCTACGGCATCGCTCCCATCGGCTTCACCCAGCACGTGACGACAGAGTTAGTAAGTTTAAGAGCTCCCTGCCCGGCTGGCCCCTCCTGGCTGGTCCCAAAATGTCACCCCAGGAGCTGCTGGGGGCACCTTGCAGAGGGGTGAGGGATGCAGCCGGCTCGAGCGGGAGGGCAGAGCAGGCGTCAGCCTTCCCGGGGGGACTGTGATCGGGGGGACAAAGCGGGGCTCAGCCCCTGCAGGAGGTGGCACCGGGGCAGGATGTGTCCCCCCCGCAGCCGGCTGTGTGACCCTGGCCTCGCTCAGCAGGTGCTGAGGAACAAAGGCGTGTATGAAAGCGTCAAGTACATCCAGCAGGAAAACTTCTGGATCGGGCCCAGCTCGGTAAGAGGACGGCCAGGAGATCGGTGCTCACCCAGCCTGAGCCAAGGGGGGGGTCCTCAGGGTGCTCCCTTCTCCTCTCCCCCAGCCACATGGCAGCAGCCCTTGTCCCAGCCTGCTGCCTGGTCCCCCCCCCGTGTCCCTCTGGGCACCTCCTGCTGCTCCTGGCGCTGCAGCATCGCCGCAGGATGCAGGAGGAGACCAGGTCCCTGCCCACCTTCCATCCTCTGGGGGTCCTGGGGTTGGCTCTGGGGGGGCAGCTGCTGGCAGGGGAGGTGGGAACACCCCCCGGAGCACCCCCTGGAGCACCCCCTCCCTCCAGATCGACCTGATCCACCTGGGGGCCAAGTTCTCGCCCTGCATCCGCAAGGACCGGCAGGTGGAGCGCCTCATCCAGCGCCAGCGGGACCGGGAGCGCGGCTCCGGCTGCTGCGTGCAGAACGACAACTCGGGCTGCATCCAGACACTGCCGCAGGACTGCTCGGTGCGTGCTGCGGACAGGGGGCAGGGGACAGGGGGCAGGGTGTGTGCGGTGACAGCAGTGCCCGAGTGCCTGAGCCTCTCCGTCCCCGCAGGAGACGCTGGCGACATTCATCAAGTGGCCGGGCACCAACGCAGCCAACCATGGGCTCAGGCGAGAGAAGGACATCAGGGGCCGTGTGTCACCAGGATCCCAGGTAAAAGGGGTTTTTGGGGAGAGGTGGTGGCCTGGAAGTGTGCAGGGTGCATGGTGGGGGCTCCCTGGGGCTGGGTTTCCAGCTTGGATGCCTCGAGGTCACCTCTCCAAGGGGCTGGTGGCTCTCGCGCACTGTAGGAGAGTTGGGGATGGGTAGGGAAATTCGGGGGGGCTCTGTCCTGAATGTAATAGAGAGCCTGAAAGCCCCCTGGGGGGCATCATTGTCTTGGGATTGACCCTGCCTGCTCATCCCTGGGGTGGTGATATGGGCAGGGACACCCAGAGAAATTACCCGGGGGGTGTGGTGGCTGCAGCGGGCTCAGCGCATCGCTGGCACAAGGAAGCTTGCAGGGGGGTGGCTGCAGGTCTTGTGCCTGGGGGGGGCTTCGAGTCAGGGGCAGGGCGGTGCTGGGGGAGACCCTCAGCCGACCCCCACGTCCTCCTCCTGCCACCAGGACGTGCGAGGAGCCGGCCTCGAACCCTCCCCACGTGTGGCCGGACGATATCACCAAGTGGCCGGTAAGAGCCCTGCGGGGGGGACCTCCACGAGGGGACCTCCACAGGAGGCTGGTGGCAGTCCAGCAGGGCACGGGGGGGCTGCAGGAGGCCTTGGAGCAACCCCCCGCACTTCGGGCTCCTCTCCCTCCCATGCTCAGATCTGCACCTACGAGACCAAAACCAACCACTACGGGCTTGGCGCACATGGACTGCCAGATCAAGGGGCGGCCCTGCTGCATCGGCACCAAGGGCAGGTGGGCTGCGGGCACCGAGGTTGGGACGGGCTCCGGGCACCTCCTGGCACCCCGAGCCGTGCCAGGGAGGGAGAGGGAGGCCGTGGGGCCATGGGGGTGGGATGTGGTGGGTGTGGGATGCCCGGGGGGATGCAAGGAGTGCGCCCTGCCCCGAGCGAGCCCGCTGCCCAGCCCTGTGCCCAGCTGCGAGATCACGACGCGGGAGTACTGCGAGTTCATGCACGGCTACTTCCACGAGGAGGCAACGCTCTGCTCGCAGGTGAGAGGGGCTGGCGGGGGGGCTTGGGGCTCGGGGGATCGGTGTGAGGCTGGGGGGTGCATGGTCCGGTGTAGGAGGAAACTTGGGGCTGCAGAAAATTGCAGCAGTGCCCCTGTAAAGGCACCACCCGGGCAGGAAACCAGTTTCTGGGGCACTGGAGGTGCTGGGGTGCTCCCTCTCCAGCACCAAGGCTGTAGGGGGGTGCCCTCCATCCTCTGGGGTCCCCTCCCTGCCTGGCAGCCCGTCCTTTGGTGCGGGGCTGGGGGCTGAGCTGGCGGCACCCCCCAAACCCCCCTTGCCCTTCCAGGTGCACTGCCTGGATGAAGTCTGCGGCCTCCTGCCCTTCCTCAACCCGGAGGTCCCCGACCAGTTCTATCGCCTGTGGCTGTCCCTGTTCCTGCACGCGGGGTGAGCGGCGGCCCCACACCTTTGGGACGGGGCCACGGGGTGCTCGGGGACCCCAGCACCCTTCGGCACGGGCTGGGAGGGACGAGGGGAGGAACACCCCCAAACTGCAGCACCGGAGGGTGCTTTGTGGGGTGCCCCGTGTCCCTCAGGGGTCGGGGTTTAACGCAGGACCTCTTCCCCCAGCATCATCCACTGCCTGGTGTCGGTGACTTTCCAGATGACGGTGCTGCGGGACCTGGAGAAGCTGGCGGGCTGGCATCGCATCTCCATCATCTTCATCCTCAGCGGCATCACGGGCAACCTGGCCAGTGCCATCTTCCTGCCCTACCGCGCGGAGGTGAGGGGCTTGCAGGGCTGGGGGGGGCTCTTGTTGTAACACCAACCCCCCACCCCAAAACCAGCCCTGGGTTTTGGGACCTTGCTGGGCGCTGAGCAAAATGCGCTTGCATCCAGGGATTGTGAGCACAAAGCATCACCAAAAAAAAGCCAAAAAAAAGCCATCACCAAAATCCCATTTAACTCCCCGGGGATAAAAAGGGGGGTTTTAATCAAAAAAATCCCAGAGGAAGGTTTGGGGAGGGGGCTGTGGTGTCCCAGCATGAGGAGGGGGGGGGTCCCTGCCCCACGTGTGGGGCTGGCGAGGGCCACATGTCCCCACGTGTCGCTGTGCGTGCGGGCGGGCAGATGGCTAATCTGCCTGCGGGTTTAGAGGGGATCACGCAGAGTGCCCTAAATCCGCCCCGCTGGGGGCCGCGGAGTGGGAGGGGGACGGGTGAGCTTCACGGAGGGGAACGGTCCCTGGGGACACGGGGGGGTGGCGGGGTGATGTGCCCGTCCCTGAGCATCCTGCCCGCGTCCCCCAGGTGGGTCCCGCCGGGTCGCAGTTCGGCCTGCTGGCCTGCCTCTTCGTGGAGCTCTTCCAGAGCTGGCAGGTGCTGGAGAAGCCCTGGAAAGCCTTCCTCAACCTCTCGGGCATCGTCCTCTTCCTCTTCGTCTGCGGGCTCCTGCCCTGGATCGACAACATCGCCCACCTCTTCGGCTTCCTCAGCGGCCTCCTCCTCTCCTTCGCCTTCCTGCCCTACATCACCTTCGGCACGGGGGACAAGTACCGCAAGCGGGCCATGATCATCGTGTCCCTGCTGGTCTTCGTGGGGCTCTTCGCCTCGCTGGTGGTCTGGCTCTACGTCTACCCCATCAACTGGCGCTGGATCGAGTACCTCACCTGCCTGCCCTTCACCAGCAAATTCTGCGAGAAGTACGAGCTGGAGCAGGTCCTGCACTGACCCCCCCCCCCAAAAAAAAAACCTCCCGGGGGGGACGCTGCAGCCCTGGCACGGCCGCGCCGTCACCGCCGGGGCTCGGGGAGCTGTGGGGTGAGGATGGGGTCGGGTGGGAGCCGTGGTGCCCCCCCCCCCATCCCGCCCCGTGTGCCCCCACGGTGCCGCTCATACTGTGAACACAACCCCCTGTTTGTAGGGGGGCGTATTTGGGTTTTTTACCCGTGGCTCTTGGCCACGTTTGTTGTCTCGGGGGTGCCTCGGGGACCCCCTGGGGGCTCTGTGGCTGCGCTCTGGCTCGGCCCAGCCCTTTTCCCCCCCGATCCGTTCCAGTGGGATTTGGACCCCACCCCCCCCCTCCAGCAGCTCCTGCCTTGTCAGCCTTAGGATTTTTTAATTTTGGGGGTGTTTTTTCTCAAAGCAGGATTGTGAGCTGCGAGGGGGAGCCCTGATGGTTTTCCCCAGCTGCGGGCTCCCTGGAGCTTCGGCCCCGCGCTGCTCGGAGCTGAGGTTTTGAAGTATTTTTCTCCCACTTTTGTGCCTGCTGCTCAGCTCCCAGGGCCTCGGGAGGAGGCTCGTGCTTCTCCAGGCGGGCTCCTCTTGGGGCAGGGTGGATTTTTTCAGCTCCTTCTGAAGCCCGGGCAGGGCTCGGCTGAGCGCGGACCCCTTGGGGACACCCCTGCTGCTGCCCCGGGTCCCCGGTGCCACCTCCTGTCCCCCTCCCAGGTGTGGGGACCCGGGTACCTGGGTGGCTCCTCGGTGCTGGTGGGTGACAGCACCGGAGGATGGGGACAGAGCCAATTCCCCAGCGGGACGAGCACCCAAATTTTGGGGTGAGCCTCCCCCCAGTGGTGCCTGCACCCCTGCTCCGCCGCGGGCCGGCCGCAGCCCCGCTCCTCCTCCCAAAGGCGGGCGCCTCACCTCCTCGGTCTCTTTTTGATACTTTTTTAGAAGCCGTGTTTTGTTCGGGGTTTGTTTGGTTTTTTTCCCCCCTTAATAAATTTCTACCTGTATTTAATGAGACGCACGGGGCCTCGTCTCCCTCGGCGCTTTGAGGGGGTTCGGGTGGTTTCGGCGGTGTTTGTTGTAGGGTGGGGAGGAGGTGGGATTGCCGGGGGCTGTCCCTGCCCTGCAGGGTGAGCACAGTGCCCTGTATCCCCAAAAATCCCTCCTGGGGCAGTGGCAGGGTTTTCAGGGCAGTTTCTTGGAGCAAAAGGGGGAAGCAAAGCCACCCACAGAGCCTCCAGGTGCTGTCAAAGCCCCAAACCTTCCATCAGATGCCCCGGGGGGGGTGGATCTGCCCCCCCTTGGAGCTGAGGCACCCCACAAGGTGCCGGCTGGTTCCCACCCGTGTGTGCCGAGCGGTGACGCTTGGAGCTGGGGACAAACACGCCCGAGCTGCGTAGAAAACAGCCGCTGTGGCTTTATTTGCTGCTTCACGACAGACCAAGGCATTTGCAGGAGGATTTTCCTGGGAAGGGGATGTGTCTGCGTGCAGGACCTGCCCTGTGGGGAGGCTCTTGGGTGCAGGACTCAGGGTGGCCGTGGGCAGGGGGACACCCCCAGGGGTGGCTGCGGGGACCCTGCCTGCTCCGGGGGTGCTTGGGGAGGGCTTGGCCCCCTCTTGGGATCGTTTGTGGGGTTGGTGTGAGCGGGAGGGCGCTGGGAGAGGGGCGCCAGGCTGGGGGCTCATGTATTTTTATAGGGTCTCAGCTTTTCCCGGGCCGTGCCACCCCCACGGGCTCCCCTTGGCAGCCCCAGCTGAAGAGGAGACCCGTGGGTTTGGTGCGTGCAGCAGGGCCGGGCTGTGTTTTTGTGCCCCCAACCCTACAGGAGGTGTCGGTGGCACACGGGGCCGGGCTCATCCCCTGCCCAAAAGGCAGCTGTGTCAGCAGGGAGCGTGCCCAGCGGGGGAAAAACCGAGAAAAAACCCTCGCAGCCTTTTATATCCCCTCTGCCTCCCTCCGGCTCCCTCCCCGGGTTGGGGGCTCAGCAGCCGCTGTTCCTGCGCATGAAGGCATGGCCCCGCACGGTGTGCTGCATCTCGGTGAAAGCCAGGGTCCCCACCGTCACCTGGCAGGGCCCCAGCGCCTGGAAGCCGCACTTCTCGTAGAAGGGCACCAGGAAATCCTCGCACATCAGCAGGGCACGCCGGGCGAAGGGCAGGCAGCGCAGGTACTGCAGGTAGCGCCACAGCAGGATGGAGCCCTTGCCCTGCTGCCGGCAGGTGCGGTGCACGGCCAGCACGTGGATGTGCACCGCCGTGCCCCGCGGCTTGTGCAGGGTCAGCGCCGCCTGTGGGGAGGGAACGGGGTGGTTAGCGGGGCCGAGGATGCTGAGGATTTATTTTTTTTTGCCTTCCCCAACAGATTTGGCCCATCTGATTTGACCTCGAGGTGTCACGCAGCCAGTGCCATCCCCGCTTGCCCACCCCGTGCCATCCCCGCAGGCTTTTTAGTTTTAATTTCCCCCACGCTGGGCACCCCCCGGTTCCCTGCTCGCAGTCCCCAGGCTCTCGTGCCACCTCCCCCAGCGCCCCCAGGGCAGCTCCTACCTGGCTGAGCCTGTCCTGGTCCCAGAGGGAGCCGATGATGAAGGCCACCAGCCGCCCTTCCTCGAACCAGCCGAGGGACAGCTCGGGGCACAGCGTCAGGAAGTGGCGGATCTCATCCAGGTGCAGCGGGCAGTCCCCGGACACCGAGATGAAGGCTGCAAGGAGGGGGGGGGGGGGCGGTGAGCACGGCGAGGGGCTGGGGGCACCGGGAGCACCCCAGGTGGGAAGGGGAGATGGGGAAAAAGGCAGCCCCTTCCCCTTACCTTCTCGCTCGATCTCGAACACGCTGATGGCATCCTCGGGGCTGAGGCAGCGGAACTCGCTGGCGGGCAGCGTGTGGCGGCGCTGGCGCCCGGGCGAATTTTGGGGGCCCCGCCAGCGAGCGGGCTGGAGGAAAGGCGAGGTGCTGAGCGCCGGCATCCTGCTCCCCTCCCGGCGCACGGCGGCGTTTTTATTTGGGGCAGCCTCCGTCAGCTCCGGCCCCGGCGGCGTCACGGCTGCCTTTATCTCAGCCAATCTCCTCCGGAGCTCTTAGCCGCCGAAAATACCTGTTGATGGCGCGCGGGATTAGGCTGCTTGCCATCCTGATGTGTGTGGATATCGGTGTACGCAGGAAATACCCACCCACGGTGCCCCCCGCTGCTGCTGGGCCATGCCTGGAGCTGGCACCAGATGTGGCCACGGCGAACATCCAGCCTCAGGGACGGGGATGGGGCTGGGGGACAGAGTTTGGGGTGTGCAGGCGGAGGCAGCCTGCTCTGCTGGGGTTTTATTCCCCTTCCCGGCTCGCTCAGTGACGTGGTTTAGCCCCTGTTGGGTTGTGGCCTTGCTGGAAAACGTGGCTGAGATGTGTCGGGGCACAATAAGTGGGTTCACAGCTGCTCTGGTGCCCGCAGCACCTTCAGCCACAAAGGCTGGGCAGGGTCCCCTCCACCCCATGCTGAAGGGACGTGGGGTTGGGTCCTGCACACCACAGGCAGGGTTTGCTCTGGGGCAGGGCGATGCCATTCCTGGGGGCATTACGGTGACGTTGGGGTGCCCAAAGGTGGCTGCAACCTGCTGAGTGCGTGGCCAAGAGGCTCTGCAGGTGAGAACCATCCCCAAGGCGAGTCCAAGCCCACCCTCCCCGCTGGGTGAAGGTGCCGGGTGCTGATACTCATCCCCTCTCTGCTTTTTCCCCATCTCCCAGCTGTGCCCGAGGCTCCCTTGCAGCCCCCCCAGCTGTGCCCCATCCCCTCTCTTGGGTTGGATCCTGCGTGGTTAAACCAGCCCCATATTTTGTGCACGATCAAACCCGGTGAATAAATCCAGGCAGGGCCACAACCTGAGCAAAAGCGAGCACGCGTGGCCCGCGGGCAGAGCGAGGAGCCCCCGAGCTGACCAACATTGGAGCCGTTTGCACCAAAGGCAGCGCGGAGCCCAGGTCATTTCTGAGTGCGTTCGAGAGGTGCCGGCTTTCCCTGCTAATTATAGGCTTGCCTCCAGCTAATAGGATTTACAGAAACAAAAGCATTACCAGCCCAAGCGGTGCGCGGGGCAGGAGGGGAGCGAGCTGGGGATTTTCCATCTGGAAGAGCTGAGGGTGCTGGAGGTGCCTGGTTTAGGCAGGAGGAGGCGAGGTGGGGTCTCGCTGGGCTTTGGTTTCGGGGAATTTTGCTGGTTTCGCAGGGGTTGTGTTACCTAAGGGACTGGCTCCCTCAGGACGAGGAGTTTTCTTTGGCAGGGGAAACATTCAGCATCCCCAGCGCCAGGTCTCATCACCAAGGGGTGGCAAACTGAAAATGGTGCTGGAAAGGAGAGCTTCGTGACGCCTGCAGGAAGGGAAAAGCAGCGGCTGAGCTGGAGGCAGGCGCTTTTTTTTTTTATAGGGTTGCAGGGCTTATCATCGACTCCTCTGGCTCTCCTCATCCTGCTAATTGGATCAGGGCTCGCTCAGCCCAGCAGATCTGCAGGAGGCGAGGAGGGGGCCCTGCACTCCCAGTGCTGGATCCGGGGCACACGGGGCTGTGCCGTGCGTGGCAGGAACGGGGGCTGTGAAGACCTGCAAACGCTGGGAAACCTCTCTGGACACACTTACCCATAGAATTGGGGGGGTTGAGATCTCTTTTGTGAGCTCAATTTGTGTTAGAAACGGATGGGGAAGGGGAACCAGGCTTCTCCAGGTATTTTTGGGAGCTTCTCCGGGACCCCAACAGCAACAGCCTGGAGCAGAAGTCGGTGATGCGGGGAGAAGGCTGCTCTTTGCCTGGCTCTCGTATTTTTTTTTCCCCTCCGGCGCTTCATTCCTGGCAGCCCAAATCCGATAGCTGGAGGGCTGTTGTGTTTGTGTTTCTTTCCTGGAAATGAACTTTTTTTTTTCTTTTTTGCTTGGCTTCTCGGCTCCCTGCAGACGCAAAGGTCTTTGGCGTGCGGGGAATTCGCTCACCAAGAAAGCTGCGCAGAGCATGCCAGCATCAGAGGGAGGGCACAGTAAGTGAGAACCAGGAGCAAAATCCTCTCTCCCTGGCCCCAGAAACTCCTTTCCAGGCCTTCCTGAGCTGAGCCCCGTGCACCGGGGGGGTGTAGCAGCACACGAAGCGCTCTCTCTGTAAAATTCCCCCCTCTTTGTGTTTGTGCGCTACAGAGACCAAAGCATCCGCACGGTCTGCAGAGGTGCTCGCGTGTAAAAACCAAACCAAACCAAAGAAAAACCAGGTGAGTCTGCAGCAGCCCCCTGGTGGCATCTTCTTCTCCTCTTAGGAATATCTGCCTGGAGCTGGAGCTTCAGTTTTTGAATGGTTTGGAAGCAGCGAGGACTCATTCACCCACTTTTTTTGAGCCAAATATTCTTTGCAAAAGAGCTGAAACTCCTTCCCCCGCCCCGGAGGTGGAGGGTTTGGGTGGAAGAGTCGCTACACCCAGCTTTAATAGCAGGTGCTGTCGGTGCAGGGAGCCGTGCTCTCACCTCCTCCAAAGCCTCGTGCAGGCAAGCTGAGCTGGGTGTACCAGCTCCCTTCCCTCCGGGACACTTCCCCAAATCCTGAGCCACCAGGGCTGGCTCGTGGCAGTGCCTGCAGGCTGCCAGCTGGCCCCGAGGTTGTCAGCACCATGGGCACAGCACAGAAACATGGGCTTACTGGGCTTACTGGGCTTACCGGCCGTGGGACGGGGACCTGGCGACGTTCCTCTGCCAGCCTGGTCCAGCAGAGCCACCTCGCAGCCACGGGAGGGGAGAAATCAGGCTGCAGGGGCTCGTCCTCCTTGTCTGCTGCCACGCACGGAGCCCCCGTTTTATATATTTGTTATTTATGGGGCATGTGATGAAATTCTAAGGAGTTTACGACCCCGATGAAAGACGGGGAGAGGTGAGAGGCTTTAAGGTGACCGGCCAGCAAAAGGATCCCGTCGGGCTGTTGGTGTGGGTTTGTTGGTGTGGTTTTATCTCCTCCCCTGGCCTGCAGAGGGATAAAGCATTTAGCTGATTGCTCTGCGCTGTGCTCGGGGTGAGCCGGCAGGCAGGGAGAGCAGAGGGAAAGAGAGAAATGAAAAAGAGAGTGACCCAGACCTGTCCGAAGGCAGCCCTGCAGAGCGCTGCTTTGCTTCCAGAGGATGTATCCGAGCACGTCTTTAATAATTGTGGTGCCAGCTCTCGGGGTTCAGCCATAAATTCGGCCCCCCGGCAGGCTGCGAGCTGTCCCTTGCGGAGCAACAAGTGTGGTCAGGGCTTGTATGGCACAGCCTGGTTCTCATCCTGCCCTCCTGAAACCCGGGCAGCTCCTCTGGTGTGCAGGGGCACTGCAAGGGTTGGATTCAGCCCTGGGAAGTGGAAAGCAGTGACGACAGGCACTGCTGGCTCTGCACATGTGGTTGTTTATAGGATCGGGGCCAGATGTAGGGTTTCTGCCCCACGCAGCTTCCCCCGATGACTGAGTACCTCTGCCCTGCCGTCTGAGCTCGCTGGGAATCGTTGCACAAGGAACGGGAGAGGTGAAACCCGTGACATTTGTTCCCATCAGTTCAAGTGTAATAAAAACGGGGATTATCCCAAGCGTAACCTCCTGGAAAGGAAATGGCTGGTAAGATCAGCAAAAATAGTAATCAAAAAAAATGTTGGCATCATCATTGTCACCAGGAACCAGCTGCAGCTCCGAGAGGAGCACGTGGAAAGGGGCCAGGAGGAGCTGGCCCCACAGCCCCCAGCCCTGCCAGGGCAGCTCAGGAGCTGCTGTGTGTTGTAGCCACGGGCAGTGACCCGAGGCTCAGCTCTTCCATCCCTGTTTTAGATCTTTTTTTTTAATGGAATTGAAACAGAAAGATGCCCCAGCGTGTTCCTGCTGTTCAGAAACAGCATTTCAGAGCAACTCCGAGGAATCAGCCGAGTGGCACAGGGGCTGGGCTGTGGCTGGAAGCGTCGGGCAGGGTGCTGCTTTCTGCCCACCACGGCAGGAGGGTCAGCCTGCTCCATCCCTCCCTGCCCCTACAGCTGCAGGGGGTCAAAAACATCGATAAGGGAGAACCACGGCAGTGTGCTGAGATTTAGGTACTTAGCAGAGCTCTCAGCTCCTCCAAAGAGCCCAGCACTGCTGCTGCCTCTGCAGCAGCCCTCTCGGGGCACTGAGGGACAGGGACAGGCAGCTGGGGCTCTGCTCGGCCCCTCTCTGCCAGGGCTTGGCAGGGAAGGGACACAAACGCAGCTCCAGGGCTCCTCAGCCCCCTGGTCTGTGCTGCAAATAGCAGCGGGTCATCCCGGTGCTCCGGGGATTAAGCTGCTTGGGGTAGCTGCAGCATTCGTCATCTCTTGGCCTCGAGGGGCTGCTTTGCGGTCGCAGGGAGTGAAGGTGACATCAGGGTCCTCCCCTGCATGGCGTCATCCCAAATTCCTGTAATTATTCAGCCTCTGTGACCGAGCCAGCTGCTGCTCAATTCCCTGCTTTGCACCTTCCCCTGGCGTACCCAAAAAGGGCCGTGCTTTCCTCCTGCCTTGCACACAAGTGGCACGACAGCCAGCAGCAGGGCTCAGCCCCACTGTAGGCTCAGCCACGGGCTCTTGTTTTATTCCCACTCATCCCCTGCCCTCCCACCAGCTGCCCCAGGCAGCAGCGTGCGAGCGTTCGGCATCACTGCGGCTCTGCGGCAGGATGGAGCTCTTGGGGCTCGCTCAGTATTCCCGGCACTTGCCAGGCTGCCTGCCTGCTGCTTTTACCCCGCGGTGCTCCCTTCTCGCCTTGTCAAGAGCAGTTCCAAAATCTCCAGCAGGTGCTGCAGAGCCGGGTGCTTCCACCCGCTCCACTGGAGCAGGGTATTCACCGCGGCTCACGTTGTGAGCTGATTTGCCTTCAAAATAGCAATGCGGGGCTGCTCTAGGGCTGCTCTGGACAGTGGCCATGTCCCCGGGCCCTAAATAGACCCTCAAAGGGCTGGTTCTGCCTTGAAATGGTAATCTGCAAATGTGCACATATGTGGATTTCCTCTGGCGTGTTCCTTTTGGCTCATCAGTGCAGTCGATTCCTCTCTGGTGAAGGTGCAGAGCGCTTCCCTCTGCAGGCACAAGAAGCTAAGGAAGGGATGCTGCGTGACAAAGGATTTGGGATCTCTCTGATAGTGAGGGGAAGCAGGCTTTGAGCTCTGGCTCTGACCTGCACCTGAGCAACACGTGCCTGTGCAGGGCTGGGAGATCTCCTTGCTACCCCTCTACATGGGACATTTTGGACCAAGAGGGGGAGGTCTCACCCAAGGCTGCTTGACCAGGGCAACTTCAGCCTAAAGCAGGGGTGGGAGACCCAGCCGGGACCTTTCTTATCCCTCCCTCGAGCACAGGCACTTGGCAGTGATTAGCCTCGTTTCCTTGTCTCTGCTGGGCTGCAGTAGTTTGTAACTAGGTCACGGACACCCGTAACACAATCCCCGTGATGAAGGAGGACTGAGTTCAGGGCTCCAGCAGCTCCTTCCCTCCCATCGCAGACCTCCAGGCGTTTTAGGTCCAGCTCTGCCTTTGGGACGCGGCAGCTGGGTGCTGTTATAGGGTCACCCTGCCTCGATCTCCTTCCCTTGGCTCGGCACGCTGCGGGTGGGCGCGAGGGCGGCCCCGTGGGGCTGGATGGGATCCGGCTGCCACTATGGGGAGGCCAAACCCTGCATCCCACAGCAAGGCTGGGCCTGGACCAGCCCCGCCATGGGATTTAGAAGGGCTTGGTGTCAGCAAAGAGGATGAGAGGAGGGAGGGGAGGAGGACTGTGCTTGCATAAAGATGTACAGGAGTAGGTGAAGCCGTTTGGAGGCTGTTTTTAGCAGGGGTGGGGAGGGCCAGAGGTGCCTGAGCAGGGCAGCACAAGCAAGGAGGACAGGGCAGGGTGGCCGTAAGCGACATGGGGACACGAGGCACTGCCCCGCTCACCCCAAAGGGCCCCTCTCCAAGGGGAAAGCCCACCCAGCCTCAGGAGGTTTGCTGGGCTCACCAGGGCACCTCCAGGGACGGGGCACCCACAGCTCCTCTGGGCAGCCTGTTCAGCACCTCACCGCCCTCCCAGTACACAATTTCTTTCTGCTTTCTTCTCCTAAATCTGTCCCCTGGCGTGGCTGAGCCCGCGGTCCCCCCCAGCCCATCCCTGAGGGAGGCCAGGAGCCATTTTGCGTTCCCCTCGCTCAGCCCCGCAGCACCTCTCCGGGCTGCCTCGGGGGTGCAGAAAATGAGATAAAAAACCACCGAAAGGCGGTGACGGCTGCCCAGAGACCCCCCTGGTGCCCTGAGGGCCGGGATTTGCCCCACAACCCCCCCAGGGAAGCCTCTCCCGGAGCCAGCCCCGGGGCCGGGCCCCGGCCGCGGCCGCGCGGTGGCAGCAGAGCCCCGCTCGCCTCAGCCCGGCCGGGCCCCGAGGGGCTGAAACGGGCTGGGGGGGCCTCGAAGGTCCCGGCTGTAAAATCCTAAAATCCCGGAATCCTGAGGGTTGGGAAAAGCCTGCGGGATCATCTGGTGCAACCCATCCCCCTGCCGCCACTGTCACCCACTGAACCGTGTCCCTAAGCACCGCGTCCAGTCCTTCCCTAAACGCCCCCAAAATACCCCAAAATGTTAATTTTTATTAATTAATTAATTTATTTTTGTTTGGTTTTGTTTGGTTTGGTTTGGTTACAAGGCAGTCTGACCAGCTGGGGCCCCTCAGCGGGCACTGGGGGTGCTGCTGCGGGCAGCGGGGGGGCTGTGGGGGGCCTGAAGCACTGGGGTGCTGTGGCGGTGCTGGGGGCTGTGTCCTGCCAAGGCTCGAGTCCTCCTGGAGCACTGTGCGAGGTTTGGGGCACCCCGATGCCAGAAGGACAGAAACTATTAGGGAATGTCCAAAGGAAGGCATTTTGACAACACGCTCAGACACACGGCGTGGTGTTTGGGTGGTCCTGTGTGGAGCCAGGAGATGGACCTGACGATCCTCATGGTTCCTTCCTCTGGATATTGTGGGATTCCACGAAAGAGATGAGTCCTTCGGTGCCACTTCCCCAGGAAAGCTCATCAGAGCCCCAGCTGACACCCGAGTGCCGAAGCACACCCGGCTCGACTCCTGCTAACGAGCAACCAGCCCTGGCTCGTCCCCATTAAAATCCCCCCGCCGTGAGCCCACCTGGTTGTGTAATGTGATTGTTTGCGTGGCTATTTGTGGCTCCCTGAAACCCCACTGCTCTTCTCCAGCACGTAATTGCTCTGAGGAGGGACAGTTCCATCCACACACGAGTTTGTGCCCATTACCCGTATCTATATTTTATTAGCGGCTGTTGCGATGTGCTTTAGGGAGATGATGAGAAGCATCACCACTGCGGCTGGACAGGGCTGGGCTTTGAAACCTTCCACGGAGCTGATTCAGAGGGCACCTTCTTGCTTCCCAAAGGTCTGATCCTGTTCCTAGAGGGCCAGGCACAGAGGGAAGGAGGCCGGGAGCTGTGCCGTGCTCCCCCCAGCAGCACAGCGGTGTTGGGGCCGTGCAGAGGGTGAAATCCCGAGCCCTGCCTTTGTACCCCAAAACTCACTCGCTTTGCAGAGGTCGCTGCCCTGTCTTGGATGTGGATGGAGGTCTGCAGTCCCCAAAGCACATCCGTGGAACCAGCTGTGCACCCACGTTGCACTGAGAGCTGTTTAACCTGCCTCTCCCCAGGGGTGTGCTGCTGTTTCTTCACCCGGTGTTCCCTTTGAGCTCTGTTCTGCTCCCTGGCGCTGGGGTTGGTGCTGAGAAATGCCCCAGCGGGGAGCCACATCACCACGACACCCGGCAGCGAGACCCTCTCAAGAACCATTGATTGCAAACCCCCCTGCGGATAGAGGAGGGAAAATACATCCGAGTCAATGAAGCCGAGTCTGCAGCTCATTTGCACGCCCTAATGAGGACTTGTAGGAGCCATGAAGAGGAAGACCGTGCCTTGCTGCGAACCGGAGAGCAGCACTCAGCCCCACGGGCATCGCGTGGAGTGGGCTCTGTGGGACCTCTTTATGTTCTGGGCAGTCTCTCCCAAATTCCCATGGCAGGATTTTTCTTTCTTTCCCTGATCTCCCTCGGGGACAGCCCAAGCACAGGGTGTTGGGGTATGGCCTTGCTCCCAGCTGATGTGGGCAGGCAGATAGTGGCCTCTCCTGCGGACCTGGGCCTCCTGTGGGAGGCTGGGGGAGAAGCTGCAGCCTGGGCTGTGCCTGCCGGGGGCTGGTGTCGCTTCATGGCCCAACTTGGGCATCTTCATCCGCATCGCAGTGCCCGGGCTGTTTGCGAAGCAAGCCCCATCCGCCTGCCTCAGGAGTGGAGGCCACCTCAGCCTCCACCTCTCCTGTATTGAGCCCAGGGTTTCCTTGGCCAGGCCTCCTCCTCCTCCTCCTCCTCCTCCTCCTCCTCAGAGCACCCCAGAACCATTAGGGTTGGAGCAGCCCTCTGGGATCCCCAGGCCCAACCACCCCCCTACCACCAATACCACCGCTAACCCCTGTCCCCCAGCACCCCACCCAGCCTCTCTCCTGCACACCCCGGGGCACGGAGCCTCCAGCACCCCCTGGGCAGCCCGTCCCAGCCCCTAACCCCCCTTTACAGCACCAATATCCCCTTATTGCCACCCCAACCCCATAGCAGGACCCCAGCCCTCCTCCTCCTCCTCCCCCCTCCCCCTCCCTCCCCGCGATGGGCGTGGCCACGAGAAGGGGGCGTGGCCAGAAGCCTTGCCGTGACGTCATCCGCGGGGCGTCCGAGCGGCGGTGGCGGGAAAAGGGCGGGGCGCGCCGGCGCGCCCTAAGCCCCGCCCCCCGCCGTTCCCCGCGCGCGCGCCCCGCCCCGGCCCGCCCCTTCCCTCCCCTCCCCCAGCAGCCGCCGCCGCCGCCGCCGCCGCCGCCGGCCGCGCGTTTCTCCCGCTCTGCCCCGCGCCATGGCGGAGCCGCCCGCACCGCCCGCCCCGGGGGGCCCGAGCCCGCCGGCCCCGCTCCCCGCAGCGTCTCCGGGGGTCCCGGTCCCTGTCGCTTCGGTCCCCGCGGCTCCTCCGCCGGGCGGTTCGCAGCGCCTGCTGTTCTCGCACGACCTGGTGTCGGGCCGGTACCGGGGCTCGGTGCGCTTCGGCCTGGTGCGCCTGATCCACGGCGAGGATTCGGACTCGGAGGAGGAGGAGGCGGCGGCTGGGGGAGGAGGAGGAGGAGGAGGAGGCGGAGGAGGCCGGGGCGGCGGAGGAGGAGGAGGTGGAGGCGGCGGCGGAGGCGGCGGAGGAGCCGCCAGCTCCGGGGGCTCCGAATCGGGCGGCCCCGGGGGGGGAGGCACGGAGGAAGGCCGGGCCTCCCCGCTGCGCCGGGGCTACGTGCGGGTGCAGTGGTACCCGGAGGGCATCAAGCAGCACGTCAAGGAGACCAAGGTAACCGGCGGCGGGGCCGCACCGACCGGCCTCGTGCCCCCCCACCCCCCTAAACCCCTCGGAGGTCCTCGCCCCGCAGCCTCCGTCCTTCCCCCCGAGGCTGGGGTTTGCCGTGGTTATCCCCCCTGCCACCACCCCGAGGGGTCGGCGGAGGCCGCCCGCCGCCATCCGAGTGGCCAAGGTTGGCCTGCGGCCTCCCTGGAGGTTCAGGGCGGCTCGTCCTCCGCCACCCCAGGGCCTCAAAGCCTTGGGGTTCAGCCTTCCCCACCAGAGGCCTCGTCCCGGGGCAGATCTCGGTGGCACTGAGCTCATGGAGCGCTGCTGGCGACGTGGCCTCCGCGTTGAGGACGGCGGCACCAGAGGACAGCAGCACCATGGCCTCTGTTAGGGTGGTAGCCAGCAGCCAGATGGGTGGCCCGGCAAGCTGACGGCATGCCATGGGATGTGCCCTCGTCCATGTGAGCCTTGGGCACCGTTGGCGAACCCACTGCCATGCCACGACCTCCCATGGGGCATGAGGGAGGCCGGGATGGGCGCAGTGCCCGGGGTGAGGCTGGCCAGGGGGCTTCCAGCAGGCTGCCTGGCGGCACGGAGACAAAAGAGGGAGAGGGGGGCACTGCGAGGCAGCACAAAGGGGCCGGCGAGCCATGGGCGTAGCGCTGAGCGCAGCAGAAGGCCGGCGCTGCCCTCGCCCGGGGGGCTGCTGCATGGGGGGCACCAGGAGCTGTGGGGTGCTGGGGTGCCGGTGGCTTTGCCACCCTAAAATCATCACAGCGAGGTGTCGGGGTGATGCCCAGGGGGAAGCGGGGAAGGGAGGTGTGTTGTGGTCCTGCAGAGAGCGGTGGGATTGGAAGCGCTGGCGGGATGAGCTATATTTAGGGGATAGTGTCATTGGGCACGTGACCAGTTGGAGATAAGGAAAATGAAAACGGGCATTGAGGGGGGATGTTTGCACACCGTGGATTTCTACCTGTAAAAAAAAACAACCAAACAAACAAGCCTTCTTTCTTTAAAGAAACCACGATTCAAGATTCAATCACTGCAGCTTGAAATAAGGCTTCGTGTGCTGTTGCAGCAAAAATCAGTCCGAAGTGGAGCGTGTTTTTCAGCATCTAAGCAAGGCCACCTCGGTTGCGGTGAATAAACCCAGATTTAGGAATTGTTCCTGGATTCCTAAATTCAGATCTGTTAATTCTGACTTTGCACAGGGTGCTGAGTTAGTAAACGTTAGACAAAAGCAGGCTGGGGATGACCAGAGGTCAAATGCAGTTACATAAATAAAGGGCTTTCCTTTTTCTTCCTTTTTCTTCCCTTTTCCTGGTCCTTCTCCAGTGTCGGCATCTTCACCACGCAGGCGCTGGGCCCCAGGGAGAAGTTCCCTGAGAGCCTGAGGCATTCAGGTGCACTTACTGCATCGATTTTCCCATTTGAAAAGCTGCCCAAGACTGAGATGCATTTTGTGCAGCCTGTGCTGCAGTCTGGGCTTACCGAAACCAAATCTGGTGCCGCTGGGAACCCCTCAGAACAAACCTCGGGCACCGTGTGGGTGCCGTGGGGCTGAAGCTTGCTGGGCGCTGGTGCCAGCCCTTACCTGCAGCTACGTCTCTTGGCCGGGGCTCTGACTCTCTAGCATCTCTGCCTGTGATATTTGACATCTTTAGAAGTGATAACCAGTCCCAAAGCTGCTCCATGATGGGTTTGGGAGGGTGCTTGTTGCAGTTCCTGCAAGGTCCCGTTTATTTTCCTTTCGGTGGGCAGAGGATAAAGGTAAATCCTGCAGCCAAGGCCCCTTCTGGTGTGCCCGCTCGGTGTGTGCCGAGGGCTGGGTGCTTCTGTCAGCTCTCAAGCACTTGGAGAGCCACAAACCTTGCTGTGTGTCGGTCACAGCACGTGTTGTACCTGCCGAAGGGAGAAATAAAGTCACTGCAGGTATCGAGGCGAGCCAAGCAGCACCTTCTGCTCCTAGTGCAAAGGTCAGCGGCAGCGTTCTGTGCCCACGCCAGGTTACAGTCGGAGAGCTTGCCCATGTTTTCTTTGAAGTTGGGGGGTAGGCATGTTTTCTTGTTTTTTTTCAGCCAGGGAATATGTAAGCTAATGGCTTTTACTGTTGCTTCTAGAAGTTCAATGCTTACTTTTGTTCTTTCCCATTGGAAGCGGTAGGCAGGCTGCCACTTGACCACGAGCACACAATTGCTGATGTTAATAAGTAATAGAAACTTTCTCTTGAAATAGAGCTAGCATTTGGTACGAAGGCCCAGCAGCTCTTCCAGCCGGATTAGTAGTTTATTTGAGGTCATTCCTGCCTTGATAACCACCACCAGTATCGTGACATTCATGCGAGTAAAGGAAGAGCTGGGATTCCTTATCCTCGCTGTCTGTGCTCCTTCCCTGCTTCCATGAGCACGTTCCCAACTGAGAACTCAGGGAAGGAATTGCTGCCAACGTCAAGCAGCCCTGGAAGAAGGAGGCTTCCCTTTGCAGGCAGGTTTGCCTCCAGTGTCTTGTTGGACCCCGGAGCTGTCACGCAACCAGCGGCTCCTCCGACCTGTTGGAAGCCCCCTGCCTGTTGGGAGGCTTGGTGCAGAAATCCTGAGGGTATTGCTCATGGGCGCAAGCACTTGGTGCTCATTCTGACAAATTGGAAGGGAATGAGACGCAGCCGAATTTTAATTTCAGGGTTTCTCAGCCGGAGCTTGGTATCCCTGCTGCATGCTTGAGCTGCCTTGGGGCAGTTTACAAAAATTCTCGGTTTGGTTAGGGATTAGTGGGGCTCGCGGGGTGCTTTGGGACGCTGCTGCCCTTCCTCCTCCTGCCTCTCACCTGGGAGCCCCGGAGTTTTCCACCGCCTTTGATGGCCGCGGCGCTTTGCGAGGCCGATACCCTTCTGCGGACGGGGGCAGTGGAAGGTGCAGGTGTTGTGTTTCAGCACCTTATCTAGAGACCTTCAGCTGGCCAGCCTGCTGAATTCCTGCCTTGTGCTCCTCCGTCTGCCTCGGGGAATGAATGCTTGTGGTAGTGTCTTGGCGTGATGCTGTATTGCTCATAGGGCCGGTGGGTTTACCTGGAGGCAGCATGTAGGGACCCAGGATGAGGGGAAACTCCTTGGGAAATTTTTAGCCTCTTGTTTTCTAGGGTCCAGATCCCCCACCTTGGTTCGGATGGCTCTCTTACACCATTCGGCTTTGTTTTGGGAATGGATTTGTGCTATCAGGGCTCCTCGGGCACAGCCCAGTGGCCGATCAGCTTGTTAGCTGGAAGCTGGCTGATGTTATCTCGAGGAGTTTCTGTGAATTCAGCTCTGCTTCATCCCACACAGCCCTCCCGTCCCTTCCCACTCTTCACTGCTGTAACTTCTTGACCTCAAATATTGAGTCATGAATGTAAGCTCGCAGGAGAGCTTTCTGAAGACATTATTCCTGCGTAATTTCAATATTTTCATGAATATTTTATTTCCTGTCTGAGTCCTGTCATATAGTCGTTATGACCTAAACTTACGAGTTGTGATTTCAGTGTGCCTATACAGCAGGAGAGGGAAACATTCCTGTTTACTGGAAGTCTCTATTTTTCTCCTGCCCATCCCTTGCAGCCACTGCCAGCCTGCTAGCATGGGCTCTTCAGGCATTAATCCTCACCAGTGACTGTGTGCTACCTGCTGGAGAGTAAGCGATGAAAACACAGCCTTAAAAACCTTCCATCTTCAAATTTGGCCAAAGCCTTTGCTGCCTAAAGTGCCGTGGTGCAGAGTATTTAAATTCCAGCAGGTGAAGGGGGATGTCCTGGGTACGGCTGCTTCTCGGGAGCCAGCAGTAAATGCTGGTCACAGTGCAGAGCTGTGCAAATCCAACGCCCATAAGCTAATAATGGTATTTTTTATTGCACGGGGAGGCTGTGTCTAACCCTCTTCTCGCATCTGACATTTCGGTTAGTCTCCCAGGGGGGTGCTCTGAAACCACCTGATCTGCCCGGCCGTTAGAGGCAGGAGGAGAGAAAAAGCTTACTGGAATTTGTGTAGTTCTGTGTAAAACAGGCGCTTCAGTGGGTATTGTTACCGCGAGCCCTCGTTGCAAGGTTACGTACCCTAGAGTTGATTCCTGTTCGGCTTTGATTTTTTGGACGCTTGAGATATGGATTTGGGGATCACCATAAATATTTTACTCCAGAAATGGCCTCCTGTACATCGCATGGCGTGGAAACCTCCCGAGTGCTAATGCTATACCCTGTTACCGTACGGGGAGTTATTCTGTGTACAGTGTGTGAGGTGAATGGATAATTCGGGAGTGCGAGTGGCCACCTGGGCTAAGCAATTAATTATACTTGTTCCAGCCCCGGTCAGGAGTGTTATTTTTAAAATGGACAAAACCTCCCTGAGCAAGCAGTTTCGTGGCTCGCTCCCTCTTCCAAGGTGCACTCGCTTGTGATGTGCTGGTGTAGCTAAAAGGGAAGGGGGGGAAAAAAAAGGCAGCTAAATTAGTAATGCTCTTAGGACTGGTAAACAAACTAATGTGCACTAAAAGCTTTGGAAGGAATCAATCAAAGCCCAGGACAGGCTTTGAAATACCTGCGTAAGCGAGGCATTTTGCTGCAGCTTTCTCATAAAGTTTCTCCTTCACTCGTGCTGTGCAGCTCCAAAACAGGCTTCTGTTTTAGGCTTCAAACAGTTATGTAAAGTTACTTTTTTTTTTTGGTTATGATTCTTCCCCAAAGTTCAGTGTCAGAAGCTTTGACAGGTGCTTTTTGGGGCAAGGCCTTGCCCCTGCCAGCTGTCCTCAGTTCTCTCCTCAGAGCAAGCCACAATTTTTCATGTTCAGCATCTGCGTTGGTGCGGGGAAACCACCAGCGTTGTGAGGCTCAGAGCCTCCTCTCGTTTAATTACTTGTGGGATTTCAAAGGCTCTGGAGGTGATGACACCTTCCTAAATGCTCCTCGGGAAGAACCTGCCTCGTTGTTTCCACTCTCCTACCTCCCACCCTGTGCTGGGGTTTTTGCCCAAATGGGTCAGC